TTTAAAAAAAACAGTTTATTTGATTTTTATAAACATAATGCAAACTATAGCTTTTGACAAAGTGTTTTAGTTCCCTGTATAAACCAGGTGACTTTATTTATTTACTCGTATCAATGTTTTATTTTCCCATTCAGAGCAGTTCACTAACCTTCCTGTATTAAACTGTAGTACCTCACTATACTTGTGTTAAAAATAAATTGTTACACCATCCCAGTTTACTGGGTGTAGTACACTAGTGATACTGGGTTCGATATCATACTGGAATAAATTTTATACTAGCTTATGAAACACCCATTCCGGTATGATACTGGTTCCGGTATCATACTGGGATCAATTTGATACCGGCTTATGAAACACCGGTTCCGGTATGATACTGGGTCCGGTATAATACTGGATCCAGTATCATACCGGAACCGGTGTTTCATAAGCCGGTATAAAATTTTTTATACTGGGAATTTTTTCCAATAGGGCGCAGCCAGTGATGCTTATCTTCGGTGTTCTACTGGGACCACAAATACATACCATTTCCGGATTATTTTGCAGTGATGCCCATTAGCTCATGTTTTGAGTTCCTATTATTACAATCTTGTCACGCATTGGTGTATTTTACATATAAATTTCTTTTGGTTTTATTCACTATTCGAGTTATTCGCAAAAATGTTCCTTACCTATAGGGCATAAACGTATTAAACTGCTTCAAAATATTTCATAAGAGCGGGAAGTTTTATAAAATTTCCCATTACTATAACGACCGTTCGACTTAGTAATTAAATCAAGATCAACAGTTGTGTATGCTATTTTCGAGCTGATTTGACATAACTTTGGTACTTACTATCGCAATGTATAGCACTATGATTCGACGACGTTGTGAGAAAGAGTTATTGCCAAGGGGAAGGTCAATAATTCTTTCTCTCAAAGTCGTCGTCGTACTTCCTGTATATTTTCTATACATATTCTTAATTCTACATTACTAACTGATATAGTTTCCACGTAACAATACAAAATAAAACGTTAGCAGCATCGCTAACGATTCTTTTTATTACAGAAAAAAGCATGACAAAAATTTTAATTTTGCATGAGATAGTATATTAATTAATTTCAATACTTGACTGTAGCTCAATAACTTAAATACTTTCCATGAGACTTATTCTGTACATCGGAACCATACAGTTTAGATTTAAATTTTTTTCTTTCTTTCTAGAAATTGTTAACGATCCTGAAGTTTTTTTTAATGAAAATCTGACTGAATTTTAGGCGTTACAAATAACACTTAGGAAATTAATTTATAAATTTGCTTCTTGAAACATTTAGTTTCTAAAATAAATATTTCCTAAACGTGTCATTATCCTACGAGGTATACAGGACAGACCACTGGTTCTGAACCAAAACTTCTAATTTAGGGCTTAAAATTTACAGAAACGAAAAAAAAAAAGCCTGAACTTCCTTGGTTCAGGAAGACTTTATCAACTATCTTACCTTCCATCTCACAAGTATAAGCTAGCAGAATTTTTTTTTTTTTTAGCAACAATTAAGTAGGTGCTCAAATAATTCCATACATGTCTTAATAATCTGAGAAGTAGCAACCATTAAAAAGTGGAGAACAAGTGAATCAGAAATGAATTAAAAAACAATGATATCTGTTTTTTTTCTCTTTCAATTCTCAAGTTCACATAGTAATTATTCTTTATATTCAACGGCTTAACAGCATAGTTTAGACGGGCTTTTCCAAAAATCAATAAATTTGGTTTAATATTTACTGATTTTTATAAAGTTTAAGCCAGTTTCTAAACAATCGAACTATCCGAGTTTTTCCTGCCCAATTTTTGAATTTCTGTTGACCTGGTCAAACAACTTTATTAAAGGTTCCGGTAAAATGACATTCGAATTAGAAGTCCAAAACCTCAGAACATTTTATTTGAATTTCTTTCTTTTCTTCCGATAAGGTAAGATCTGTGCTTTTAAACTCTATAGGTTAAATTTTTAAAACTCAAATGAGTGCTTAGAAAATTTTACATTTTTTTTATCAACTAATCAGAAAATGAATTAATGATATTGAACTAATTTTCATTGAACTTCAAAAGCATCTGATTTAAACAAATTTTGTTAAATATTCTATATTTAAATTGCTATTTGTTTTTAAAGAGAAGTGATAAAAACTCTTTTTTTTTCTATAGTAAGCACTGGACAAATTTTAAAGTGTTATTACATTTAGAAAAATTAAAGTCAAAATTATTTAAGAATGTTGTTAGTTAAACTTATAACTGCAAGCTGTGACTTTGGGGCAAGTAAAAGATAGTAATAACTTTGGTAACTCAAGATTTTCAACATTGTAGTAGCAATTAGAAATGCAATCGTCATAGTCAGTAATTTGATTAGTAACTTCTCTTCGTATAAAATGTAAATGCTCCAGTTAATAATGATTATAATACTCTATTCATACAAAATATAAAATTCATAAAAATAAAAATGACTGATAAATTATCTGCAAGTTTCAACATTTAAACGAATAAAAAGAAGAATTATAGTAAAAAAAAGAAGTAATTTATTCAGAAAAATAAAAACAGCTTTATAAAATAAACTGCATTCTAGATAATAATGATCAACAAGATAATGAAAACATAGAATTACACATTTTATTTACAATAAATATAATTCGACATTGATCATTGAAATATACAAGTGTATAATTTTTTATTTGAGAAACTTTATAATCAGGATAGTTACTAATTGAGTTAGATGAGTAGTTGCATTAATTTCTGATGTTTATTGACATTAAAGTGTAGTAGTATAAAAGCTTTGAATGGTTTTATGTAACAAAGAAAAATAATATTACAAATTGAAGATAGCAAAATCAAAACTATACCGTGTTTTCACTTACAGGCTGGTTAAAACTTTAGTAATGTTATCTAATCGAGAGGCTCAAGAAAGAGATTTGTGTTAAGTATTACTTTTAAGAACAATCAATTAGTCAATACTAACAAGGTATAAAGTCTCCAAAGGAGGTCCGTAATACACTCGGTAAAATTTACGGAATGAATCATCAGCACTATGTATTCATAAGTCCATATTTTTTCTGCGACCTCAATGCAGTCTGACAGATTTTATTCTTGCAGAAATTCAGTTTAATTTAATATATATGTAGCAAGAATTTCAAATATAAGGTCCTTAAAAATTATGCATAAAAACTTAAGTTGTTCAAATTTAAGTTGAATTTTAATAAATATTTAAAAAATCGGATAAATCTCAACACAGGCAAGGTGTAATTAGTAACAAAAAAAATATTCGTCTTTTGTTCTTTGTTGTGTTCTCTCAATTCAGGTTTTTAATTTTTATTAAAAACAAGTTTAAATATATTTTAAAAAAGGAGTTTCAGCAATTTTCCCATATTTGTTTGCCTTAAAAAAAAAAAAAAAAAAAACCTAGTTGAAAAATAATCTGCAGCATGCTGGAAGGCTTTTGCTACCAGTATTCTACAAAGTATAAAATTAAAGCAACAGGAATAAAGCACAAATAGACTTACGAAAATAGACACACTATGATATTTTTATAACAAGAACCATAGCTGCCAACTCTACTGGATTTTACCAGTTTCTTCTGGTCTACTGATTTGATAGAAATTCTCTAAGTTTTCGCACAGTTCAAAAAATTCCCTTAATTGAGTAAGTTTCCTAAAGAAATCCCCGTTGCAATAAAATTTATTGCTTGCTTGAGTATTTAAAAAAGCATTGCTAATACATAATGAAGCGAGCCTCGTTTTTAATGTTAAGTTTAAAGTTTTTTTGTTCTAAAATTTTTCAGTTTATTTTTTATTTAATATTCCTTTTTTTAATTAATTAAAAAAATTTTTACTATCTATAGTACATCACCTGTGCATTGCTATTAAAAATTATGAGTTAACATAATAAAAAACATTTTAAATTCAAGTTCACTTAATGTCAATTATAAATGGAAAATATTGCAGACCATTTTTAGTTATCATTTGTTTAGTTGTATGGTATGTTGTATTTTGATGACAATAAAAATCCCTAAAATTCCCTATATGTAAAATATTTGTATATAATGCAACAATTATCATGAAATTTACTTTATTTCGTAAAATCTACTGAATTTTATCCTATCCATGTTAGCAGTTCTGCAGAATCTTTCTCTGTGTTTAAACACCTTAACTTCTATATCAAGCCTTATATTCCTGAAAATAGGGTTATATTCTTGTATATAACCTTATATATGAGAACTTTTTATGAACAAAACTTTTCTATTTTACTTATCTATACCTTTCTGTAAACAAGAACCTTCCTTTATTTATACACAGAGGAAAGTTCTTGCTTATTGAACCAAAATAATAGCATGTCCATTTCTGTACCTTTTTCTGTGCTTCATTCAAATTGTTTTGCTTTAAATTTAAGGTATAAATCTGATTTAATTGTGAGCTATAAGTCTGATGCCAAAATAAAGAGGAATGTTCATTAAAATGTCTCTAGATAATTAAACTTATATTTACTTTAAAAAGGTAAAGGTTTTGAGGGAGTTTCTAAATTTGAATTACAGATCAAAATTTCAATATAGAATTTAGACATTTGTTTTCTAAATAAATACTAGAACTTTTGAGATGATTTTTAAACTACCTTTACTAACAAGCTAATTTTAAGCATTATTATTTCAGCTAATTTTATGTGTACTAAACTGATACTGTGGAAAAATAAGTCTATGCATGAAAGAATTTGTACCAATTTACAATTGACTGTAAAGTTATAAAATGCTAAACAGTGCAAACATGTTATTGAATACAAAATGTTGCTAAAAATATGAATATTAATACTTATGAATATGCATTGCTCAGATTAGCAGTAAGAATATGAAAAAAACATAGGTATTAAAACTTACTTAATAAGTTTATGCATCTAAAAAAATTTAGTATTATTTTTCTACTTTTTATCTTACATGCAACACTTGAACATATACGTTTTTTTATAAGAAACAAGTAAAATATACAAGTTAAATTTGGCATAATCTAAGAAATTCAAACTTAAGAATCTTTACTTTTTAAATATATATATATACCTATATATGAGGAGAGGCCCAAAATCCAAACTGAGAGCTTGTTGAAATTCATAGTATTAGAAAGGGAGTGGGAGAGATAGGGTTAGATGGGGCTGGAAGAGATCTGTACAGATAATATCAGTTTGTGGATTAACATTTGATTGTTTTTGCTTACTGTTATTTTGTTCCACCTGCAAAGTCAAAAATGTGTAAAATTTAAAAGAACAAAAGAACGTGTTTTAAATTTCGTTTCCTCCTTGAAAAATCGTCAATGGAAGTCTATCCAATGCTTCAACAGGCTTTTAAAGAGGTCGCTATAAGCTGTACACAAGTTTTCTAGGAAATTAATCCATTTAAAGAAGATGAGATGAGTGTTGAAGACTAAGCTTGTTCTGGTCTCCCTATAACATCCCAAAATAATAAAAAGGGTTGAAAAAAATCAACGAGGAATTTAATAATCGACCAAATTTCAGAAGAGACAAGCATGAGTTGGAGTTCATGTTAGCAGAGTGTGACTGAGGATTGACAAATGAGACATGATTTTGACAAATTCGTTCCTCACAGGATCGAAAAAAAAAAATTCAGAAATTACCATTCGTTGTTCCCCACCCTTCATATTCACCAGACCTAGCCTCGTGCAATTTTTCCCTAGTTCTGTTAGTGAAAAATCTAAAAGGGAAACATTTTGATGATGTAGAGGCTGTAAAATCAGCTTCACAAAGGAATATAACAAAATTGAAGAGTTTCAGAAATGCTTCAAACAGTAGGAAAAAATATTTGATGAGTACATGGCATCTAGTAATGCAATGCATTTTTCGAGACACTATGATGCAGTCATCGTCACACTGCAATGCACGAGTGCCTTGCAGAAAGTATTTTAAAGGGGATTGGTTGAAATTTTTGATAAAGTTAGTAAACAGATGTTTATAAAAACAATATGGCTATTTTTTGGGCCTCTTACTGTATATTTTTTAGCAAATGTTTAGAATTTTTAGATTTTTTGCAGTTATAATAAATTTTAAGCTACTACATTGGCTGAAAAATAAGCATGTGATTTCTGAAATTCTAAACATTGATTTTTGGAAAAAAAAAAAGAAGCATTTTATGTGAGCTTCATTATGGTACTTCTTTGAATATTGTAAATACAAAGGTTATAATTTTTTTAAATTGTAATTTGGATGCAAAAATCCTTTTAAGTTTTGAATGAGCAAAGAAGTGAGCTAAATATTTGTTTACACAAAAACTTAGCTTAAGTGACAAATAATACCCCAGGTATTTCTCTTGTTGAATCTTAAGTAATCCATAATAAAATTAGTTTTGAATAGAAATTACATATTAAAAAATTTATTTAAATATTAAGCTATCTTTGAAAGCCAAGGTTTTAATAAATCTCCAATCTCATCAGCACTTGATTCAAGTGCACTACAATTTATGAATTCAAAGTTAATGTTCCTAATATCAGCAAATTGGAAATCTTTTCCTTTGTTTCCAAGAAAAATAGTTTCTTCTCCAGGTGAAATAGAAGCAAGTCGGCCAGTCATGGTAACTCTCAAAGTATTCCTTTAATAAAAAGAAAGTAGAAAATAACATTAAAATCAAACTAATTTAAATCAGAGTATTTTATTGAGTACTGGTATTCAATCTCTTTTAACAAAAATACTTCATACAAAATAACACACCCAAAATAACAAATTTTACACTTATTGATAAAACTTTAATACCAAATCATTAACTACAAGTTAATACCATAAATGTCATGGAAAACATAAGATCAATATATAATCATCAAGATACATCAAGATCTGAAGAAAAAAAATTAATTAGTAAAAATGGTAAGAAGCGTTTTATTTCCAAATAAAAGTGTGCAAAGTGTATTACCAGTGTTTTCACTACAGTGCGAGAACACGAGAATCTCGCATATTTTTTTATATTCTAGCATTAAAAAATCATTACCGCGAGAAATTCGTGCATTCTATAACAGGGTGCGTAGCCAAAACTTTGAATCAAAAATAAGCACTTTTTAAAAACTTTTCAAGCACTTTACAAAAATTTTCAAGCACTCAAAAAATTCATATTCAATCAATGATATTATTGAAAAGCAAAAAACAAAAACTTTTTATAAACAGTTTTAGCGTTAAAAAAAACCCAAAAAGAAACGGGCGTAAATCGAAACAATCAGTACTTTCCCACATCACCGAGTGAATTCAACTTGACCCTGAACTCAGAACAAAAGTACCCTTACCCCCTACGTCAAAAAAAGTGTTAGAAGTAAAATAAAATAAACAAGAACAAAATTAAAATAAATTAAAAAGAAAAACATTTCATAAGGATCTGATATTCTCTATCCGAATTGGAGCACTCGGGTTTCGGTTTCAAGTGTGCGCGCATGCACAAGTCATAACGTGGGTACGACATGAAGTCCGCGTAAATGATTGCGTAGCAAACTCCCCATTTTTCGGGAAATGCATGGGATCCACTAGATATCACTGAAGGGAAGAAAAAAAACTATTCAGCAAAAAAGCACTTTTTAAAAACGCCAGCTGAAAAAAGCACCTTTAAAAGCTTTTAAAAACGAAATCCCCAGAAAAGCACCTTTAAGTACTTTTTACAAACGCTACGCACCCTGTATAAACCAATTTCAAAATTCGCGAATTTCTCGCATTTTGAAAAAAATTTATCATTTGCGCCATTTAGAATAAAATCCGTTTCACCTTTCTTCCTGGATCTTTTATTATTTGCAACATCTGCCCCATTATCTAGCTTCCCTATTTACCAGTATTGTTCAGAACCTTTAAGAACAACAGAACACCATCCTTCAGAACCACGGAACCTCTTTAGGAACGCATTTCTCTGCAACCACGTGTTTACTGTAGGTAAGGTTTCTTCATGTAAGACGTTCAGATTTTTTGCTCGTTAATGTAAGATGGACAAATACCTTGTAAAGCCAATATCTTCTACTCCGAAACGGACAAATGAAAATGAAAGAAATGTGGGTAGAAACGATCAAAACGAAACAAATACGCATTTGAGCAACCTAATGAGAATAACTGATGAAAAAGTAGATGTAGAACATTTTCCATATGATGATGCAGCAAAAATATTCAATGCTTTAAAAATTAGACGATGTTAAAAATGCATTATAATTAAAGAAAATTTTTTTTTCAAGTCTCTGTGTTTTTTTTTTTTTTAATTTTTGAAATCTCACTTAACTTTTTGAAATCTCACCCTGTTTTTGAGAAAGGGTGAGAAATTCTCACTCATTTTTTTTCTGAGATGAAAACACTGATGACTGACATATCATAACAACCAACAATTTTAAAGTTTAATTACAGAAGAGTATAGAAATTAGAAATGTATGACCTTTATGTTCAACTTTATTTTCAACATGCTCAAAAATTGTGACAAAGTTTCAACTAGTTGAAAAATTGAAATAGATATTATTGCTAACTATAAAAATAAATGTTATTTGCTCCTTATCAGACCTAAGATCAGCATCGCTTTTATACAAGATGAATAAGTTTAGGTAAATTTAAGATTAGCTTTAGTAAATGTGTTTCGAGTTTTAATGATAAAAATAAATATGTTAAATAAAAGTTTAGCATTTATTAACTTTAAAAAAAATGATAATAACTAAAAATTGAATCCAGAAAAAAACAATCACAAATCTAGAAGCAATAAAAATTTGATTCTGTGATACTTCAATTTTTTAAAAGAATATTTATAAATACTTTTCTTTTATAGAACTCATAACACATTTTTTTACCACTTTATTTATGTAAATAAAAAAATTACCTTTGGAGAAAATAAAAAAAGAATAATGAATTTTAATTAATAAGAAACTTATTTAAGATATTCAAAATACTTTTTTCACTAAATAAATTTTTAGGAATCATGTTAGCTTCAACAGATTATATTTTTGTTCTAAGAAAATATCTAAACAATAAAATGCCTTTCTTGTATAGTATCAAATCAGTCTATATTTTGATACCGAATACAGAGCTTTGAAAATTTAAGGATACCTTCATTTTTCAGTATAAATCAATGTAGATTAATCTGTAATATACTGTTAAAATGAAACTATTTCATTAAAAAAAATCAATGGAAAGCATATCAAATCTAGATCATTTTTCATTCAGACATAACTGTGCTTAGAAGCCATGCATGTTATGTAGTATCTAATAATAATGTAGTATCCAGAGTTCTCCCTAGGAATTCAAAAGGGCAGGGTGCTTCCACACAGAAAAGGGAACTTAGAATTTTGAAAGGGTACTCAGTTTAATAAAATGTGTAATCTTATGTAAAAACTGTATTTAATCCTCAATTTTCTATTAAAAAAAACCCTCTTACTATTTTGTGTGTATATTTACCAAAGTAATTCTCCTTAAGTACAAAATAACAGAAAAATTTTTAACTTTTGAAAAAAAATTAAAGGCAAACAAAAAGACAATCTCTGTATATAAATTCTCTTCAAAAAAAGTAAACTAAAAAAAGGATTAATTGATAGACAACTTGAAGGAATTTTTTTATATTTCAAATTATCAAATTATGAGAAAATAAACAAAGGTGATTTTTTTAATGAAAGGTATTTATTCAAAAAATAAATAATAATAATGGCAAAATTTAAAATCAGTAAAAAATTCATAAGTATATCACATCAAATAAAGGATGTGAATATCTCTGGGCCGAATGCTATGCGAATTTTGACTATGTAACTAGACAAGATAAGAAAAATATTACTAAAATGAAGGAATGAAATTAAAAATTAAATAATTCTTGATAACTAAATAAATCTAAAATGGAATTTTCATTAAAACAGGTGGTTAAAAAAACAACCTTTTCATGAAAAATAAAATAAAAAGGCAGTATTCCTATAGAACAGCGGGTTTTTTTAAATATAAAGAGAAAGGAGGGAACATTTAGAGGGATCAAAGGGTAGGCAGGCGACATCGCCCTTCTAAAACTACTTAGGAATAATACTGTAGTATTTAATAATAATTGTAACACCCGCTTCTTGTGATGATATAATTACAGATTATGATATTTGCATTTCAACAGTTATATATAGCATTTGATATTTTGAGGATGATTAGTTTACATTATGCTGTAAACAAATTAACTTCAGATAACAAATATATAAAACAAAAAGCTGAACCTCATTTAAAAAAAAAAATTTTTTTCTAAACTTTTCGCACAAATAATAAATTTATTACCCAATACAATAGTTACATGAGATTTTATGTAAAAAGCAACAGAAATTATTTTTTAAAACAATAAATTTCAGTAATAAAATATATATACCATTAAACAAATAAAAACAATATAAAGATTTACTTACATTTCCTTTTCTAATTGAGACTGAATAACTTTTGCACTTTTTGAAACAGCATGATCTAAATAATTCAAAAGTAAATATATAACAAACGAAAAATGCTACAATTAGTCTAAATATTATTTCAAAAAGAAGAACTGCTTACCTTGCTTATTACAGGCTATCAAGAAAGGAATCTTATATCGATGAACTAAAGGATCTTGCAAAAGTATAAACAAGAATCTAGAAAACAAGCTTAAATATAAAAACCAATATCTGATAAATTGAAACATAAAACATCATTTTACGAAGAAAATATTTAAAATTTTACTTAATTTAATTGTACAAAATAAGTCCCAGAATTTTAAAATTTTATATGTAGTTGTCACGATAAATGTCATGCAAAAATATGCATAACATATTTCCTAACATTTAAAAAGTAAATTACTATATTTAATACTTTTCTCAGTTACTAAAAATCATTAATATAATCGGTAATCTTATAATACCACGACTTTGAATTGAATGCAGAATAAAATCTATTTTTAGAGATTGCCTTTACACCTGCCTCACACATTAGAATTGAATTCAATAACCATTATATGGTTGCTAATGTTTTGGATTCGTTAAAATTTGTTATTATTTCTCACACTTTCTTCTCTGCCAATACATTTGAAAGCATAAGGGTAAGAGAAAGAGCCTTATCATTAAATTTAATCAATCAATAGCCAATAAACGAATTCCTTAACTTTTCTTAGCTTGAACTATGATAATGCTCACATTAAACTTGCATTTTTGATTTCTTGGTGGACGAAGGTGTCCTGCAGGGTTTAGCCCAGCAGCCACACCCTCCAGGCCATTTTCCAAATTTATCACTTGATAATGTATATTTATATTAAAAATTAAGAATAATCTTTAATTAGGAGCTTCATAATTTTAGAAGAAAAAAAATTATTTATATTTGATTCTTAATTTGAGCAGTTCATGATGTTTATTACATAATTGCTAATCCATATCACTCTGAAATAAATTTTAAAAAAATCAACAATTGGAAATGCATCGATCAACAATCAAATTCTTGAACTAATGATAAATACATCAACTACGTCAATCAACAGCCTCTTCAACAAAATAGAAATTGCAACAACAAACTGTTTCACAACAGTAAGCTAAATACAAAGATATTAAATCATATGCAGTTCCTGCGCACATTTTTTGTCTCATAAAGAACAAAGTAATATTGAATATAAATGAAATAATTTTTCTGACCCACTAAACATTTCTGTTAAACAAAAATGGCAGCAAGCTAAACGTTTCGTAAAATTAAAAGGCATATCTGATTTTTCTTTTATTTTGAAAGAAAAAGAAAATAAGGGTTCAGACATTTTTTATGACAAAAGAAGAATAAATTTGCTTATAACTTACCCTGCTATATCTCGAATGTCTTTTTGAAAATTCAGGCTGTCAATAACAAATAATATCCCTCTGAAAAATTTAACATTGCTATTAAAATCATTTGAAAAGCAGAATCAAAGCAAAGCATTTTAAATTCTCGTAGTAAATAAAAAAGATTTTGAGTGCAAAAATATCTGCCGTTAAAGTTTTAAAATTATTAAAAGAGGGATGAGATTGACAAAAAGTAGAAATTCTATTATTATTTGAAATAGTCACTCTTTAGCAGTTTTTTGCAAAAAAAAGTAGAAACAGTAAAGTTGCCTTTCTTCAATCTTATATGCATATACTAACTATTGGCGGCCCCCTAAACCAGATATAGTCTTTAAGTAATTGCCAACAATGCAGGCATTCAGCATTGTTAACTCAGACTTTTTAACTTACAATTAATTAATGAATTGGTGCTTGTTGTGGGTAATCAAAATTTTTAAATCTTTTCTTTTTTATAAACTGAAATAAATGCAATCATTTTATTTTACTTTTTTAAAAAAAAAAAATCAGAAAATTTTTACAAAAATTTGACATTTTTAGGAAAAAATGGAAATTTCGAAAATAAAACTAAATTTTGGTATAAAAAAGCAGAAATCAGCTACAAAATTTTATCCTTTAAGTGATACACTGAAGTTTTTATCAAAAAATTGTTTAAAAAATGCAAGAATTTTATCTAAATTGAAACTAATAAAAATGAGACACTCTTTTGCATTGATGTTTAGATAGACAAAATATTTAATTTGATGAAAAAAAAACTATGAATGTAATAATAAACCAAAAATGCAAAGGAAACTACAATATAGGGTGGCCCGGGGTAATTTAGGATCACCCTGTTTCTGGGGTAAATAATGATCACCTAAGTTTTATTCTAAAAAAACTTTTTTTTTTAATTTGAGACATGGGCAAGAATGCTTGTACACTTTACTTAAGTCTAACTACATTTACTTAATAATAGTTTTTTGTTTAATCCAACAATATAAGTATATTTTAAACTGCTTTCTGTATTTTCCATTTCAAAGATGGGTTTCAAATTGTGTACATTTCTGCAAAGATCCCCCTCCTTCTATTAATAATAAATATTTTGAGTTACTTTCTTTTTCTTTGATATAAAAATTGTGTAAGCTTTTGTTTAATTGTTTCACATCTACTGTAAACATTATAATTGATTATAAGAAACTATATCAAATGTTGCCTCCTACAGATGGGGTAATTATTGATCACTGGGGTAATTCCTGATCATTGTCATTTCTTCTTATAAATAGTATAAAAAATAGCTAATTGTCTTTTCTTAAATAACAATTCATATTTATTAAGTGGAACAACTATAAAGTATATTTTAACTGTAATCACAAAATTTGTTTTTAACTGTATACACGACAAATGTGTTCCGATTTGCACAATTTCTGGCTTGTCTTACCATGCTTCTATCTTAATTTTATGTGTGCACATTGTTAGAATAATTTTCAAGTTTATAAATTAGCCTAATATAAATATGGTGAGAAATTATAAGCCTAAAAAGGATACTAAGCTGCAAAGGAAAGCAAAATTAGTGAATTTCCTTTAATGATTGGAAATGAAACCAACCAACTGTGAGAACCAACTGCTGCCAGAGCTGTTGACATACCTTACTTAACATTACACTCTCACTTAATGAAGTTAAAAAATCCAGCAAAAGTAACCCATATGGGAACTCTTTTTTATATTCCAGCAGAACATGAGAATGAGATGGATGCTTGCCTAAAATGTATGGCACGATGCAAAGATTCTTGGAAAATTTAAAGCTTGCTTTTAAATAAATCGTTTTATTAGCTGCTTAAACTTATCTTTTTGATTTATTTGTTTGATCTTGATGTCTTATTTGTTAATTACCATTGTATAATTATTTTTAAACAGCCTCTTTACTATAAAAATTGGTGATCAGTAATTACCCCAGAAGTGATCAGGAATTACCCTAGAAATGAACAAGAGAAGGAGTAATTCCTGATCACTAAAAATTCAAAATCTTTTAAATTCTAATTAGATTTTCAAACAAAAGAAGGTAGCATAGGACTCATCTCATAGTGCCTCAAACTTTCAGTAAAAATTAAAATTCTATCTTTAATAGTTTTTTCACAAAATAGATGTTCCCATTTTTTGATCGGGAATTACCCCAGGTCACCCTACACAGTTAAAATTTTAAAAAAATTAAAATTAAATAAGTTGTAATGCAAATTTTTAATGTATGTACAGAGCAAAAAAAAATTGTCTAAATAATTGGATTGTCACACACTAAGACTCAATCTTGATGGTTTGAGGAGGTGACCTTAAATATATTAATTAATTATGCAGGCAATATTTTAAATTACTAAATTGGACATAAAAACATACTTTCTCAGAATAAACAGATTTTTTTTTATTTTTAAGATTTGTATTACTGATCCTCAAAATATATAGACGCAATCTGGAAAATATAGTTCCAATAGTTATGCCAGGAGAGCCGTTCTAAAATTTTGAATTGTAAAATATACAAATTTTAACATCATTTTAAAAAAGTAATTACTAATGACAAAATACAAAATTTGAGCAAAATTGGTTGAACAGTTCCTACTCAAATTTATCAAATTTTGTCAAATCAAATTTTGATACATTTTCTTCCTTTATATTCATCTTTAAAATTCTTTTAAATGTATGACCTATTTCTTAAATCTTAGCTTCTTTAAAATATTATTTCCTTAAAACACAATTCCTCAAGAACTATAATATTGATTTTGTTTACATTTTGTAATATAACATATAAAATTACATTCTTTAAAATATATAAATTTGTATCCCTAGCAATTCAAAATTGTTCAACTATAATTAAATAAAATAATAAAGAATAGTTTTTGCAAGAGCTTATCTTTGGACAAATGAATTTTATAATTGGGTGCAATTTTTTTAAAAATTCACTTAAAAAAAATTCTTGAAATATGGCAAAACACCTAATCACCGAAGTAAAATTGACATTAAGAAATCAACTTTTGTTCACTCTCCTGGTCAAACTGTTGGAACTATATTCCCCGGATTAAGGTTATCTCCTGTATTTATTGACTTTTCTAAAAATTCAATAAATAAAAAAAAAAAAAACATAAGAAAGTGCTTTGATTAAAAAAAAAGTAATAAAGTGTGGTAATTGAATGCAAGACTTATTAAAATATTTTAAACAAAATATAATTATGCAATTACTTAGACAAAGGCACAATATATAGATTTTTTTAAAGATTTTTATATGGAATGCAAAGGTTATGAAACTGTTCTAAATTGATTATAAAACAGATTTTTAAATTCATTAACTATAGATAGGCAGATTTAACAATCTGGATTACAATTCAATGAATACCACATTAACTAGCTACTAACCTAGCACTTGAAATAAATTCTTCTAAATATTTTGCTCTCAGCCTGTCATTTCCTGGTATATCAACGATTGTAACATACTTCTGAAAGAAGAAAAAAAAGAATTATAATTTAATGAAATGTCAAAAACACATTAAATAGCATAGTATATAATATAAAAGATACACGTTTATTACTAAAAGATAAGTTTTATTACTAAGATTAAAAATATATATTTTCTTGTATTATTAAAAAACAAATTTCCTATGAGGTATTTAATTTATAATATTTGTTTCATATCTTAAGCTCATTTTAATATATCACTAAATTATATTTTGCTATAACTTACTTTTTTATCAATTTTAAACATAGCTATGTTTTCTTTCATGGATGAATAAGTTGTAACTTTTTTTGATGTCACCAGCTGGAATAAAAATAGAAAACGTTTAATCAGTAATGATCCAAGTTTGATATCATCATAAGATAAAAAATCATAATAATAATAATAAACTCACCCTTGAAAAAAGTAANCCCAAAGTGTGACGAGAAAGTTCATAAACTTTAATTTTTTTATCAAGGAGGGCAATTCTAGAACAAAACAGAGGACAATTTTAGAATCAAAATTTAGTGCAGCAGCTAATTTTTATAATTGTAACCTTATGAAAAGCGGGACCTCTGAAAAGCTTGAAGCTGGATCTAAACATCCATAGTTTACAGTGACATGAAAGATTTACCATTTCTAGCCTATATTGTATCCAGGGAGATATCATTATCACCAGAGAAATTTTCACAAGCGAAAAAATATATTCATGTTTTATAGTTATGAAAAGAAAATATGATAGACATTTTAAAATGTCTTTTACAAGCATTAAGAAGTGTATCTATTGAATGAAAAACAATTGATGACAACAAAACTAAAAAATGAAAGTGTATCTATATCAATTTCATACCCATTGTAATAAGAATTGCAATAACAGCTGACAATACGGCATATAGATTTGTGTCATACTCGATTTGGCCAATGTACGTTTTTAGAGGTTCCATTTTTAAATAATTTTACAGAGAAAAGTGAAAAAAGAAAAGAATTTTAAAAATTTGTAGAATTTTTAGTAGAAGGCTAGCTAATATTTAGATTGTTTGGAAGATCTCCAACTTATAATCCAAATCCAAAACCTAAATCCAAACTTAACAACCATGCAGAAAACCGGTTGCCACAGTTACATACTTTGTATTCGTTTCACTTCTATCTTTTTGAATTCGAGAAACCGCTGTAGCCCAGAAATAATTTCCAAAATAGAATTAATAGATGAATAATTTATATGTAAGCTACAAGTGATACAATCCAAGCTTCAAAAATTTCGTTAATAGTTGAAGGTGAACGTAAATTTTTTTGAAGTATAAACAAGTGTGTTTTGTTAGTTATTAGTTTCTCCTAGACGAAATTTTTAAAGGAAGAAGTAATTTTATTAATTATTGTTGTCTTCGCTTATAATGTGGTACGAAATATTACCAACCCTCGGTATATTTTCGACATTTTTACTTCTCCCCACAGTAACTCCTTTTTTTGTTAACATGGCCATTCGTGGACAGGTAATTGGTTTTAGTTTATTAATATCCATTACTTTTAATAAATATCCCCAACAAAAATATGTACTAAACACTGTAATAGATTTGTTCAAGCTAATTGTTAGATTTTACAACATTCATTAATTGTCATTGATTGTATTCATTAAATTTTCCTCACTTTTTCTCTTCTCTGCTTTCAATTTAAAATTAAATTCTATATTTTGTTATTTAAACATATATCTTACCTTCCACCCACATTTTAAAAATTGTTCTCCTTAGCATATAGATCTGTGAAAAGTTCTAGATTTCAGAAACTGCATTGTAAATGTTTCCTCGATTGCATCAATTGCTTGCTTATAAATGAAGCAAAATCATCGTGAATAAAACAAAAATAAGTGTACAGATATGGACGCACTATAGTTTTGGTTCTATCAATATAATCTTCTCTCTTAGTGTCGGAACAAAAAATGACTATCGCAAAAGTAATGAGACAAAGATATTAAAGTAAACATATAAAAGGTTTAGCCATTAGGCGAGGAAAAACAAACTTGACCAAGATTATATGAAAAGGGAAATAAGTAACAGGTGTTAGGGGTTGAGTGGTAATACCACATACAAGATGTCAAAATTAAATTAGAATGGTTTTCAAACATCAGAAGAAAATGGGCTACTAATAAGATCATTTGAATTTTTCAAAATATGGAATCTCAATAAGTTGAATAAAAGTAAAAAAACACTAATAAAGTTATGCATCTAATACAAGGTAGTATGTAAATGTCTAAATCTAATAAAAGTTGTACATCTAATAAAAGGTAGAGACTTAATGTTAATCTAACTTTTTACGTATTTCACCATATCTCAAAAATTCTTCAAGCAAATTTTGCCTTTTTTTTTCTTTCTACTTTTTGCAGTTCTTAAACAAAATTAAAATGTTTGCACACCTTTATAAAATATTTTCATCTATAGATAATTCTATGCAAAATAAAACTTATAGCAAATATTTTTTTATTATTATTTCATTTGATAATAATAAAAAAAAAATTGAATTGTATGGTAGACAATTTTTTACATCATTTTCAAGAGTGTAATTTTGCATGGCAAAATGGAAAAAATAATTGAAATGGGTAGACTAGTTCCTGAAAAATCAAATTTTAACTATACAATTTTTTTCAGTCATTTTTTTGCTCTGTACTGTTTTAGTTTTCTATTATAGAGGTAAACATCAGGGTCTGTAAAATATGCTTGTCTAATCCCAAAAATATTGTTCCAATATTTTTTGTCAGGGAGGGAGTTAAAACCTTTATGTTAAATTTACTTCTTACCTTAATGTTAAATTTACTTCTTACATAATTGTATCTAAAACTGTTTATGCTAGTCAAACAATTTTTAACTCTATTATCAAACTGATTTTTCAAATAAATAAAATAATCTATTCAAAAATAAGTTATCAGTGTTTTCATCTCAGAAAAAAAATGGGTGAGAATTTCTCACCCTTTCTCAAAAATAATTTCTTTAATTATGATGCATTTTTAACATCTTCTAATTTTTAAAGCATTGAATATTTTTGCTGCATCATCATATGGAAAATGTTCTACATCTACTTTTTCATCAGCTATTCTCATTAGGTTGCTCAAATGCATATTTGTTTCGTTTTGATCGCTTCTACCCACATTTGTTTCATTGAATGGAAATCATCATATGGAAAATGTTCTACATCTATTTTTTCATGAGCTATTCTCATTAGGTTGCTCAAATGCGTATTTGTTTCGTTTTGATCGCTTCTACCCACATTTGTTTCATTTTCATTTGTCCGTTTCGGAGTAGAAGATATTGGCTTTACAAGGTATTTGTCCATCTTACATTAACGAGCAAAAACTTTTAACGTCTTACATGAAGAAACCTTACCTACGGTAAACACGTGGTTGCAGTGAAAGAGGTTCTGAGGCATGGTGTTCTGTTGTTCTTAAAGGTTCTGAACAATACTGGTAAATAGGGAAGCTAGATAATGGGGCAGATGTTGAAAATAATAAAAGATCCAGGAAGAAAAGTGAAACGGATTTTATTCTAAATGGAGCAAAAGAGAAAATTTTTTCAAAATGCGAGAAATTCGCGAATTTTGAAATTTTTTTATAGAATGTGCGAATTTCTCGCGGTAATAATTTTTTAATGCGAGACTCTCGCGCTGTAGTGAAAACACTGGTTATTTAATTTAATAATAGATAATATGAAATACTATGATAAATAGTTTTTATGTATAGATATACAGTTTCTAATTTTTATTAACAAATTCCCCAATTTGAATGAGACCAATGAAATTATTTCTTATTAATAGGTTTTGTAAAATTCCTATATTTAAATTTTTATTTTTAAAAACTATTCTACTGATTTTGTTAAAATTTTTGATTTTGTCTTGTAAAATTTCTTCATTTCAATTGATGTTATAATTTTACAATCAAAATCATTTAGATTATTAACTTAAGTATGAAGAAAAGTTTCTTTTAGTCAGAATTATTGTTTGAAATCTATAATTCAGACTTCAAATTGTTTTAATTTTTCTCTAATTTTAATTTTTTTTTTCCTTGGTGTATTAGGTACTGTTATTAAAATGTTTAAATAAGTTTTTTTTTTTTTTTAATTTACAGCCTCACAGGAGATCAGCCATGGATCCAGAAGATAGAAAACTGACAATGAGGGATGAAAGACTGTCTGGACATATTCATAAATTATATGTGAGTTATTACTTAAAGAATTTATAAGAATGTAACGTAAATATTAAAAAAATATCTATACAAATTTACGCTTAAAAAATTAATTAATTAAAAGTTAATTTAGCAATTATGCTAAAATTTAATTTTGATGTTAAATAACAAATTAATTTATTTATAATCTTAAAATTATTTATCCACTCAAATTTGGCACAAAAATACTGCAGGCTTATTTATATATCTATGCAAACTATTTTTTTGAATAACATATTAGTTACTATGCATTGTGTGACACATAATGTGAATTTGCTGGAATTCCTTAGGTTTTTAGGACTAATGGAGTGAATTCTGTATTGAAAAAATGCAACTAATTAAAAAATAGAAGTTTATTAAAATGCATTAATGGATTTATTTTATTCTTTTAATAATTATAAGAATAAATTTTTTATTGCCAGAAATCAGTGGTTCCCAACCTTTTTTGACCTATCCCCCTCTAGATGTAGTTATTTTTCTTAATTGAATTCTGGGAGAATAGAAAATAAGTTGATAATTAAAATTGGTAAATAATGAAAGTTATAATTAAAATTTGAAAAATTTGTTGCTCATCTTTACAATGACTACCTTGTGCTTTCAGTTAAGCATGAATGTTCCGCTTTAAAGCCGAGTAAATGTTCAACCTACTTCTTTGTTCTGAGAGTATCTGGCAGACAGATCTCTATTTAACCCAAAGTGTGACGAGAAAGTTCATAAACTTTAATTTTTTTATTTACATATTTATTTTAACTCATGGGCTTCTTTATCTGAATCTGATAGATCAGTTTTGTATATTTTTTCAATTTCAATATTCACTAGATTTCTATCATTATTTTTGTTTAATTTATTTTGAATACTCATTGTTCACTGCGGTGAGAAATCGTCCTCAGGTTGTGAACCACTGCTGTAAATGATTTCACAAACAAAATATTTGAGAATAAAACCAATCAATGTGAATGAGTAGCTAATGAAACTGATTTGTTTTGCATTTGCACCTGATATTTGAAGATTTTTTTCCTCGCCAACCTATTTTAGTTTATTTTTATTGGCATCACTTTTGTCACATGCCAAAAGCAGAATCAAATGCTGCAACCATATTAAAGTCGAAGTTCACTTGTCTTACAGTCATTTTTTAACTCAAAAATGCATTTAATAAATTACTGCAGATTTTTATCAAAAGTTACTACCCTGGCAACTGTTTTGTAATGCGTCTGCACTCTGCACCTGATGGCAAAAACGTAATAAAATATTGCAATAAGTTCGAAGTTCAGAATTATTATTAGAAGTATTATGATAAATTTTAAGCAATAAGGTATGCCAAGCATTGTCACTTAATTTTAAAGAAAATATTAAAAAAAAAATCATCAGTGTAGGATATACTGGATAGAGTTGCACTCAATGATACTAGATATTGCTATGTTTTGTTATAATCCTGCTACAAGTTTCATAGAAATATACCAATATGTAAACACAAAACTATAATTTAACGATGCTAAACAGGCATATAAAAAGATATGATAGCACATAGAAGTTACTCACTTATAAAAAGTATATCTCATTTCTTTTCTCCCAAATATCTTGAACTTATACCAATCTTTAATCATTATTTTAGCAAATGCACAGCAATAAAAATTTGACTACACAATGTTATTAAATATTTTCTTATACTGTGAGTTTAGTAAGTATTTTGTTTACCAAGATCTTACAAATATTGTGCTTCAATTGTGTGTAACCAACAATTATGTGGCTTAAGTTTTAGTTCTGTGAAGATTTTAAAACTAGAATTTTTTTTCTCAATTAAATATGAAGATATCTTAAAATTACACTATATAAAGCATTGGATTTCTATGTAACTAATGAAGGCCTTGGATCATTAAAAGTTCAATATCTCAAAACTGTTTAAATTTTATTTTAATATTTATTGTTGCTTACTCCTAGTAAATAATAAAATAATAGTTATTCTTATTATTTTTCAGGGCCTTGAAAATATTCCTGATCCAAAATAGAAGCATACCTGTGTATATAGCAAAGTATTCAGTTTCATTTGTAACGTTTGAAATATCTGTAATGTAATAGTTATTAACCCAAAACTAAATAAATTTATATTGAAACAAATTTTTATTTTTCTCACACTTTTTTCTCTGTACAAATTTGTGCATTGTAATGATTTTTATGCGTTCCACATAATTTTATTTCAATTATTTTTTATGTGGTCATGGTTGGTACCAATTCTGCCCACGCAGACCACAGTACCGATGTAAAATATCCTCAGTGGTAGAATCCTCTTGCCGTCAGCTAATGGGAGGTTTTCCTCTCCATGTAACACAAATGCAGGTTAGTTCCATCTAAAAGTCCTCTACAAAAGCTAGTTTGTCTCAAGGCTTAATCCAGGAATTCCATTGTCTTCTGGGTTGGGTTCAAAATTACAAGGCTACAGAGTTGAACATCGATAGTCTTAAACTCAGAATTGGGGCGACTGTTCAATGCTGATTGTAAATTAAAATATAAAATGCTCACATCCTACCAAATTCTTAATGCATTTTTTAAAATAATTTTGTTTTGTCAATTAAAAAATATGCCGTAACATTCAACGAATTTCTTTGATATTAAATCTTAGTTAAAAATGAAACCAAATGTACAGTGGTGTGCTAAGTGAAAGAAATACACCAATAAAAAGTTTCAATGTATCTTATTAACAAATTTTATTCCTTTATAAAGGTTTAGTTCCAACTTTTGGCTCTAAGGGAGAAAAAAAAATTCTCTATCATGTTTTCAATGCTTACTTACAGTATTACGCTGAATTGAATTCAATTTGCTTCAATATATTTATAATACATGTTTATTATTTTTCTTAGAAATTATTGAGACACCTAAATTTTAATTATTAGAAATACATCAAATCATTTTCTGATCCTTATAAGTAAATAAAAATTTTAATAATTTTACTTACCAAGCCAACTTAGAATTACTAAAAGTTAGTTTAGGTTTCAATATTTCATTCTGGTTCTAAGTAAAATTACAGGATGGTCTTCTAAAAAATTTGAAACCCTGAATAATATAGCACAAATATGCTGTATTTAATTTGTTGTTCCTTATCCTCCAATTGTCTGACGAAGTCAGACAAGATCCAATAGGTTGTTGACCGTCAAAAAGTCAATGACAAGAAGTAGAGTAGTACATAAGTCCTCCTTGGAAAGGCCCAAGCAGTCAAGGATATGTTCGGCTGAGGTATGCTGGGCTTCACATTTGGGGCAGACTGCATAAGTCTTTCTTCCTTCAAAGTACAAGAGACTATTCGTGTGTCCACTTGCCAATCTGGAAATAGCTGTTTGAGATGCTCTATCACCTATATGAACAAGTAAAGAGCCCGGTTCCTTGGCCGCATAACAATGAGAGGGGGGGGATCCTCCACTTTTTTGATAGATGGCTTTTGATTTTGGTCTAATACTCTGAGTAGGTAAGGGCTGAGGACGAAGATGTTAAATGACTACAGCCCTCCTTGGCCAAGCGATCTGTTTGCTCATTGCCAAAGATGTCAACGTGGGATGGTATCCACTGAAGATGAACGTCGTGGTGCTTTGAAATAAGTTAAAGTTTAAGAAGGATGGAGATGCTTGTTTTGTCTCCAACTTTAGTCCAATTGTGTAGGTGTTGACAGGAGCTGCGACTGTCCGACAGGACCCAAAGATCTCCAAAGTCACTCTCATTGATTATAGCATCGATGCCCTGTTCAATTGCGATTAATTCACTTCGAAAGACTGAAGTGAAATCAGGATTACGGAGTAATTTTGCCCAGATTTTTCAAGGAAGACGTCGCTACCAGCTAGGTCACTAGGAATCTCGCATAAAATTTCCAAAGCTAGCTGCCTGGAATATGATCTTTCTTTGTGACTGGAGCAGAAAATCCGAAGTGGAAATGGACCCGGGGGGATTCCCTCTGAAGGATTCAGACAAGATTTTAAGGAGTGGGGCTCAACGTCTTCAGAAGGCAAATGCAGAAGATCAACATGACTGAATGGACTGTTTTTCTTCAGTCGCTGATTGTTGAGGTACAGAGAGGTTCTATTCTGCTGACCATAGCTAGAAAGTTTGTTGAAGTAATTGGTGAGATTAGTTGATTAGAGATTTAATTTGTTGACGACATGATTATTACACACTCCTGGATAGAACAATTTATGAAAGCATAAATCTATAAATAAAAGGAGAAAAAAATTAATTTCAAATGAAACATTAATTCCAAATTCAGGCTGTAGAAGCTCAGTGATTAGAGAATTGGACGCCAGTCTAGATTGGCCAGACTTCGATTATCTACTCTGCAAAGACCCACCAAGTAGAGGTTCATGAAATCGGTGGAATCAAAAGTCATGTGGTTGGTCACTGAGCAGTACCATAGGTAAAGATATCTGGAGAAAATTTCCTTCCCCTTCAGATCTATGTCTAAATTGAAGAAGTAACTTAACGAATGAGATCTCCTCTGCAGAGGATCTAAATTGTGATGGTTTGTTTTTGGATCATCCTCGACCTTCGCCAACAGTCCATTGTGCAGCTCAAGTGCATTGAAAATAAAATACCTACCTACCTTAAACCCAAATTTTACCTCCTTAAAATTTTTTTTTAAACACGAAATTGTAACAAAATAATGAATCATATTCCAATAATTCAATTTAAAATAAAAATTTATTTTCCAAATAATACAGATACAAATAAAAAAAACATATTTACAAAATTTTTCAAATAACAATGCAATTATTTATCATTTCAATAGCATCATTTTTTTTTTATGGAAACCAAATGCATCATTTATACCACATATGCAATTCGTACAATAATTGTATTTACAATTTGTACAAATCTAAGTAAGTTAACTAAACTTTAAAAATGAAATATGTACAGATACAGACAATAAATTTAAATAAGTACAAAAAGTAATTTTTAAAGCATTAGATTAATTTACATAAGAAATTGCACACTTTTAATAATTTTTCAAACACACATTTTCTTCTGTATTCAGCATATTAAAATTCAAAATTATATGGTAAAACTCAGATCGTGTTTTCTCAATAAAAAAAATCTGTGAAATCTATGGACTCTCTAATAATCAAATATAGAAACACTGCAAGTGCAAATTTGAATTGAATCTTAGAAAACTAATTTAGGTTATTTTTAATGCAATTATATAAGCTAATGAATTACTGTAAATAATAAATTTAAAGTACATTTGAAATCTTCATTTTCTAGGAAAAGGAAGCATTCTGAAATGTAAACATGTCTAATCAATATTGTTTTTGCTTATGGAAACCTTTTGTGCAGGTGTTGGCTTTTCATTGATTTTAACAAAACAGTGGTGGGAACAAAAACAAAGATTGGCGAATGTTTCTTTTTTATCTGAATTAATCGAGCTCGATTCACCTTCTCCTTATTTTTGGGTGTAACACACCTTAGCAAATTAGAATTGTCCAAATTCTTAGATCTAGTTTTAAACTCAAATTATTTTCTATTGCTCTTAAATTAATCAAATGATTAGAGATTATTACATTTAACTTTTTAATTGCAAGTATATTCTTATGAGACCGTTTGGAAGAAGATTTTGTAAATGTTTTTAAGAATCCAAATCTATAAATTTTCATTATTAAATATACTTTTTATATATATTAAAAAAAAATTACACCAAACAGGCTTTGATAAAAGAACCATAAAAAATCCTCTTCCCCTCCAAAAAAAATAAGTAAATAAAATAAAAGTAATAATAAAGCAATCTCTTTTAAGCTAAGATATTAAATACTTTAAAAGTTTGCTTTGTTTTCTTATCAGAAGTAGTCAAAAAAGTGAGAGCCTAGAACTTTTTGTTTTAATAAAATGAAAAATGGTTATTTCCTTTTAGGAATGAAAAAAGATAATTTTAAAACCATTGGTTTTTCTTACTATAGTAATTAAAAAGTATATTATTATTTATGCAGCTTTTTTTTTTTTTAAATCGAAAGGGAAGAAATGATTGCTATTCAATATTTAAGCTTGCAAAAAAAAAAATAATAATAATATCAATTTTATAACTGTATTAAGGATTTTCTGGAGCTGAGTTCTCATGGGGTGTGATAATATAGCTGAATTTTAAGAAACATAAAGCAGAGAAAACATTTTAAAATAAAATATATGATATACACTTAATATTTTTTCCTTTAGCAATTTTGAAAGCACCATGTATATTTTACAGCACCATACAGAACGTATGAGCTAAAACATATTTGTAGTATTTAAAAAAAAATGTTTCAAAATGACTTAAAAAATCATGTTTCAACCCTTTATTTACCAAAATGTTAAAAAAAAAAAAAATTATCAAAAATGTGTGAACTTTTTTGTCCATCTAATGACTATTTTACACTTGCAAATATTTTTTTAATTTTAAATATTTTCTAATTTTTCATAAAATTTTTAATTTGAGACTTATATTACAAGTTTTAATTAGAATTTAATATTTTGTTTCATAAGTAGTTTAAAATTTTTATGAATCATGAAAAACAACATGAAAGTCTTATTTGTGAAATTGATCTAGATAGAAAGCTGAGAATTAAGAAATCATAAAATGGCACTCTAGAATGAAATATAAACAACTAAATAGTTCCATAGGTGATTTTCAACTTCAAATAATCATGTTGTCAATTAGTAATGATAAATGAAAAATCATAAGTTCCAATGGATAGTTCAATGCTATGTGGAAATTTTAGAGGGACTAATAAGTCCTGGCTGTACATAAAGGGTCAAACTATCAACATTTTCAAGTTTTAATGGATAGTGTTTTGTACACTTGGGTGCACTGCAAGCTCCTTACTGCCTATACTTCTGGGTTACTTTTCCTGCGTATTTTGAAACCATTAAGTTCACAACGTGATCATAGTGTTTTGAAACACTCTTGAGTAGAATTTCTTGTATACATGTATTTGTTACCCGATTTATTATATGTGTTTAAAAAAAAATCCCTATAAGAATCGTCATTTGATGACCTGTCACTTCAAGGGGTAAGAATCGTCACTCGAAAAAAAGTTTTGTTACATAAAACAATTCTTGCCTTGTCAACAATTTACCAACTTTAAAATTTAAACCTAAATGTTAATTTGTAAAATGAACTTGATCTAGCTACTAGAACAATATGCTAAGACTAATGTGTGATGGTGCATGGCATGCAACAAGAACAAACATTAATAAAGTAGTAAAAGGGGCCAAATTAGGACTACCAAAAAAGCGAGTTCTTTCTAAATCTAGCAACCATGTCACCTTTTTTAATAATACATTTATAAATAAGTAGAACAAATTTTCACTGCAGAATTCCTCCAGAATTACTTATGATCTTTAATACCTAATAAAGCAGATTTGAGCACAGCAGATTTTAGCTCAGAAATTTTATAATTTATTTCTTTTATTAAAAACAAAATGATCTGTTTGAAAATATTGCTTTGCAGAATAAGCTGTATACTTTCTAATCAGAAGTAGAGAGGGCCAAGAGCTTGATGTTGTTATTTACATTTATATTGAAAACACCATCCATTAGTTTTGACCAAAAAGTATATAATAAGCTTTTCTTTATTTCATCAATTTTAACTAAATAATTAAAACATATCAATAACTTTTATAGTAAAAAATACTATATTTAGATTATATTTAAATTTACAAAAAATATTTAGATTGCTTTACGAAAGGAAATTTCTTAATGCAAGCATTGAAATTTTTAAGAAGATTGAGAATTCAAAGTACTGTATGCAATAATGAATTGCATTTTCGGTTAAATATAATTTTGTTAAAATTGTTTTAGGAATGTTACTGAACACATCTTTTTATTCAAAACATTTACTTATAATTGCACATTTAAAAATATGTATTAAGCAAAACATTACATAACTTTAAAAGTTATTCACATATGAAAATTAAGTTGATTCTCTAATGCTCTATAAAAGGCAGGAAATAAAGTCTATAAAGTCAGGAAATTGTAGTAATGAAATAACTTGAAGTACTGAAATGATTTCAATTTCATGATAAAATATTTAATGTTTTAAATTTTATTGTACAATACTTTTAAACTTAAGCCAGCAAATATCATTGAGCAGTTATCCAGTTTTAATAAAAAGTACATAAAAAAATATTTAAATTGAAAGAAAATACTGTAAAAATATAATTAAATGTTAAAATATTTAGATTATTATAGTTTTATTTTTGGTTTTAGTCTATAACATTTTAAAGTTATTTTTCATCCAATTTTAGCGATTTTTTTTCTTTCGGGTTTTAGAAGGTTCAGATGTGCCAGATGCTTCTCCAATAACAATTTGACCTTCTTGAATTTCTTGACTTGATATATTAGGCACATCTTGAAGTTTATCTTTAGCTTCAAAATAAAACATCAGATCACGCAATTGATCTTGCAAGTCTAAAATTTCCTGTTAAAACATTAAAATAAAATTTTAATTTTTGGAACATTGATTGTTAAAATTCTAATATCTGTTTTTAAAATTCTAATATCTGTTTTTACATTTACTTAAAAAAAAAAAAGAAAGTATTAACAGAGTTGAAAAATACTTTTTGTGTACCAGAACCAATTGAATATAATAATTTCATTTTGCTAATGGTCTTGAAAAATTATGAGCTTTATATAAATTGTAAACCTGGAAGATTTTGCTTTCCTCGTTTATATCTAAATTTTACCCTTTTGAAATAGGTTCCCAAAATGCTGAACATCAATCCATTTGATCTATCTCTTGGATTTATGTAAAAATGGTTAACATTATTAATATCTTTTTAAACATTATTAATGTTGGAGATAATAAACAGAAAAATTGTTTCTAATACATAAACTTTATTTATGGTAACATCTTCCTTTTGAAGAAACTATGAAATAGAAATAAAGAATATAAAAAGAAATGAAGAGTGAGTCTATTAAGAAAATAAAAGATTCTATTAAAAAAGAAAAGAAAAAAGAGCATTTCGATTATTTTGGGAAGCAATGATTTGCATTTAGAGCAGACAGTAGTGATTAATTCTTTCACATACACAAAGATTAAAAATCTGAAATTAAAAACTAATCAGTAGAACAAGTAAATTGTCTCTTAAAAATTCCAATTAATTTTTTTAATTAATTAGAATTTTAAAAATAAACCATTTAAAGAATAAAGAAAAATTAATTATTAAGTTCCGAAATACTGGCTGCAGACTTCATGTGGTATTAATCTATTATTTGAAAGTATTGTATAAAATTCAAACTCAATTAACACAAAATCTTTACAACATAAAATTTTCTGAGTATAATTTTTCATAGTCTCTGTGACTGAGCTGGAATTGCAGAAAAATTTGAATTTATGAAGATAGTGCAGCAGGTTGATAGAGTGTATCCTGTTATCAGGCTTATTGTGATTACTAATTATACTCTGTTGGCAAGTTAAGAAAATACCATAGCGGTATGGAATTTAAGCCATCATCTGCTACTGCATATAGTTCCATTTTATTTCATTATCAAATTATACAAATATGCTTTCAAAGCAAGATAAAGCATCACGTCAGACTGAAATTTAATTGGAGCTATCATTTACGATATATCATAGAATTATTAAAAAAAGATTACATAAGTCTTACTGGAATCCTAGACTTGGCAACATATTTTGATAAATAAGGAGAATATTTGTTCTTGGAAAAGAAACAACTATATGACATTGCAAGGAGCATTGGATTCAATTGGGAAGCTAAAACTGACACGTCTTACGCTGACATGTTCTTAACAAATCAAAAGTGAAAAAAATAATTTTTACTTCTGTTTTGCTGGAAAAAAAATTATCTTCAAGAAGCAATATTTATTTTTTAACTTGCAACTGAGTATAGTATGCTCGGTGAATTCGCATAATGGAATGAAGTCCACATTAAAGATACTTACTTTATCTTTTTCTTTAACACCTTTCTCAGCTGCATTTAATTTTTGTTGCCACAATGTTTGATTCTGCCTAAGGCACTTGTTCATCTAAAAAAAAAATTCGATTAAGTCAATCCACTGAATGTTTTGTGAAAAGAAAACTAAACAATAATAATTTAATAGTTTTATTCTTTTACACATACAAAGAAACGGAAATATGAAATGGAAACTTGTGAACAATAAAAGATAGCAAAAAAAAAGGTATAAAAATTAATGGAGTATTTAGAATTATTTTTAAGCAGTAAAATTAAGGATATATTGAAATCTTTTGAAATTACGATACACTTTCTATTCTATTTAATGTTAAATTCAATTTTTATCTGAAAATTTTGTTTTTCAAATTTAAAAAAAAAATTATAGCATAAATAAAGGTGACTCTTAATACTTTTCGTTTGTATGTAAGACAAAAATATTATTTTAAACAATAATATGATTTTTAATAGAGATTGCTTTATTAACACTAGATTTACGTAACCCGTCAATTTGACGTGTTTTCGATTTCATGCCTTGAAATTTCGAACATGTAAATATTATTCTTAAGATATTATACATTGGTTTTCACTACTATAATGCATAGAATATATATTTCCATTCGTTTCCACCGAAAGACTTACATTTTAGTATTTCTATATGTTATATACCTATTTTTATGATAATCCGTCAATTTGACAAATTACTTAATTTACGATCAATTGTTGCAAACCTTGCAAAATAACTAAAATGAAAATATGAAACAAATAAAAAAAACATATAAATAAAAATAAATGAAAAAAAAAACCATTAAATAAAAATAAATGAAAGAATACAAGTACAGCAAATTTTGTCATATCAAAAATAATAATTTCAACGGTGCGTTTTACAGAGACAACTTGTGATTTTTGTAAATTTAGTTAGGCTGATCTAGATATTTCAGAATAAAATTAGATCAATGTGCAACAAACAGTGCATTTTGCAAAAAGAAGTGAAATTGTGAAGTTCAGTGAAAATTCATTTTATAAGTAAAGATTTAATTTTTTCCAGGTTTGTTACAAACTTATCTAAAAAGAAATACTTTTTTACATTTATATTTTGTCTACTTAGCAAGGGCTAATATGGACAAGTTTCCAAAATATATGGAATTTATAAATAAACTAACCAGCATAAATGAAGACCAATCTGGATCTGATTCTGACATACATGAATTATGCAATAGCGAGGAAGAATTCGACGAAGTAATTACGAAATTGAAGATTCTGAGGACAGTGGAAATGAAAATATTCGCAATACCTGCTATTAAAGAAAAAGAATGCAAATCATTTCAGACTCCGAGAGAGAAAATGAGATGGAAGTTGTTGATACCTGTAATTTAGAAAATTCGATCAAACGTTCTGCGGATGGAACTTTATGGGAAACACTAAAAGAAGGTGGAGGTTGTGGTAGAAAACCAGCTTATAGTATGTTCAAGGATGTGTCAGGACCAACAGCGTACGCAAAAAAATATTATGCTTAGGAATGTAAGGAGCGCATTTGAACTGATAATTGACAACGGCATGATTGAATCAAAATATGTACTGAAACAGAGGCTCGTAAGGTTTTGAAAAAAGATGATTGGTTGATTACAGAGGTACAACTACAAGCTTTTATATCGATTTTGTATGCCCGAGGGGCGTATGAAGCAAAATCCCTGAAAGCTTCATATTTACGGTCTAAGAAATGGGGTCCAAGCTTCTTTTCAAAAACCAGGTCCAGAGATAAGTTCATGGAAATTCTTCGATTCATACGTTTTGACAAGAAAAACCAAAGAAGTCAAAGATTGAAAACTGATAAATTTGCGTTGATTTCTATAATATGGGACAAATTTATCCAAAATAGCCAGGCTTGCTATAAGCCTGGGGAGAACCTTACAGTTGACGAGCAATTGTTTCCAAGCAAAACTAGATGCCGTTTTATGCAGTTCATGCCAATTAAACCTGATAAATTTGGCATAAAGTTTTGGTTGGCATCGAATGTAAAAAACAAGTATCTAATAAATAGCTTCCCATATTTAGGGAAAGACGAAAAACGACCATCAGACATACCTTCGGGCGAATTCGTTGTGCTCAAGCTTACTGAACCATATTTAGGCCATTGCCGAAATATAACTACTGATCACTTTTTTAGGAGTATTTTACTTGCAAAAAAGTTACTTTAAAAAAAAAAAAACTCTTGTAGGGACTTTACGAGCAAACAGAAAAGAATTGCCGAAATTTGCAAAGGCTAAGAAGGATAACATGATCCGATATTCCACAAAACTTTATAAATCAGATGAGTACGTTCTTACAGTTTACAAGTCCAAGCCAAACAAAAAGGCATTATTGCTTAGTTTGAAACACAAAAATGTCAAAATAGAAAATGATGCTAAACGTGTCCCAGAAACAGTTGCATATTACAACAAAACAAAGTTTGGGGTGAATATTGTAGACCAAATGGCTAGAAAATATAGCGTGAAAGCAGGATCCCGTAGATGGCCGCTTCATGTGTTTTATAACCTTTTAGATTTGGCAGCCATCAATGCCTAGATATTGTACAAAGGAGACCACTGGAGTAAAAATAACTCGCAAGAATTTTTTTCCCCAATTGGCTGAAGAACTAGGCAGTGACCATCGCGATGAACAAAATACAAGTTTTAATTCATTATCTGATTTACAAAATCCAAATGTGCGAAAATCTTGTCAAATTGGGTTATGTAAAAAAAATAGGTCTCATAACATTTGCATTAAATGTAACAAGTATGTATGTGGAAAGTGTGCATCCAAAATAGAGTTTACATGTAAAAAATGTATTGAAAACAACTGTGAATAAAAAACCATTAATTTAAAAATAAGAGTTTTACAAAAATGAGTATTTTAATTTACCCGTCAAAAATACGGATTTCAGTAAAAATAGGTATGCGGCCGATACCCGTAAATCTAGTGTTAAACAACTCTGTCGTAATGATAATATTTAAACAAAAAGAAAACCATGGTCTTTATTTAAAAAAGTAACAATACTCAATTCAGAGTAACTTAAATAGTTATCAAAGAAATTTCTTTTATTAACCTTTAAAAAAATATATTAATTGCTATTATGATATTTGATGCATTTATTTTTTCAAATAAAAAAAAAACATTTCACATGAATATTTTATTATTCTGCAGGAATTAAAACTTTTTCCATTATTTATGATTATAAAATATAGTTTCATATTTAATTGGCATAATAAAAACAATGCATACATATTTATAATCCCTTGACAGTAATTGAACAAAAATCCCACCCTTATTCTTATTAGAAATAATAACAAAATATAACTATACTCATTATATGGTTAGGTCATCATACACCACTTGGAACATTACTTAACTATGAACTGGTTGACCAGTGGGTTTGAAAAGCTATTTTTTCTACTAAAATTACCTTAAATTAATGTTAATTCAAGTTATTATTGTCATAACCTGCATTAAAATAGACCCAGAAATAACTATTTTATGTAATTCAATGATTTGGGAGCTAACTTGCCAAGTTAGATAGCAATTTTAACATTTTCCAGTTAAGGTTTTGGGTATATAAATAAGGTATCTCTGTATATTTTGAGGTAAGAAATTAAATTGTCCTTAGTTCAGCTGAAATTTGATAACATTTTCATTTAGTTAAAAATAAACATTAAAGAAAAACATTTACCTCTTTTTCATCCTTGAATTCAGTAGCTAAACGATTTAATTTAGTTGTAAGCTGCAAGCAAAAGAAAAATAAATATAAAAAAAAAAACAGAAAGTTATAACACTGAAATCAAATAATTTAAATTTTTTTAATAATTCACTGCATTTTAAAATATATAAATTAAACATATGGACATGTCTTTTAATTTATTGGCACATATAAATAACTTTAAACTTAGTTAACATATTCGTAGAACATTCTATCAATAGTATTTTTCACATACAGTATTAAAATAATTTCAGAAAGAACTCATAGGATAGAAGCACAAAATGCAAATTAAATGTTTTCTTGTGATGTAGAATGGAAAATTATTTTAAAATTTTGAAAAGACTAACTCATTATGATAAAAAAAAAGCCAGGATAGTTAGGGCACTGAGCTGTCTTTATGTAGGATTAGGGTTTGATCCTAAGTGGTGGCTTGAAACCCGCCCAGTTTCAGATTGATGGGTAACAGCTTGTGTGGGAAGCAAAGCAGTGGCTGCATAATGGTGACCATATAGTCACAATCATGTAACGAAAATATGGTCCCCTGGCCAACAACTGGCTGTTGCAGGAATTCTTTAACTTTTTACTTGTAATTAATACAAAAATAAAATGTCTTTTTTATGAATAATGTATATTCATACTTGAGTAATTTTCTTGTCTAGGGCTTGTTTCTCTTTAGTGACTCTATTGAGCTTTTCTTCTAATTGTTTTCTTTCATCAACTGCATGTTTTGTTTTCTCTTTCATTTCTTCCAGCTAAAAATTTAATAAAAATAAAACATTAATATCAAAGGTATGTAACTAAAAACTACTTTTTCAAGCAGAGCTAAAGCAAACAAAATAACCTGTTTAAGAGCTTCACTTTCAATTCTAGTTAAGCGATCTTCAAAGTAGTGTCTCTGAGCTTCCAGCTGACTTGTCAATAGATAAGTATACTAAAATAGATTTAAAATATTAAGTTTATTTTAAAACTGTTTAATTTTAAATATTACATTAGAACTAATTTTACTAGAAGAAAATTGGTTTAGACATAGGAAAATTATAGATTATGACCAACAATGGTAAAAAATCCAATATTATGAAGTTCATGAATTTTATTAGTTTATATATATAAAGGCAGTCAAACCTGAATATGATGAAATGTGGTAACAAGAAAAATTTTAAATTCAAATTTCTTACGCTGATAATGTAAAAAAAATAATAATAACTGTTTTAGCCAAACATTTCGCCAATTCTCAATGCTCCGTGATACCATAATATATTTTAGTCACTTCAAATGTTTTTTTCCCCTAAGTTTTCAAGAATTTAAAATGCTTTTTTCAACTTCAAGTCTTTCTCAGACTATTTTTGAATAATTACATGAACCATTTCTTAAACTATAGCAATAAAGATATTTTCTAAAAAGAAGTTGCTTAAATCATCCATTCTTAAAGAAGTGAATTTGAAAAATATGTGTGCATTGATAAAAAAACTGCTTATAAGATTTGGAAGAACTAACTAATTTGATGAGTTCAAAAGAAATTTATAATTATGAAGGTATAGTTAAAGTAGACAATAATCTTGCAGTGTGTGCAGTGATTGAGAGAAAGTGGACTCACTCTTACAAATATGTGTTAAATTCAATAGCAACTTCATCCTCAGACTGTGACTGAAGGACAGGAAAGGACAATTGTTTTTAAAATTTCAGCATTTTTAATTTTTTTCAATTAAAATCATGTGCACCCTATTTCAAACATACACAGGTTGTGCATCAATTTCAAATCATCTGCTTTCTTTTCAGGTCAATGAAATAACGAAGTAGGTCTTTTTTTTCCAAATAAATTATTAAAAGCTATTAAGTTACATAATCTGAGTGATACATTATAAAGAAATGACTTCTTAATTGTTTTAATTAGTTTTCAAAAACAAAAAATATGTGTCAAATGAAAATTAGTAACAAAATGTGTGTCTTAAATGGACACAGTCATTACAATATCCCTTTGAAAATTACTAAACACTAATAAAACAAGATAAACCTTAAAAGAACTAAAAAGATAAACAACTATATTTAATGATGTGGAAATTGCACTGTTTCTTTGAATAAAAATTGGTGCTTATGATGCAATTCTTAAACTGAGAACTAATGTAATCAGGATAATTGATAATTTGAGTCAACGTAATGTAAAGCTTCAAGAATCATTTTGGACAACTCTTTCCCTTTTAATTTATAACAAACATTAACAGGCAAAATTAGTGACCCGTGAACAAAAATAATAATAATATTTTTTTAATTCAGCATAAAGCTAATATTATTTTTTATAAACTAAATGCTGAAACATTTTAATAAAGATTACATTTTAAAAATTTAACCCTTCAAAAGTTAAGTAATGAACAATATACAGACCTCTAGTTGCATTGAATCCATTTTCTCTTCATTTTCCACCTGTTTAGAATTTAGAATAATTATTTTGAAGTTACGCAAATATTATATTAAAAACAACAATATTAATTATCTTCAGGAAATATTTCTTACCCACAGAGGTTCAAGCTCAACAGGTTTACCATCAGCTTTATTTTGAATCAAACGGTGTACATAATTGTCTCCAGCATAATCCCAAACCCGGCTATTGCCTAACTGCATAGCATAAGTGTGTTGTGTATCTAAATAATGGCTAGAATAAACAAAAGAAATTAAACAAAGACCAGTTTTATTTCATATACACCTATTTGCATTAACAAGTGAATTAAATAATTACATGAGATTGTTGTGCTAATTAATAAAATAGAAATAAATTTAACTCACTGATATGCATGTCCATCTACATATCGACCACAACCAATATGACCACAAATAAGGCATATCCATAAACTCTACAATAATATTAAAATATTTTTTAAAATTACTGATCGCAAAAAAGAGAATATTTTTAACAGTGCATTTAAACATTAATCAATTACACAGCAAATCCTTTAATAATAAAAAGCAAATTTTTTTATTGAATTTAAATTTTTGTTAGAAATACAAACAATACTGAGCTTAAATTGCAAATTTCGTTAACAAATGATATGCATGCAAGCGTCAGAGTTTTAAAAGACAAAGAGAAATTTTGTGGTTTGAAACTAATTGAATTATACACAAGTGTGAGGGAAAAAAACTACTTCATTTACTATGACCGACCTATAAAAAGAATTTCTTAACTTTATGTGCGGCCTATTTTAGCATTTTTAAAGTGTAAAATATGCTACAGTGCAGAACACAGACCACTGATACCTAACAATGCATTATTTGGATATAATTCTTGATCTATAAGTTCAAAAATACTTTGAATTTTATTTTTCTTTAAATTTATTGCTGACTATCTTTCTTTCTTTGTAACATATGAAAAATCAAAATAAATGAACAATTTAGACTATTGTATAGAATGACTATTTGTCCATATCCAACTAGTCTGAATGCATTTTGATTGATCTAGTTGTAAATTTAAAAATTATGTTGTAAAATATCCATGCTTGAACTCTTAATAGTAGCACAGCAAGCGAAAAATTTTAGAATTAAAAACGCATGCAACTTGAATAGATATAGTCTACACCATTACTAACATACTGCTATACTGAAGATAAAAATAATCTCTTACTTCTTGTGATCCACATTCTACACAACGGTTATCAGGCATAAGCTCAGGAGTTTGACTATAACGGCAAACAGGACAGCTACAATTTAAAACAAAATTGTCAGAAAGAAGCAAAATATTGAATTTTTAAAAGGAAAACAAACAAAAAACATTATTTGCAGCAGCAATGTAGCATAGTCTGCCTGCAACAGAAAACATTCTTTCATATATATTTTTTCTGAGCATCTGCTGAGGAACTTTGAAACCAACATTAAAACTTGGGGAAAATATATAATCCATTGCTTCTTAAACAGAACACAGAAAATTGTATATTTATTTTTCTTTCAATTTTTCTTCAAATTATTGGTCATTTTTTGACATCCAGAATATATCCTATGTGGATGCATAGTTGAAAGCATAAAATACATAGCTATTTATTTTTCGTATTTTTTTCCTCTTTTTTTAAAAAAAAGAAAGGAGAATATAAAATTGAACTTTGGGTTGCTTTATTTTTAAATAGTGGCTGCACTACTGATATTTCAATAAATAGAAGACTACAACAGGTAATATACAATGGTTATTCCTCAACAGAATTTCAGAAATGAATAACAGAACGAATGCATAATTGTGAATAATTAGTGCTACATTTAAATACTTAGATACCTGCCAACTTTCGCTCCTTTCGAGAATGGATTTTCCATGTGGTAGTAAAACAATTACCGAAAAACTATCTTCCTCAAGAATATATTTATATTTTAATCAGGTTAAAATTCGCTATTGTAAGGAATAATATATTTTTATATATTTGTTGTAATTATTTATATGTAGTGGTGGTCAAACTGATTCAAAATTATTATTATAATTCAAAAAGTTTAGGGAAATAACATGAATTTCGCTAGCACATTAAATATGAAAATAAAATCTTCCGGGAAAACCAGAAGAGTTGGCAGCTATGTACTTAATACTGAACAAATGTAAAGAATTTAACTGCATATATGAACTTACCTTGTATCACCCCACTTAGCTAAACAACTACCATGAAATGAATGGTTACACAGAATAGTTAAAATACCCTCCACTGACTCATCCTAAAAATATCCAAAGATAAATTATTGCAAAAGAATCGCTACATCTCTTATTTTAATATCAATATGAAACAATCAATAAAAGAAAATAATGATATATTTTATAAACTATTTAATTTGTTGATAGTGTTTTGAGCTTATTTCTTTTTTTGAGCATGTGTGTGTAATCTTAAAGGTTATACACATATGATAGATGTCGACCTGACCAGAGCAATATTTTTTAAAAGTCGCAAAGTTATAACTCATGGTTTTCTATAATAATAGGTATGACATTAAAAAAGAAAAGAAATGAAGTGTAAAATAAAAAAAAATGTAAAGATCATTCTTGAAGAATGATTGTGAAGGTGATTGCATATTGTGAATTTATCACTTAACAATATCATTGTTTAAATATTAATTTGGTGAAAATTCTAATGTTTCTTCACAAAATAAAATTAGCTCAGATTGTAACCCAACTGTTATTATTATTTTTTTTTTTTTTTTTTTTTTTTTTTTTTTTTTTTTTNTTTTTTTTTTTTGCTTTATTAAAAATAAACAAGTTATATTTTGCATATACCAATGACAAGAATAGTAAAATTTACTGGATTACAGAGTATTTTAAAATATGTTTCTTAGGTTATTCAATTACAAGAAAACAAGAATCCTTCTATTCTTTTTTGGAAAACAATAATTAAAAAAAAAAATATCAATATTACTTTGAAAAATGCTAACTAAATTTCGTGAAACATTAAAGCTGATTGAATAAATTCATTAAAAAAAGCTTAATAAGCAAATAAATAAATAAAATTTCAAAGTGTTTTAAATTAAAAAACTTTTTTCCTCGAGAAAACATTACAAATCTACAAACAAAATCTATATTTGACCAACATATAACATTTAACTGCATTGAATCTCATATATCTTACAAAGAGCTATGCATTTTAAAACTTCCATATATAAGTGAAAAGTGATTTTGTGACAAACACAAAATTTGTCTTTCACTATGAACTGAAAATTAGACAAATATGATAATAATGGTTTTACCATAGCTTTAGAATTACAAAGTAAACATAATTAAAACAGCTCAAAACGTTCACACACTCAGTATTACAATATTCATAAAAAAGCAATAATAACTAATCTAGAACCAAATAATAAATATTAGCAAATTGCACTAGTGCAAAATTTTTAATAAATATCCATGAAAAGAAATTGGATGAAACAAAAAGCAATAACACCTTTTACAATAAGAAACATAATAACAAATCTAACCATTCTTTCTAAGCAAACAGGACAAGTTGGAAGTTCTGTTGTGCCAGGCAAAGGTAAGCAAGATATCTATAAGAAATATTATTAAACACTTAAAATTAACATCAATCGAGAAATGTGTAAAAAATACAAGTAAAAAAAGGGGGAGGGAGGAAAATAAAATTTAAAGGAAACAAAAGCCTTTTCTCTCTCCTTAGTTTTAAAAAATAATTGATGAACATTGACCAAACATAATTTTGGACAATTTTTGTGAATAATTTTAGACCACACAGTATAGTTTTTGATGTTTATTTCTTTAATTTAATTCCTGTCAAACGTCATAATATTTGTTGCAACCATTGGCACCAACTTGCAAAAAATATTGAAAGGGTTCAATTTCAAATACACTTGGAAGACATAGGTTCTTACTCTATACAGAAAAACTACTATAAAGTGTAGGGGAAATACTTATGTAATAGTTTTACAATCACGAAATGTTTACTGAAGGACACGGTATTGATTTTTTTTTAAATACTTGCAGATTTGAGTTAAATTACATTGTTTATTATTTTTTAGAAAATTTCAAAGTTAAAATTTTAAAACTTACATAGAAAAAAATCCTAATAATAGTTTTTTTTTCTTATAAAAAATATATTAAATGTCACAAAATTAAGACAAACACATTTTTTAAAACAAAGAAATTTTTCTTAAAAAAAGTTAAATTGTATTAATTACATAAAAAGCTTAATTATGAAACACATTTAGACTCACTTTGAAGTTGTTTAAGTGTAGGTACCATTACTCAATTTTTTATGACTTTGTATGGAATTGGTAAAGAAGAGGATTGAGTTGACTGTTTTTAACATATGAAAAACTTAATATTATGTTTTATTACACATATTACTAATGTATTTAGTTTAATTTTGTCTAATCTTATAGAGAAACTTTCAAGTGGAAAATTCATATTCTTCAATAATAAATTTTAAAAAAAAACACTAGTATTAATATATATATATTTTACCTCCGATTCTTTTATTGTTTCAACTTTAGCAACAAAAGCAAGATGACAGACTTCAGGCTCTATGCTATTAAAACGTTCTCCATTGAAATTTTTATAAAATAGATCAGCAGATAACTGTAAAACAATAAAAGGTAAAATTTACATAAAATAATTATTTCAAACATTTTTAACATAAATATTAAATATTTTTAAAATTAAAATAGGAAAAAAACAATATCAAGAGCATTGTGTANGTATTAATTACATAAAAAGCTTAATTATGAAACACTTAGACTCACTTTGAAGTTGTTTAAGTGTAGGTACCAATACTCAATTTTTTTATGACTTTGTATGGAATTGATAAAGAAGAGGATTGAGTTGACTGTTTTTAACATATGAAAAACTTCATATTATGTTTTATTACACATATAACTAATGTATTTAGTTTAATTTTGTCTAATCTTATGAGAGAAACTTTCAAGTGGAAAATTCATATTCTTCAATAATAAATTTTAAAAAAAAAACACTAGTATTAATATATATATATTTTACCTCCGATTCTTTTATTGTTTCAACTTTAGCAACAAAAGCAAGATGACAGACTTCAGGCTCTATGCTATTAAAACGTTCTCCATTGAAATTTTTATAAAATAGATCAGCAGATAACTGTAAAACAATAAAAGGTAAAATTTACATAAAATAATTATTTCAAACATTTTTAACATAAATATTAAATATTTTTAAAATTAAAATAGGAAAAAAACAATATCAAGAGCATTGTGTATTGCATAAAAACAGAGAAAGTTGCCCAGAATATGAAGGGAAAAAATATTTTTCAAATAGCATTTAGATAACTAGGTGATTGTGGTACAAATTAATACATAAAATTGAATAACTAATTTATAATATTTTGCTGAATGCACTCTTGTACATTACAAATAAATGCATAAATTACAAAACTTTAGATTAATTTTGGGTCTTTTTACTGATCTTTTAAAATTTTTATATACTGAAAAACAATATTTAAAATAAAAAAATACAAGTAAATATATTTCGTTAGTGTGAATTTGGTAAAAGCCAGTTAAACAGTAAAAACAAGCAAATAAATGGTTCTCAAATAGTATTGCAATTTCAATAAATTATGTTTTATGAAACCCTTTGATTGTTTAAGTTTGGCAATTAGAAAATGAAACTCCAAACATAGACTAAGGTTGTAATTCATCAGGCTTATATTTTTGAGGGACCTATAGGGTTTCTTAAAATAAAAATTCACTGGAATTTTTCTATTAAAAAAATTTGATTATTTTTTTTAAAGAAAATAGAAAAAATTGGTTGCGATAGAAATTAGTTGTTATTAAAATAAAAGAAAAAGACATTAAAAACTTTTTCAGCATTTTTCTATCATATCAAGAACAAAGAACATCAGAGATATAGCATTATCTATAATTCTACGGTCATATATGGAATCAGTCATATATGGAATTACATAGATGAGATTAGAGGTAAAATTATTGTAAATGATTTGCTTTAAAATGCAGAAAAGTGAATATTGTTTGATGATAAAGCTCAACATATTAAAAGTATCAAATTCTTTTGTTGTTCTAGGTGAAATATATAAACCATAAAAGCTTACAATTATGGAACTGAATAAAGAATTGAAACTAAATATCTATTTTCTGTTATTGAAAACTGAGCAATTAATTTAAGAGAATAAAAAGACACCTACTTGATTTCTAAACTTTATGAGCACCATATACTGATTGGGCTTATTTTCCTTTATAATTCTAATATTTTCCACATCCTCACTGAAATGAAAACAAATGCATTTTAAAAGAAATTATACATAACATATAAAAACTGTTACAATAAAATATTACAATTCATAATAATTTTCCAAAGTAGGGTAATCTATAGTAAATTCAAACATTTCCTCTTTAGTAAATTCAAATGTTCCTTTTTTAATTATAATTTGTTTTAGTTTAACCACCAACTAGTGACACAACTCTTATTAAAAGTTGCATTTCTGGGCATAGTTCATAATTTTCTAATGTTAAATTGGACAATAATTCTTAATAGCTTATCAAAATCAATTATCCATGCAGTTTACTTCCAATTTTTTTTTATCATTCACTGATATGATGATAAATAATAAGCTAAATACTTAAATTAAAAGCACTTTTTTATTTATTTACTTTTTGCAAAAAAGATGCCAAATTTTATTTCTAGTACAAGTTTAAAAGTTGTACACTCTTTTTCAATCAAATTTTTTTGTATCATTCACGGATATATTGATAAATAATAGGGCTAAATACTTTGATTAAATATTTTTTTTTTTTAGCAAAAAAGATGTCAAATTTTATTTTTAGTAGAAGTTTAAAAATTGCATGTACATACTTATTTAATCAACCACATGCTAAGTTAAATTTACTTCTACATGCATTTTTTCAAAAAACAAAATAGCAAAACCTGTGTTGTAAAACAAACATAGAGAATTAGTATACTACAAAATAAAACTTAGTGTTTGTTATCTTTCTTGTTATGTTGCATAACAAACTCCAGCTACAAAATGGAATCAATTAATGTATTTTTTGTATATGATTTAAACTGGTAAAACTTATTTTTTTGAACTGGTAAAAATAATCATATTTAGAGAGGAGAAAATAAATTAGCTATAAAAAACAGTGGAAAGTCCCATATCTGGAATCGTCAGGACTTCCGTAAGTCCAGAAAATAAATTTTTCCGGATAATAGGTCTTTAAGGTAAAAAATATCAAAACATTCAAATTAAAAAAATTAAAAAATCGACAATAAGTAACAACAATTTCAACAGAGAATAAATCTACATGATTTGGCTGGTTGCACTATTTTGAAAGATTTTGTTACAGATTTCCACATGGTTTTTAAAATTTTGATTCAAATTCCAAATCACACACTTCAGTTAGTAATCATTTCTCAATCTACTCAATTAGTGATGATTCCACAATGACTGTGCGGGGTTTTTCCAATTGTTTTTTTCCCTATCGTTTTTGTAGTTATTAAAACCGATTGTCACTTTATTTTTAAAATCTTAATGCAATATTATTTTGATGGGCAAACTTTGTAATTGCGCATTTCGCATGCAATTATTGAAGATTCACCCACAATCTCACATGGATTTACGATCACAATTTTGCAAGTTGTTGCTACCAATTTTCATAGTTTTTTAATGCTACATTATAATATATGGGAAGTTTCGAATTGTGCATTTGTAGAATTACTTTTTAATGACTCAATTTGTGATTTTATTGTCTCTCTGGTTTTGTCGATCGCCGCCATTTCAACAGTTTCTGGTTTCTACATAGTTTTTAAAAAATCGACTTCATTTTCAATAAAATATCATTTTAATTTGCAAATTCCAAATCGCTGTTTTGAAAAATCAATTAATGACCCACTTTAGTCGTATCAATATCTCAAATCAGCAGTTTTTTTTCTTTTTAAAGTGAAAATTTTGAGCGCTCTGAAATTAAGCACATAATTCTTGGCTGTAATAATCCGTTTATGCCAGAAGTGAAAAAAAATAAACGATCTTTTTCAAGGTGTAGTAAAATGCCGAATTTCGTTTTGATGATATCTAATTTTTTTTTCATGTTGTAGTCTAAATCAAATTAAAATTAGAAAAAAAAAATGGAAATCGGGTAAACATGAAAAAGAAGCAACAGAAAAACGGAGGATTCTCATCCCTGCATACTTTTTTTCAACAAATCACAAATGCAAAAAAAAAAATTTTGATAAGGAAAAAAGGGTTTTGTTTATTTTGATTGTTGGCTTCCCGTAAACAGATGCCTGGATATGAAACTTTCCACAGTTGTTGAAGAATCAAATTTTCATAAATTTAGTATAAAGTATACACGTACTAGACTGGTGCAATAAATTGTAGAAGATCATGAGTTGTCATTGCAGCAGGCACAGCTAAAATACAAATCATTTCACTTCTCTCAGCTTCTTCTGCAAGTGTTGTTCTTTGGCTACAGAAAAGAAAAGTGTACAACTTAGAAGCATTGGGATTGCTGGTAATCAAATTTAAATCTTACAAAAAGTTCAGTTTAAAACTTACAAAGTTACAATTTTTTTTTTCCTTCACAGATTTCAAAAGGAAAAAAAAAACTTACATCCATATAACAAAATTACAATAAAAAAAAGATAAAGGAGTCTAATATTTTAAGAAATATGACATAAAAAAACTTATATTTTTTATACCTCCAGACAGATAAAAAAACTTAGTTCATTTAGATGAAAAGCAATAAATTTTTTCTCTTCTCTATTTTATTTGCAGTGTTAAAAAAAATCATATTCAACAATATTTCGTAAAGAAAATTTCATCAAAGCATAATTTTTTAAATCAAAAAGCAAATTATCTTCAAATTAAAAATTACAATATACTTAAAAAACTACAATCTTTAAAGTATTCAAAATTACAAGAAACAAAGTCAATTCAAAAATATTTTGTGAAATTCACTTTTTTAGCCTTTTGGTCTAATATTTAGTTTTCTATGAATAAACCCTTAGCAATGAACTGATTGTTTAGCAAAGAGAGAAAGTTTCTCAATATGCTAAGTGTAAATAAACTTTTCATTATACAGTTATCTTTATGCTAGTCTGGGTACTGTTTTAATATTCATACTATTGCCATCATAGTAATTTTAAGCATATTTATGATATTAAAACTAGAATATTAGACCTAAAAACCATAGAACTTAACATCATATACATTTTTGAATGATGAATCTAAAAAAGCCTAATGATTCAAAAATATGAAATTATTTTGAATTACAACTGTAATCTTGAATTGAAGTCTTTTCTTACATAGATTGTTAAAATATAACCGGCATTTTAATCTCACGTCTATTTCTTATTCGAATTTGCACCTTCCTTATACCTAGCACTTTTAGTATAAGTATTTTCAATTGCCTCAAAAACAGTACTATTCCATCAACTGAATACCACATAAAAATCTAAATTAGATTTTAAATCAAAATATCATCAAATGTTTTATTTTATTACCGGCATTGAACAGTCAACCCAATTGAGTTTACAACTATTGATGTTAAACTCTTAAGCCATGTAATTTTAAACCCAATCCAGAAGACAAGGGAACTCTTGGATCAAGCATTAGGACAAACTAGACTTTGTGGAGGCATATTTGATCGAACTCACCCAGCATTTGTGTTACATGGAGAGGAAAACCTCCTATGGTTAACCTGAAGGGAAGGAGATTATAAACCAAGATCTGTCTACTACTGAGGATATTTTATGTTAGCAACTGTAGTTGGTGCAAGCCAGGAACAGAATTTGTATCAACCAGCCATCGCAGGGACTCGAACCCGGATCATTGCATTGGAGGCAAATACTCTATCCCTTGAGTTATCGTGGACCATATTTTGCAGCCAAGCAAAAGTACACAATAAACTTAATTAAAAAAAAAGTTATAGAATGGGACAAAAAAGAAGAATAAACTTAGAGCCACCTCCCAGCAAGCTACTATGTATATATAACATTGCTGCCGAGTGGAAGGATAAAAGCAGGTCTTAGGCAGGAAAAGAGGGTATAAAATGTATTTATTAATTATTAGAGTGAGAACAGCTATAAAAGTGTGCACGAATTTGTTGTGCTCCTCAATAAAAGCTAGGGAAAATCTTGCAAAGTAAATCCGTAAATGTCTCGTTTTAGGGAATAAGAGAAAACAATTGGGTTAGCAAATAGGTCGTGCGATTCCCACAAACAGTAAAGGAAAAAATGTCTTACTTTTAATTAATGCATACTTGAACCAAAAATAGATTAAAGGACAGGATGTGAATTTAAAAAAGTGTGAGAAAGCATTTCGTTTTGAATAATAAATTAAGAAAAGGATTTACAGAAAAGGAATTAACATAAAAAGATTAGCTGAAGCTTTTTATGTTACATATATATTTTTCGAATTCATTGCAAGAACTAAAACTGATCAATGGCACTCTCTAAAGAGTGCAGGAGGTAGGAGGAGTGTCTCCAATATAAGTCCACTATGATAAAATATTTTGAAATCTAGTTAAGGGGGAACCCCTCTAAAAGACACTCTTATCGAAATTAAATTTAAAAAAGCCATATAAGAGTTATTTTAATTATCCTTAATTTATCCTATGATGCACTTACTTATCTTTATATAAATGAAGTAAACCCTTAGTTACTTCCACAAAATGATTCCCAGAAGAGAATGGAATAGGTAAGGAATGATGAAGTCTGTTTCTTTTATCAACATCCAACATAGAAATGTTGTCACCAATACTAATATTCTCTACTTTTGAATCTTTAGTCACAACTTCCACAGGAATAACTTTGCTTTCTTCAATTCCCACATTGTCAGAAGTTTTGTCTGAAGGTGTAGATAACTCTTTATCAGTGTTTTTTAGATCATCATTAGTTTTGAGTTTTTGTTTTTCTTTTGGAGATGTTTCTGATTTGGATTTTTTTCCATTTTGATTCTGTCGTTTCTCAGTCACTTTAAGCTTTGTAGGCTTGACAACAGATACAGGTTTCAGAGTTGATTCTACTTTAACAGATTCCTTAGAGATAGCTAAATTTCCTTCATCCTGAATTTTAGTCGTATCTTCCGAAAAGTCACTTGAAACAGTTTGAGATCCAATTTCTGAAATAAATATTTTATAATTAAACTTAAAAAAAAAATGGGCCACTCACATAAAAAAAAATTTCAAATAAACAAGTTTATCAATTATTTGATGTAAAAATCAGCTCAGTAACTTTTCCAAAATTTTTTTAGAAGACATAAAATATAATTCGTTTTAAGAAAAAGAAAAGAATTTATTTAGTGAAAAGTTGCTTGGGGTAATTGATTTTGATGCTACAGAGATATTTTTTATTCTGAAAATTTTGTTAGAAATTAAGAAAATATAGACTTTTTTTTGTCAGCATTTAAAATTTTCCTGTTTCAAAAAAAAAAAAAAAATAACATAAAAAAAAATTAGTTTACTTAAAAATTGAAAAATAATAAATAAATTAAAAGAATGGAAAAATTATTGTTTCTCATACTTAAAACTCAAATTATATTCACAACTGTATAGAACCTGTGAAAAGCTAAGAAAAGATTTTAAAACAAACACATCAATTGAGAGTTGTAAAGTTCACTTATTTAAAGTTCACTAGTTGAAAGTTCATTTATCTTACTAAATTTAGAATTAGTAGTACCTTTTTTGGAAAACGTTTCAACAGCCATCTCCTTCAGCTCCCGTGATCCTCTACATTTGCTTTGGGAAGAAAAGTTATAGTTTTTCTCCTCTTCTCCATAACCCACTTTAACTTTATTTGGATCATTACTTGAAGCCATAATTCTTTTTTGCCTTGAAGCTAAAAATAAAAATTATAATGATCTCAACTGTCTATTTATAGAAATTAATATAAATCTTTTCCAAAATCTAATTTTTAAAACAAGCTTAATTTTATCTAAATTTGAAGCTTAGCAGCANAAAAAAAAAAAAAAAAAAAAAAAAAAAAAAAAAAAAAAAAAAAAAAAAAAAAAAAACAGTCGAATCAACTTAGGTCTTTTTTCTTGATTAAGTTATCCTTACATTCTACACATGCCTAGGATTTTAGCTACCACAGGCAAAGCATATTAGTTACCTTTTTAAATGTTTTCCTACCAATTATGTAATATTTATTAATAAAGTAACTGATACAAATAGGTAAAAATGACTATTTACTCAGGTTTCAGAGTTCTTAATAAATGTTTTTATTAACTAATAAATTCTTTAATAAAATAAGAGCAGTATAAAAATTTCTTAAGTATTAAAAGTTATGTACAAAGAAATGTGTACATAACAAAGGCATGGGTTTAGCCACCCTAGGCAAAGCAAAGCATATTAGCTACCTTTTTAAATGTTTAGATACTAGTCACGCTACATTTTTATTAGATATTAATCACATAGTTGTAACATAAAAATTTCTCATATCATTTATGTTCTGATTGATTCTTGAATGGATAGCAGGATGATTCATATTAACTATTCAAGGGTAACAACACAGATAGTGCACAACATCTATTGATAAAATTTTCAATGGGGAAAAAATAAATGAAATCAACTATAAAATGACAAGCCTCTTACTATTTCTTTAAAAAGTTATTAATTAAATAAATAAGAAATGTTTCCTCTCTATAAAAAACTATTTATTCACTCTGACTCTGTTCATGTTTTTATAAAGTTAAACATTCAGCTATTACTATTACTCAGCTATTACTTACTAAAATTATTAAAAAATGGTTGTTCTTGTTCCAACAAGAACAACTATTTTTAATAATTTTAGTTTGTGAATTTTATTTCCTTTATTAGAAACAGTTCAGAGAACTTCAATTTTTTTCTAATTCAAGTTGCACGGGAAACAACTTACCAAAGTATAAATTTTTTTGTTGTTTCTTTAGCAAGTTCAAACAATCATAACATGAAAACAATAACCTTTCATTATGGTGTTTACTTTAAAAACTGAACTAGAAATCTGATTTATTTCACTTCCTTTGAGTTCTTAAAGGGGAAAAAAATAACTATATTAAAGTCAAGAAAGAAAGATTCCTATTTTTTTAGTTCAATATTTGTGTTATATATTTTTTTAAATCTTTTTATTTTTTGAACTCCAGTTGGTGACATTTTTACCATTTTTCACATTATTTATTACATGGCACAATGTTATTCGCTTTCAATGGGGCATATATTTTTATAACAATCACTTATGAAATTTAATTTGAATAGTCAACTGAGATTTTGATCATAATGCTGCTTGGATAAATTTTTTCCTTGAAACAAGCAATAATGATGAAATGAATAAGTGAGAAGAAATTCTCTTGCCTTATTCGATTTAATAAATCTGATGTAAGAATTGCCATCGGAATAGTACGTAAGATATATATTACATGTACTATTAACTATTGCTTAGACCATTCAATCATTGAATGTACCTGAGTAGGTAATATCCGTATCTTTTGACTATAAAATATCGCAATAAAACAGAAAAACATAAGTAATAAAAAATAGAGGGAAAACTGTAAAATTTTTACAGCTTTCAAAAGCGACTCTTTTACCTATAAAACTTAAACTTCGAAAACCAACAAAACAAACTTAAAAATTAAATAAAGACGTCAATTTAAAACATTATATTAGCACCACAAAATAAACAATACCAATAGATTGACAAATGTACCTGTAAAATGTAAATGTGGAAGGGTATTAAAATCTTCTGCAACTTCTAATATCAGAGATATTAGTGATACTGACATAATAACATAGTTTTAAATTCAATTTCAAATTAAATTTAGAAAACGCAACAGGATTAAATCTACTACGACCAAATATGTCTCATTTTGTTTTTGTTTGTGTTTCGAATCAAATTGTTGCCAAATCTAAAGCTCAAAAGTGAGAATAATACCTAAAATTAAAAGAAAAACCTTTTTTTCAAATCTGGCATCACAGGAAACAAAATTTATCGCCGCGGCTTCCGTAGTTTTTTTCAGAGTTTTGAAATAAACAAAGCTCTCTTAAAACTAAATTATTTTGTTTAAAATGAAAAATAAAGTCATTTGAAATTTTAAAGCAGAGTTCAAACTCTATCAATAAGTTTTCATAGAAGGAGCGCTTCTTTTCTTTTCTATTTATAAATTATGTAAGTATGATCTGTTGTTACGAAGTTGCAAAATGTTACAAATGTAAAAATTTTACTAATGTTGCAAAATGCAATGAATCTAAACACATTAAAGAAAAATGCTACTATTAATGTCAATTAACGTTTCGTTAAAAAAGTATTTGGTAACTATTTTTTAATGCTTGGATTCATTTTGCGCCTGTGTGATCATAGAATATAGATACTAAAAGCAACACTTGAGCTTACTAACTATAAACTAATTAGGTTAGAATATTCCAATGATTAAGACAGATAAATGTATTGCCATTTGTCTCACAACCATCAGGAAAGGTTTTTAGTTATTACTTCAATAGATAGTATTAGTTTTTGAAACACCAATGTTTAATAAATATTGCATTGTTTTTAAATTCCAGCAAAAAAGTTTCAAGTGTTAAAATTGCTTTAAATTTTTGTAATACTTCTTACTTTCTTTCTATATTTTCTTTATTCTACTGTTTTATGCTTCTGTAATTTAAACTGCATTTTATTACATATTTCACTATTTATTTTTGTATTCTTATTCTGGACCAGGGCAAAACTTTTGGGGTACAGAGAAGGCATTTTTGACATTTGTCTTAGCTTTCTCGATAGAAATAGTTTTGCATTTTTATGACAATTCAGGGCTGGTACCCCCTGATGACGTCAGCCTTGATTGTCATATTTTTTCTATTTTTACTAATTTTTCTTCGTCTCATTTGTTTTTAGTGACTCTGTAATAGATGTAAAGACTTCACAGCAAATTTTGTCAGGTCATTATTTTGCTATGATATCATTATAGTCTATTTCATTACTTCTTTCTTTCTTTGTAAAATCTTTTGATTAATAAAAATGATTTTGTAATTGTATTATTGAGTATATACTTAATATGGTATACTATAATGGAATATATGCATATTGGTACTTGTTTGCACCAATTACAATCGCCAAGGTGCCATAAGTATTTTAAACTAGCAAAAAAATTTATAAAATATATTGTGGTTTGTTACAAGTTATATTGTCAAGTTGGTTTCCTTTTACGCAGTTTTTTTACCTTAACTGCCCAGAAGTTGCTAAAACTTGCCGATTATTCCATACCTATACAGAGGGTACTAGGCATAGGTACCAATTCAGAAATCTTTCCTATTATTAATTATTTATTGTTCTTTATATATTTGTTAACAAGAAAACATTTTTAAATAATTATAACCGAAAAAGTAAAATTATGGCATTTATTAATTAATAATTTATTTTTGCAAAATTGATGAATGTGACATAAGTTTAGCAGCATCTTGCAGGGTGTTTGGCTCCATTTATTAGTGGGAAATATTATTTAACACATTAAAAAAATTAACATATTGACCATAAAATATCAAGTAAAAAAATAAAATTTTAAATGAGGTTCTCTATAACTGATATTTCACTTTTTTCAATATTTTTAACACCCCTTAATCATTGTTTAACTCATTCCTCACTGTACTTCTACCATCCTTTGCCACATTTCATACTATATTGCATAAATATATGCTTGGAATTCATAAACAAATAATGTTGTTTAGCTAAACTTGAAAATCGAATCTCATTTGATTTTTAAACATTAACTCTGTATTTTATTGACATTTGTAAGCATAATGATTTTATAGATACTTATTTTATATGAAACAAGGTTAATTTTTGCAATAATAATAAAATGTTGTTATAAAAAGGCAATTGAATATGGTTGTAATTTTGAGTGATATATATATATATATATATATATTTGTCATAAATCTTATCTTTACTTCATTGCAAAATAATCTAAAATAGATTTAATAAATGAGAAAAATCCCCCCCTCCCCCAAATTTTATGAACTACAAAAGTTTATTCAGTCTGCTCACTTTATACATATTTTTGTATGATGCTTCTTGTTTTGCTTTTGCTTCTTGTTCTCTGTTTTTCACGAAACTGTTATAACTTCACGAACTTAATTCGAGAGTGACATTACTTATAAGTCACCCAATTGAGGAACCATAATTTCATTGCATATTTTAAAAAATATATATATTTTTCCTGACTCATATTTTGACTTTTATAGAGAAACCTTAATTTCTTTTGTAATCTCTCCATGAAACCATCTGTTACTAACTTCATTTCCAAAAAATAAGATTCAATATCACTTGCAAAATAAGTGTTGTCAAACATAAATAGTCTTAATCACAAATATTCAAGTCACAAAATGTAACCATAATATTGTCCAGAAGATTTATTTTTGAACTATTTACTGATCAGCGGTAGCTCGTGGAATAGATTGTTCGTCTCCCAATCAGCTGATAGGTTCAAATCTCACCGGTGGCTGGTTTATACGAATTCTGCTCCTGACTGACGTAAAATATTCTCAGTGGCTAGCAGTTCATGGGTTAGAATCTCCTTGTCATCAGACTAAACGTGGGAGGTTTTTAAGTATTTTTCTTCTTCATGTAACTCAAATTGGATTAAGTTTCATCAAAAAGTTCTCCATGGAGGCTAATTTGTCCCAATGCTTGAGCCAGGAGTTACCTTGCCTTCTTGGTAGAGTTCAAAATTACAAGGCTATTGAGGTGAACATACCCAATAGTTATAAATTTAGAATTGGGTTCAATGCTGGTAAAATAAATAAATTAAAACACTGTTTAAACAGTGATTCAACTGGAATTTGGAAACTATGGATCCATACGACTCAGGATTTCCAGATTTCTGAATCCTTTTCTTGCTAAAAGTGACTTCCTTTTTAAAATTTTATAAATTATTTATAACATCCAAAAATTTACGAAATTCCATGTGAAATAAAATAAATTTGCACTTCAAATGATGTTTCAAAAATTAAAACAAATCTGCCGAAAGAAATGGGAAAGATAGTCTTCAAGATGAAAAAAAAAAAAAAAATTTTTAAATGTTCTGTTACATTGAGCAGACCAAAACTTACTTATCTCTTTATCCATTAATTGATATGCACATTTAAAAGGATCTGTTTTAGACAAAACAAAGAATTTCAAGACCAGAAAAAAGTCTGAATATTTTGAAATCAAAATTTTCAATCGGAACTGGTCAAATATATGTATCAAAGAAAAACAACATTAACAGCATTAAGATATATATATATATATAGAGAGAGAGAGAGAGAATTTTTTAATATTCATTTTAATGTAGAATTATATGTCCCAGAAGAAACCAGAACATCTTAACCTTTTTCAAATCTCTATGAATTGTTGCATATTTTATGCAGTATAGTGTGCCAGCAAAATTGCTGTTAAGTGTTTATTGCAGTTCATCCCATTCAGTTTGACAGTAGCAAGATATGAGAATGTAAAACAGGATTTTTAAAATTTTGTGGTACTCTTATAGCTTTTAGTTAAGAAAAGATGATTGTTGTATATTATTATGAGGCTGCAAATGTTTTGGTCATTTAGCAGGAGGTATTTAAGGATGCTTTTTCAAGCTTTTTTCATATGGAAATTAAAAAAAAAAGTTATAGTTGGGTAAGATTCCAAGCAAAATTTTAAGTTTTTATTTTGCAAACTACAAACTATGTAAATGACTTGATATCAAAGTCAAAAAAAGGCTTTTAAAATGTATCTTTTTTTTAATTATTTGTTATTATTATTTTTAAAAATTATTGATTTGGCAGACTTTTTACACCTAGAAGAAAAATATTAAAATAAATTAATAAATTTCAGTTCTTGCCCAAGCAATGCACTGTTAGAGTAAATATTGGTATAATATTGTTTCCAATTATTGGTAATTTCGATCACAAACTTTTTGATTTAAAAGCGAGAAAAAAACTTAATCAGCATGAAAGCCAGAGGTAAATAAAATTTAAGATTCTAGCAGTTATAATTAACTGTTACTAACTTGCAACACTTATGAAAGTAGCATATTGGCTGCTAAAAAATGTTATTTCGTGTAACAAAAGAGCCTTTACAAACGGAATTTAAAATATAAATTCTTGATAAATTTAATGTCATTTTATTTTGTACAATGTCAAAGATAATTGTTTAAAAAGTTTTAAAAACCAACTTAAAAATTTTCTTAACATTAAAAGAAGTTAAAAATAAAAAAAAAAAAACACTTTTAACCAAAAAAAATAATATATTTAAATGTATTTTGTATGTTAAATATAATTCAGAAAATTATTAATTTTTCTGAATTATTCTTTTTCAAAAACTTTTGTGTAAATTTTTTTTAATTTCAATTGATTTGATGTCCGATGTTTTTAAATTTAATAAATTTGTAACGTTTTATTATCTTGACAACATCAATATGAAAACAACTTGAATGACTAGGATAGTAGTGTTATGAAGGAACTATCTGAAAAAATTATTAGTTTAGCTTCTGTCATCTTAAATTTTCTGCCTTTTTACAATATGTACTTTTTTTGTCTACACTTACCCTTTTTTCTTAAAAAAATTAGACTTCATACATATGGGTATATTTTTACTTCTGGACAGTAGCTTTATATCTTTAAATTGAAAATTTTAGAAATAAACTTCTAAAACATCAATTATGTTTCTTTACTGTAATATTTTGTTTTATGACCTGTGTAAAAAATTTCTCAAATTTTCAATCTTTTCCTTATTAAACAAAGTAAAGTTTGTGTGGCATAGTAGGACAACTCAAAACTCTGTTTCTTACAGTTAGTTTTGTATATTTATTTTTGCACAATAAATTTTAATGTCCTCCATAAAATTTTTCAGATTGTTGGTCTCCATAATGTCATCCACCCCTACTATGGAAGATCGTCGTCATTGCAGCCCTATGGATGGGGAAGCCAGCATGAATGGTAGCTATGATCCCGAGAAGCAAGGCAACATTAGTGGAGGGAGTGATGATCAAGGTAGGAGAACTACTCGCAGGAAGCGTGCAAAGTTAGAACATCGGGATGGAGATACTAAATCTTTTACAGTTTCCGAAGAAGAAAATGCTTCTGATATTGATGATAAAAGCAAAGTGGAAAAACCTATTTTACCTCCTAATTCTAATGAAGACATTGAAGAAATGGATAGTGAACATGATGATCCAACTGGTCTCGAAGGGGCTGCATTTCAAAGCCGACTACCTTTTGATAAAATGACTGCCCAGGAGGCTATGTGTTTCCCTGATATTGCACAAGGTCAACCAGCAAGTAGCAAAGTATTTTTATATATAAGAAATCGTATACTACAGCTTTGGCTTGAAAACCCTAAGCAACAACTTCTTCTGGAGAATATTATGGCACAAATTGAACCTCCTTATAACAGTGATACTTCTTTAGTTATGCGGGTTCATGCCTTTTTGGATCGCCATGGCTTTATTAATTTTGGGGTATTTAAAAGATTAAAAATGCTACCAATCAAAAAAGTTGGTAAAGTTATTATTATAGGGGCTGGCATCTCTGGACTAGCTGCTGCTCAGCAGTTACAGCAATTTGGAATGGATGTTGTCCTTTTAGAAGCTAGAGACCGTGTTGGTGGACGAGTTGCTACTTTTCGAAAAGGCAATTTTATAGCTGATTTGGGAGCTATGGTAGTTACAGGTTTAGGAGGTAATCCTATAACTGTATTAAGCAAACAAATTCATATGGAGTTGTTAAAAATACGCCAAAAATGTCCTTTGTATGAATCTAATGGAAATACTGTTCCTAAAGATAAAGATGAGATGGTTGAGAGAGAGTTCAACAGGCTTTTGGAAGCTACTTCATATTTGTCTCATCAATTAGATTTTAATTATGTTCAAAGCAAACCAGTTTCTTTGGGGCAGGCTCTTGAATGGGTAATAAAACTTCAAGAGAAACATGTGAAAGAAAAACAGATACAACATTGGAAAGCTATTTTAGAACTACAAGAAAAATTGAAAACCAATTTAAATAAAATGCTTCATATAAAAGAACAAATAGAAGAAATGCGCAAACATCACCAGGAACTTTCTGAATCGAAACAGCAAAAAGATGTTACCTTAGAGTTTGTGTTGCGTAGTAAAATGAGGGATATAGGTGCAGCTTGCAAAGAATGGGATCAATATTTAGAGCAACAGAAGGAGATTGAAGAAAAGTTACAAGAATTAGAAGCCTCTCCACCAAGCGATGTATATTTATCATCAAGAGATCGACAAGTTCTCGACTGGCATTTTGCTAATTTAGAATTTGCCAATGCTACTCCACTTAACAATTTGTCTTTAAGACATTGGGATCAAGATGATGATTTTGAATTTACTGGAAGTCACATGACTGTCCGTAACGGCTATTCTTGTGTACCAGTAGCTTTAGCTGATGGATTAGACATAAAACTCAATACCGCCGTAAAAAGTATTCGATACAATGCGCACGGAGTTGAAGTTTTAGCTGTAAATACCAGAGCTAATTCAGGTATGGTTAGTTACAAAGGAGATGCTGTATTATGTACATTACCATTGGGTGTTTTAAAACATTCAATTCAATCTAATGGTCAGTCTGGTAATGCAGTTCAGTTTGTACCTCCAATTCCAGATTGGAAAGCTTCTGCAATTCAAAGGCTTGGTTTTGGTAACCTAAACAAAGTTGTTTTATGTTTTGATAGAGTATTTTGGGACATTAATGCAAATCTTTTCGGTCATGTTGGGAGTACTACTTCTAGTCGAGGTGAATTATTCTTATTTTGGAATTTGTATAAGGCGCCAGTTTTGCTAGCCTTAGTTGCTGGAGAAGCAGCTGCTGTTATGGAAAATGTTACAGATGATGTAGTTGTTGGTCGTTGTATTGCCGTTCTGAAGGGAATCTTTGGAAATTGTACCGTTCCTCAACCTAAGGAAACAGTTGTAACTCGATGGCGAGCAGATCCATGGTCCAGAGGATCTTATTCTTATGTTGCTACTGGATCAACTGGGAATGATTATGACATCCTTGCAACTCCTGTATCCGGTCCAGCTGGAATGCAACCTGGTCAGCCAGCAGGAATTCCAAGATTGTTCTTTGCTGGTGAACATACTATTCGTAACTACCCGGCCACTGTTCATGGAGCTATGTTAAGTGGATTAAGAGAAGCTGGTCGCATTGCTGATCAATTTCTTGGTTGTCCATATGCTGCACCACGTCAGCCACCTATGCAACCTCAACCCATATAAAAATTTAGAAAAAAAAAAGTTCATTTTTTGAAGTTCTGTCTTCCATGCTAACTTTAATTTAAAAAAATATACATATTGCATCTGTTTATATTTTTTGTCTTCTATTGTTTTAAGGATTACTGTTTTTCTTTTATTTAGATTTAGCACACGTTTAGATGTTATCTATTATTCTCTTATAATTAATATATGTTTTTTTTTCTTCTTCGTGCTATTGATTTAAAATTCCTTATATATTTTATTCATATGTACATACTACATTTTATGCTTATCTATAAAATAAAATGAAATTTTATAAAAGATATTTATTTATTTTTGTGACCTACGTATAACAGAAATTTTTTTTCTTTATTATCTTAAAATTTCAGGATCAACAAAATTGTTTATTGAAGTTTGGACTATCTATTAATTCAAATATAATATTTGACACTTTTTAATTCTCATTCAAACAGTCTTTTGGAAGGATGTTTTATTGAAATATAGCAGATTCCTAGACAGCGTAAATCTATTTAACCAACAATATCCTACTTCCCTGCAAAAAAAAAGAAAAAAGAATTCTACTTTTAAGTAAAATTATATCAGGGCCGTGTGCAATCACCAGTTTTAAACCTAGTCTCATGGTACAGGGGCCATACAGGCACCATTTCTCGCTTGCAAGTGGTCACTTGAGGTGTCTCTCGTATGTTCAGGGGCAAAAGACTTTTGGACTTTGCACTAAATGTAGGACTGCTCCGGCTTCGCCCGAGCATATTCTAAACTGTATCGATTTTAATATCGACGAGGTTTTTTCAAAACCTCATCTGTTTTTAGACTTTCTGGACATTTTTGGACTTATGGAATTGGTCTAATTGGAATAGACCTCTTGGGGATTAGAAAAAAAAAGAGCTTAATCTGCCACTTTAATAAAATTTTATTTCTTCGTTTGTACTTTAAAAAATTTTGTTTATTCCAAAACGAATTTTCAAGAACATTGTTCTTTTATGAGAAATTTAATGTTAAGAAAGTACTTTTCAAATTATTCCTTGCTAAAATTGAAAATAAAGAGTTTTGTTATAAATTTAAAATCTAATTTTATACTTAAATGGTAACAATATTTAAAAGGTCTTAGTGAGAAAAAAGGGCATGGTAAAAATTCTCAAAATTTGGGGATTAAAATCACCATTTGGTGGCCAATATATGTTTGGTGCTTTAGATGTTTGTTAGTGACAGCCAGTATTACTCTAGTTTTTATCAGTTACTTAGTTTTTTTTCCTTCTAGATTATTGCTTAATCACAATATTGCCTATTGATGGCTTCCAGTAAAATGTTTAAATAAAAATTAGTCTGTTATATAGATAGTGATGAAGTTATGTAGCACATCTGAGTTGGACAGTCAAAAATTTTGTGTGTGATAGATAAATAAAGGTTGGGCACCTCTGTGTTAGTACTTAATGTATTGTAAACTAACAGTCTATTACTATATTGTAGAATATTTCAGGGCCTGGTTGGTGGGGCGATGTCTAAAAGGTCGCGAGTTCGATCCCAGCCAGCCGAAGACTCTCAGTGTAGTTATTTTTGCAATACTATTTTTACTTCCAAGAAACAAATTTCTGATCAAAATATTAAATTTTGTGCAGTCAGTTTCAAGAAGACTTCTCGGTAGGAAAAATCTTACGCATGCTCTTCAAAAGAACGAGATGAATTACGAAATTATCATTAGAAAGGCAAGACAAGCTTTAAATAATCGATTTTTATTTTAAGTCAGAATTAAAGTTAAATCTGAAAGTCCTTCGAAATATTAGGGAATTGTAAATTCTTTGTAAATTTTCCATCAGAGTCATTTATAGCATCCTGGACCATGGTTTTTTATTTTTATTATAGATATAACAATTTAAAAATTGATTACGATTAAAAATTTAAACGTTTTTTGAACACATTATTTCTTATAAAGTATTAATTTCTGAGTACAAGATCTGAAATCTGGAGAATAGAGAGTTTCCTAATTAGATTTTGTAAGTATTCAGAATTGGTGGACTCAGATTTATTATGATCAGATTTACTATTAACTCTGAAATTATAATCCCAATAGTTTCGGGAAAACTAATTTGCCTGTTTGCCTTTTTTTCACCTTGATTCCTACATTATTTAAGTGAGTAATAAAAAAATTGCTTACAATTTTTCCGTGCAAAGAAAAAATAGTTCTCTTAATTTTTTTTTATTTCGTTTTCATTATTTGAAAAAATTATTTTGAAATTTTACTTATTACATACACAATTTTGAATGAAATTCAAATTTTTATGAAATAGGTTCTATTGTTTGAGTTCAAAAAAAAAACTTATTCAAAAAAGTTTTTATTTCTCAGGAAGGATGTAACTGATTTTATTTACATTTAATTTTCTTTAAAGTTGCGTAATTGTCTCAATTCTAGCATGCAAGGAATACATTTTTATAGTTTTTTATTTAATCATGTTCGATTTTTTCTCCTTTGTGTAGTGCCCCATACAATTTTTTACATAATTTCTAATTTTGATTAAAATCTAAAAATTGAAAAGAATCAATCGAATAGCATTTTTATTTTGCAAAAGCTCTTTAATCGATTTCTAATAAGAGGTTCCAACTTAGGATTATCTTCCTTCTGAAAAAAACTATTGGGAACCTTCCTCTATTTCAAGTAAAAAAAAGTAAGATATTTTTCTTTTTTAATTCTTACTATAGTTTTATTTTAATATTTTTTTTTAACAAGAATGATTTTTAAAAGACTGATTAGAGCGAAAACATTTCATGATTTAAACATTCAAGGCATCTAAATTCAAGATTACAGTTTAATGTTTGTTACGTTAACTTAAATGTTAATTAAAACGAAATAAATGTTTGTGTAAAAAAGTTCCTGTAAGTGCTGGCCGATGCATCATGAAATATCGATATTTATTTTAATTTGAATCAAGTCCAAGTGTTCAGCATCGAAATCGGCTGTTTTTTTTGAGGGGGGGGGGTGCACTTTTATGTCGACGGGAGACTTAAAGATATTTTTAAAGTTTTCTGTTCGTATAAACTTTTATTTGTAGAATGGTTATTATTTTAAAAAGTAATTATGATAGTGATAACTTGCGTATTATATATTCCAGTGCAAAATTAAATTTTAATAACCCCTCTACTTTTGATATAGAAAAAGGATTCATAAGGAAATAACAATTTCGATCAGTTTAACGCATTAATCTGGTATTTGTACGCTTGTTATCTATCATTTCCCATACAAATTATGCATTGCATGTGCATTTCCGGATTCAATTTCGTTTTGTTTTGCTGCAACTTTGAGTAATGTTTTTAAAAACGTAGATTTCTGATAAAATTTTTTTTTTTTTTTAGTCTTTACAATATGTAACATTTAATTTGAAAACAAAAATAAATGCCTAAGCTATCCGAAAACCAACGAAACGCTTATGAAGAATTATTTTTTCGTGTGGCGACCACTAACTTATTTAATTTTAAATAAGTTCACATGAAACTGATTGTCAGCGTAAAACTGAAATTAATTTTATTATTGGAAGGAAGTTTTGGAATAAGTATATATCTATTTAAGGAGAACAGAATAACAAAAAGGAGAAGTTTGACCTTTATTGTTTAACTGATGTGAAATGCGAGACAATTTTATAGCCATATTTTTTTTCTCTTTCAGTCTTAATATATTTACTCACGCAAAATGTGTAAAGATTCATAGAATAAAACACAATAACAACTAAACACATCAGTTACTATTAAAATTAAAAAAAAATTTTGAACTTATTAATATTAAAATTCTACTTTTGCTTGAGTTTTAAGGCGATATAACATTTATATTCAAATTGTATATAATACTGGGATATTTTTTTACGCTGTAAAATACAAATAGAAAAACTTGGTAAGTTATTAGTAATTTCGTTTTTCTTATTTTACAGGAAATGCAATTTATTATTTTCAAAATTATGCATTTATTAAACCTGTTTTAAAGTAACTGAAATGACCTAAATTATATAAATGATCGCAAACGATATAATTGTTCATAAGAATTCTATTTATTTTATTTCTGATCTAGTTATTTTTTTATGTAGAAAAAATATTTTTTATTAATTATTTTGTTCTATTTTTAACATTATTCTACTACTTCTAATCGTTTTCACTATTCTATTCCGAACTAGTTTTTCTTTTCCTATCCTCCTTTTATTCGAAGATAAATTCTTTTATCTAGTCACCCTCCTCACAGCAACCCAGTTATCAACCATGAAGACATAGCAGTAGTAGACACCTGTTTTGTTTTGATTTGATTTTTCATTCGTTGGCGGCGTTGTAAAAGAAATATGGCTTCTCCTGATCTCTGGCTGATTGGGATCGTCTGCTTTTATTTCATTACCGTTTGTGATTCCGAAACTTACACCTTCAATCAAAACATTGGAGTAGCATATGAATTCAAAATACACGTTGACGCCGGAAAGGAAGAGTGTTTTGGACAATATGTTCACCCAGGTTCAACATTTTATGTTGCTTTTCAGGTAAGTTTGAGTTATTCAGACCGGTTTATTTATAATGCCATTCCTAAACAGATGGAAATGCCACGTGTGTATTGTTGGCGTGCGATGGCGTTGAAATGAATATGTGATTACAATAATCGTGTACACGTTTTTTGATTAAGAAAATGTGAGAAAACTTTTATCAATGTGTATTTTAGCATTTAAAACAATTTTAAATTGTTGTTATAACTATTTTCTTTTTGTTCTGCCAAATTTGAATTAATTTTACATTTCTAATTATGTCACATTAAATGGGATACCTATATCTTTTTTTGAAAAAATATAAATTATTTATTAATAAAAAATAAATGTAGTGATTTAATAATTTTTATAAATTATTATACTGCATATATAATTATTAAGCAAAATATAATTATTATATATAATATATTAAGCAAAATATAATTATATCAATTTTCCATATTAAATTGAAAAATTCAATTGAGATTATGGGAGATATGTTTATTTTATTATTTTTTTTTTATCAATTTATAAATTTTCGATATTTTATAAATTTGTGTAAGCAATTGATACCCAGAAGTTTCGACAAAAATGAATCTTTTAGCTTTATAAATAAATTAGTTTATGATATTATACATTTGCTGTAACGTAGACAATATAGTCCACAATTGATTGTCATTGCTATTTATTTTTTATGTAACATGCACAACGGTAGTGCGAGGAATTTCCTTATCGGATGGATGGGCAAAAACTATTAAATTTTCTCATGCATGCCTTTTGCTTGTCATTTCACTGGGCAAAGTGGGAAACTACGACAAAGGACACTGGTACCTGCCCCCTTGGAATACGCGTATTAAAAAAAAAAAAAGCCATAACTATGAAATTGAAATTAAAAATTGCGTGTGTGTGTGTTTTTTTCTTTCTTTCTTTTTTAATATAAAATAAGTAAAATTGTTCAATAATTTTATGCCAGTGCAGACCTCAGTCCGGACGATTTCAAAAGTGGTTCAAGTAAGTTTTATTGGCCATTATTTCACATGAATTTCAGGAATTCGGTTGATCAGTTTAATATGAATATATATAAGAAAGTTTGAAAGCGGTCAACACCGAGTCGAAGAAGTGGAAATAAACGCATTCAGTATTTTTTTCAAGGCTATTGAATTATGCCAAACTTGATCTTTCATCCCCTAGGAGGGGGGGTGGGCAACTTTGAAATCCTAAATATGAAACTTAATTTTTTTATTGCCGATTCGGATTTTTCAGAAAAAATTAGCGTTGGATTGAGTTTTACGTTTATGCATTTTGCTTCTCTGGCGCTGTTACAGAAAAAATTAATAAAGGTACAAATTGTTTAAAATAATGGTATCTCGATACCCATCAAATTGAAAAAATAAATAAATAAAAAATATAATATTTTTTTTCCAAAGAAAATCGTTTAAAACTTTTTTAAAATTAGTCGATATTTATGTCCTTCATAACTGTTTAAAATGGTGGTATCTCTAGAACCATCAGACTAAAAAATTAAAACATTTGAGTATTTTTTTTTGTTAAGTTTTTTTCGAAAAAATAAAAAAAAATTTATAAACTTTGTTTTAACCCTATCTGTTTGTTTTAACCCTATTCTATTTTTTTAACGTCTTGTACCCTATTTAATTTTTTTCAGTTACATCACCCTCCATGAAGCAAAATACATAAAGCTACTTTTCGGGAGAATCCGAATCTGCAATAAAAAAAAATTGGGTTCATGTTTAAGATTTCAAAAATGTCCCACCCCACCACCAGATGGTTAGGGTGAAGAGTTTGGTATCATTGCATAGCTTTTAGAAAATGTTGAATTTGTCTAGTTTTACTGATGTATTTTTCTCGAGATATTCGAACGTTTCCAAATTTTTTTTACACTCTGTATATAATTTAAGAATACTTTTGATGCTAATTTTTAAATTTTACTGGAACGTGGCTACTCTATTATAAAATTTAAACTTTTAAATTAAAGGGGCTTTTGATTACATGGAAAAATTTAAATTTTAAAATATCTAAAATAATCTTTTCTTATCCCATAATATTTAGAACGTATTTGTAGTAAGTTTTACACACCCTAGATTTACGTACGCTTCAAACTAGATAATTTACTTAAATAAATGATCCCGAGAAACTGAAGAGGAGAAACTGAAACCGAGAACTGAAATATTATCTAATTAAAAATTTCATTTGCTTCAATTTTGTTTTAATATTAAATATTATATTCAATCAGATGACATAACATTTATTATTAAAATTTTCCATCTTAAAAATCGTTTAAAAATTTAATCAGTCCGTTCGGGCAAGAAGTTTAAAAAAATTTTTCGCATTGGGTTAACATTAACTGCTGTTGTAAATAAAACTGCAGACGATTCTGTTTAAGCGTTTTTCAATGTTTAATTATTTTTTATAAGCTCAGGGTTCAGCGTGAATGGCATGTGGATTGGTGCTACCTGTCACTGAATTAGTATTTCGGAAGTTACTTGGAAAAACGTGTTTCCGTTAAATAATTTAAAATCTGAAATGTCATTAAAACAAAGGTGTAATCGGATCTAAGTATACAGACACGGTAAAAATATTCACAAATCATGGGAAGCAGAAACCGAGGTAGCTCGACTCGGTGGCGAAAGACTTCAAATTTATATTTTTAAAGGCAAACGAATACTTAAAAAAATTATGAAATATAATAGTTTCAAGTTTTTTTTTTTTTTTTTTTTTTAAATAACTTTTCTATTTGGCAAGATAAAGTAAGAAAAAAATATTGAGTGTAACTTATAAGATTCTAGTTGATACAGTCTCAGTTAATTTTCCAGGTATTATGTTCACTTCATGTGAATTTTATTTAAAAATTATTAAGAAAACCAAATGAAAAATCGTCGATTCATTTGATGTTATTATTACTACTCGAAAATCACTGATTTTTCAGTTTTTTTTTTTTTTTTTTTTTTTTTTTTTTTTTTTTTTTTAATTTTATTAGAAATTTTTGCAACATATTTTAAGATAAACTTTACATACAACGGAATACGTTGAAAATTAACAGACTATATTGACTCGATTCTTATAAGTTACATTCAATATTTTATTTACTTTCTTCGAGCAAAAAACTAAAAACGTTATTGTTTTTTCAATTTTTTTTTAAAAATCTCAATTTATTTAAAAATATTTAACCTATAACGCATCTTCATAGTCGTTATTATTGAAATAAAAAAGAAATTATACTTAATTTCCAAATTAAATATGTATCAGAATATGTATACATTTTATAACAGTGTATCAATAAAGTTAATTTCAATAGCACTAAATGAGATTTGTGTAAAAAATTGAATTAATATTCTAAAATAAAAAAAAAATTTGGTTAAAAATATATGTAGATTATACTGTTTAATTAATTTTAAAATGCATGCCGTACATCTAATATTAACCCTTTGTATCACCGCGTTACATATCTGCAACATACATGAAAATTCAATCCTATAATGAGGTGGATTTACCTATAAAATCGAACTAAATTCAGGTAAAGAAAATATTGCAAACTCAGGGGAACCAAGTCTTGGTGCAGCTGCCAATATTATAATGCGCTTAGCAAGAATTGTTCCGCGACATAGGATATACAATTTTTTTTACAACAATCCCCTTGATTGTATATTTGGCTAAGGAGGGATTGAAAAATGTGGTGTGAGACCTTGTTACGATAAAAACAACAATTTCAAAATTTTTCACACGAAATTTTAAACATATTGGAATTTTTGTGCTATTTTTCACGATATTGGAGATGTTTAACAAATGCTTTTTATCAATAAATTTTTAATTTTAGGGTCTTAATTTTTTCATTATTTTTTACACGCTTAATATGATGTATTCTAATATCCGCGTAAATATTTCTTAAATCAGAGTTGTTGAGTTACAAAGGGTTAAAAAAAATTTCGAAAAATTAGAGGAAAAAAAATGCCAATTTGTCTCTTTTTTCAACAAAGAATAGTATTAAAATTATATTTACTGACAAGTTTCATTGTATGCATTTTTCTTTCTTTATATTTAATAGTTAATAATTAAAAGCAGTTTAGTTAGTCCCCCGGTAATGATCAGCAAACGACAATTTCACTCTCTTGGAAATAGAGTTTGATAGTACTACATTTCCTATGATAATTTACTTCGCAAAAAGCTGTACACAATTTTCGAAATTATATTATTTTAATATAATGCAGTATAATAACGTAAAATACAAGACATGATATAGTCTCAGTATAGTTTTTTATTAAACTCGGAGGAGATCACGGTTTGGTTAAAAATTGTCGAATTCATCGGTTAATAAGAAGAAATTTAGTTTTGTTTTAGCGAATTGAAATTATCGGTTGAGCTATAAATATATGAACAGTGATCAACATCTATCTCTTTATTATTTTAGTTAACAGAAACTAAATAAACTGTTTTTCGATTTCATCCGACTAATAAAAAGGCCCAGATTGTTTTAATTCCCCTTTCGCAATCATTTATCATAGCTAAAATACGCCACATTTTACTTTTCTAGTCTTTCCGACCAGTGGCCGAGTGGTTAGCGTGCCTGACTGCGGAACCGATGGTTGCAGGTTCGAATCCCGCCCAGGGCATGGATGTTTCTCTCTCTCTGTGTTCTATGTCCTTTCTTTTGTGTGAATGTAACCCGCCGTATAAACGGGTTTGTGTTTGTGGTTGTATGACGTGGGCAACGCTACTCCACCGCCGTGGCTTAGCCATAGGTGCAGACTGGGTAACAATAAGAGAGTAGCAGTTCTGGCATTTCTGAGGTCAACGGGAAATAGACCCAAGTGCCCGCCATTAACCAAAAAAAAAAAAAAAATTCTAGTATACTAATAATTCTCATTTAAATAATCGTTTGTGACTAACGCCAAGATCTAACTAAATGTATTTTTTTTTAATCAAATATTAAAGACGGTGTTTTGCGCGAATGAAAATATTTATATTTCCTGGCGAAGTGATAGCTCGAGGACCCAAACTTTTGTGTGGATAAGTGGTGATCCTGGACTATATTTAATTTGTAATATCTTAAAAATATTTCTTTTCTTTTTGGAGAAAAAAAGAGAATCGTCTACAGTTTAATTTAAAAGAATAGCGAATGCTGAACTAATCAGAAAATCCCATTTTTTAAATGTCTCTACAAAATTTACATTTTGGAACAAATTTAGTAATGAGGGCTAATTTTTTTTCCTGTGAGTCACTGTCCAAATTTCGGTATGATAGCCCAAACAGTCTGGAGTTATAAGAGAAACACACAAACTCTTCCTTTTATTATTACAGATAGAGCGATTCTCGAAATACTATAAACTTGGAGAACTATAAATCAGTTTTCACATTAAAAAAAGCATTTGATAGCTTGTTAAACCATCATATCTCATCGATTTGCTCTTAAAATGTGTAATACTCAGGGTGTTTAAGAATCACTGTCCTAAAATACGTGTTTTTACAATCCTTATCAAAAAATATAGTATTTGTAAACTAATTTTTTGAGCAAGGGGGCAGAAAACTGAATATCAACCTGAACGAGAAGTTTGAAAACATCAAAATACTTTTCATTGCTGGATGATATTGACAACAAGAGGAACTGAAAGGCGATTATTCGAAACGCATTTGAGGTTCATTTCGCTATTCAAACTGGTAAACGATGTTTTACTTTACCCTAATATGAGCACATTTTTGAGAAGAAATAAAAAAATATATATATTTAGAGCGGTGATTACAAGACGCACTGCATGTTTTTTATTCTCTTTATTAGAGTAATGGTTAGAAGAGCCACGATTGTTCAGGGGATAGAGCGTTCGCCTTTCAATACGATGAACCAGGTTCGAATCCCAGTTGATACGAATTCCGTATCCGACTTGCACCGACCACAGTGCTGGCATGAAATATCCTCAATGGTAGACGGATCATCGGGTTAGAGTCCCCTTGCCGTCAGGCTAACCGTGGGAGGTTCTCGTGGTATTCATCTCCATGTAACGCAAATGCGGGTTAGCTCCATCAAAAAGTCTTCCACGAAGGCACTCTCCCAATACTCGATCCAGGAGTTCCCTTGTTTTCTGGATTGGGTTCAAAATGACAAGGCTACGGAGTTGAACATTAGTAGTCGTAAACCCATAAAATTGGGTCGGTTGTTCAACGAATGAAATAAAGTAATAGTTAGAAGTTAGCAAAAATGCGAGTTTGCGCACGACTTTCTCCCCTCCAATTCGTAGTTAAAATGCGAAATGTTATGGATTCTGAACAATGCTGTCGAAGTCAGAAGGGTCAATGAAAGCCCTAGGGTCAACGAGGAACCACGAAACGGTGAGTTCCTGAGTGTGGATTGGCTATTCGAAAGCGGATAGGTTATAATAAAATACATAAAATTTCTGAAATTTAGCATTTTTACAAATTCAGTAAAAAAGAAAACGGTCTTCCGTGTGTATAACTTTGAAAATAAAAATAAATCACTTCTTTTATATTTTATTTTATAACCGTTGTTGAACAGAGCCGACCCACTTTTTCGGGTTTACGACTACTAATGTCCATCTCCGTAGCCTTGTAATTTTGAACTCAATTCAGAAGACAAGGGAACTCCTGGATCAAGTAGTAGGAGAAATTTGCCTTCTTGGGGGACTTTTTGATGGAACTAACCCACAATAGCGTTGCATGGAGAGGAAGACCACTCTAACCTATGATCCGTCTACCAGTGAGGATCTTTCATTCAGCACTGTGGTCGGCGCATGCCGGTTGCAGATTCGATTCGAACAGCCACCGCTTCAGATTCGAACTCGGTTCACCTCATTGGAAGGCGAACGATTTATCCCTTGAGCCATCGCAGCTCGCTTCTTTTATATTGCAAAATTTGAAATTTCTTTTTCTGTAAAGTTCGAAAGTTGGGTCAAATGCCTGAATTTTTGAAGCTAAGTACGTGGTTTGTGCAGCAATACTTTACATAATTTAAATGAGCTCTAACCACTTTTTTCGAAGCGTCTGGCGCAAATAAAAGGATATCACTCTGAATATGTCTTTCGCTAATGGACGTGTTTCGCTAATGTTTCCCCAAATCAGAGCCAAAATTTTAATGATTTAAACATGCCAATTAAACAGTGCAAATATTATTTTAAGCCACTAAAAAGTACTTTCTTGTTATGAACATACTTTTTTTCAACGGTTTCAGATTTTTTACAATCAAAATATGCAACACCAATTAGGAAAATTTAGTCCCAATTGTATAGTCAGGAGCGCAGTCGAAAGTTAAGGCATCTTAAAGTTAATTTCATTATTTACATATTTAGTCTTACCTCGGGAAGTTTTTAAGAGAAGCAAAATATTTTAGCACAAAATTATTAAACGGATGACAATTCCATGAAGGAAAAAACTTTTAAGAATTATTTTTCTAATTTAATAATGATCAAAAAATTTTAAATTGTGAGGTATACAAATTTTTACCCCAATTTAAAACACGTAATAATAAATGACGAAATTTGAACGAAATCGGCCGAATAGTTTTTGAAAACAGAAAGGTTCAAATTACGGCTTTTTTGAAATTTCAGGAACTCTTCAACCGATTTTGTATTTCGTTGTTTAAAATTACATATGTTGTAAAAATTTGTATACCTTATAATTCAAAAAATTTAAATGAAGTAAAAATAATTATCGATTACTTTTTGAAGCACTTGGAAACAGGTTACGGTTACCGCCTGCAACATTTTGATGGTAAAAAATTCCAAAACCGTTGAGAAAAAAGTGTTTCTTCAATGAAAATAGGTTTTTTACTGTGCTTTCATAACTTAAAATATCGCTTGCACTATTAGCATATTTAAAATCACCCCTTTTAACCATTTAGTTCTAGAAAGATGGATCAAAAGCTAATCATTATATCTTTTTCCATGTGCGTGCGAAAAAAAAATAACAACACTCTAAATAACTTTTGGTCTAATGAACGGATTTTGACGTAACACAATTTAAAGGATAAAATGTGTTCAAATTAATTATACTATTTAATTTTATAATCGACGTTGAACAGCCGATCCAATTCTGAATTTACAACTATCAGTGTTCAACTCCACAGCATGGTAATTTGGAACCCAACCCAGAAGACAAGAGAACTCCTGGATTCAGTATTTTATTTTATTTTATAACCGTCGTTGAATGACTGACCCAATTTTTGGGTTTACGACTAGTAATATTCAACTCCGTAGCCCTGTAAATTTATAACCTAATCCAGAAGACAAGGGAGCTCCTGGATCAAGTATTGGGAGAAATTTGCCTTCGTGGAGGACTTTTTTTGATGGAACTAACCCGCATTTATGTTACATCGAGAGGAAGACCACGAGAAGCTCCCACGGTTAGCCTGACGGCGAGAGGACTCTAACCCATGATCCGTCTACCACTGAGGATGTTTCACGTCATCACTGTGGTCGGTGCAAGCCGGATGCGGAATTCGTATCGACCAGCCATCGCCAGGATCGAACCCCGGTTCACCTCATTGGAAGGCGAACGCTCTATCCCCTGAGCTGGATTAAGTATTGGGACAAACTAGGAAGATTTTTTTTTTCTCGATGGAACCAATCTATCTTTGTGTTACATGTAGAGGAAAACCTCTGACGGTTAGCTAGACGGCAAGGGGATTCCAACCCATGATTCGGCTATAACTGAGGATATTTTACTTCACAGAGGTCGATCGAGCCGGGAATAGAATTCGTATCATCCAGCTGCCGCTGGGATTCGAACCTGGGGCAACTCATTGGGAGGAGAACGCTCTATGCCTTGATGACGGCTCATCGCATTTAATTAGTGCAGACATTTCACTTTTTTCTCTCGTTTCAATGGATGCCTGCTTCTGATTCTCAAACTATAAAAGATAACCGATACTATATAGAAAGAATTGTCCCTATCTTATGGCGTTCGATTAAAAGATTCCCTTATTACCCCAATTTTAATTTTTGCTTATTTTGCCACATTTATATGCAATCAAAAATTTTTTTGTATGCAATAGTAGAACTCATTTCTTTAAAGATAAATTGAAATATTTAGTCATAATAATAATCAATATTAAAAGTGCATCATTTTGATATTTCTATTTAATTATATATTATAAACGGAATAAGAAACTTTTTTCTTCCTTGCAGGTAATGCGAGGTGGTGATGGAATGGCAGGTTTTGCTGTTAGACACCCCGGAGGGCAATTAGTTATGCCGTATTATTGGAAGGCAAATGCAGAATATGAAGAACAATCAGCTGACCCTGGAGGTAAGTTTGTGAGAACCTCACGAGCTGTTCGAATTATTCTTGAATAATGTTCAAATTTGAAATCGGCATTAACAGGTTCAGAACTGCAACAAAAAAAAAAAGTAGATATCCATCTTTGCAAATTTTTGAAAGATTATAAATTTAGTATTTACTGGTTAAAATAACTTCTGGATGACTAGAATAAAACAAAGCACATCTTCAAACTGAAGTACTTCATAGATCAACGAAATTTTTCAAATGTTGTGTTGGGTATTTTATGATCGCATTATTTGAATTTTTTATAAGTTTCAAAGATATATTTTAAGCAATAAAAATGGAAAATATATATCTTTATAATTTACAAAAGATTTAAATACATTGCAGATAATTATTTTCCATAACTTTATAAAAAATGAGAATCAGAAATGTTTCTGGAGTTTCAATGTTACGAGGTTGAAAAATATAGTTCCCTGGGAGTCACTCAAATGTCTTTCAAGATAACTAATTTTGCTTGGACTGTATTGCACTGGGGGGGGGGNGGGGGGGGGGGGGGAACTAGAAAACAATAAAATCATACTTACTTTGAGAAAACACTTCTCAGATTCGAATTCTTAATCCTTAAAATGCTTAGATGAAACTGCAGCTTTAAAACAATGGTCCTATAAGTTTAATTAAAAAAGAGAAGGTCAAAGTTAGGATGTTTTTTATTTTTATAAAATTAGTTTATTGAAAGAAAATTGCATGCACTGATTATAATATTTAATGTATATTTATTATTTAATTTAATTTTAAAATGTTTGAACGGTTTTTATTTTCTCTATTTTTATTATGTCTCTGGTACTAATTGCATCACTCAAAGTATCTTTGCAATGCAATTTTTTAGTCATTGAATCGAATTATATCGATAACATTTTCAAATTATTTTTAGCTAAGCGAGTTTTGAAAGTGCGTGCACAATTCTTTGATGCGAACTTGTAGTTCCAGACCTTTAGCGCCGATTATTTAGCTAAATGATTGATAGAATATTTTTCGGGTTATGAGTATCTCTTATTTTTAATACAGTTGATAAAATAAATAAACCGAAAAAACGTAAATGTTTTTTCAGAGAAAGTTTGCAGGGATTGTGACTGATTGCTTATTTTTTATTATTGTACTACTGAGGAGTTGGGTTGAGTAAATATGAGGATTGCATCTAAGCATATAAAAATTTTATTGTTAAGTTTATAGCTATTTACCGCAAGTTTTTTTCCCCACACTATTGTCAAATGCTTCATTTAATAAACTACTATGTTAAGACTGAAAAAATTTACACAAGTTGTCTAAAAAGTATGACAGGTAAATTTTAATAAAAATCTAGATCATGTAATGTTTCATCAGAAAACTTTGTAACGCGAATATTAGATTTTGTGAGGGAAAAAAAAAATCATTGATTGAGAATGGAAACATGTCGGACTAAAATGTGAAATTTTTAAAACAAATAATTGTAATAGATGTTTGAATTATTTTACACGAATCTCAATAACCGATTACAGTTACTGACAACTTTATGACTGGTTATTTTCCAGATTATTTTATAAAAAAGTGCAGCTTTCTCTGACTGTTCCCTGATTTTTGGAGTTAAAATTGAAATTCCCTGACAATTCCAAGTATTACCTGTTCTGCCTGAAAGACCTAAAATTGAAAGGGAGAAATATTTTTAATAGATGCATTCAATAATATCAAACTCAATCCCTCAACTTCACCGTGGTCGAGTTCCCTGCCGTTAACGTTTTTATCCAAAAATCTAACACATGTATTTTAATCTTTTGATATGATTTACATTTCAGGACATAGTTGCGTTTTAAACATGTTGTACTGCAATTTCATTTTATGTTTGCAGCATTATCTGTGAAACAAAAACCTGCATGTCAAAATAGGGTACTTGTTTTTCAGAATTCAAAACTACTCTAAGAAAAGGTTTCCATAAAAGATTTTGAAGTTGCTTCCTAGGTGTAAAGTGTTAAAGTTGCTTCATTTGAAAAAATTCTCAGAGTATTTTAATTTTTTGTTTTGTTTAACCATTGTGTATTTCTTGAAATATTTAACAGTATACAAACTTTTTGGACACCCAGTATAAATTTTATGCATGAGTTTTCTATCATTAGTAACTTGTAACTCATTTAATTCAAGCTTTGGAAAGCAAAAATGAAATGCTAGCACAAAACTTTTATGGTAAACATTTACATTCAATTGAAAATATGTTATAAAATTATATATTTTCTTTCAGGCTTTTATCTGTTGTGCATTGACAATTCTCTCTCTCGATTTGCATCAAAATTAGTCAGCATGTATGTGAATTCATTCAAACGGGATAAATGGGAAGACTATGTAAAAGAATTAGAAGCAGCTGATGTCACAGTAACTAACTTTACTGTAAGTGACTTTTTAATTAAATACTGGCATTTTAACATATTAAAAAAAAAGAGGCATGCAATGGAAAAAGTAGAAGAAATGCATGTGAAATAAAATTCAATATTAAGACTGCGTTTGACAAAAAAGAAAAGCCATTAAGAACACTATATAGTGTGGAACAAGTTTATCAACTAATTCTTTTTGTTTTAATGCTGCTTCATAAAGAGAAAAGTATCAAATTTAATACCATGTACCATTAAAATTAATATTGTAATATAATTTATAGCAATATTTTTAAACAAGAGTGATACATTGTATCACTAACAGATTCTAACTTTTTTCTAGCAAGGAAATTATACAGATTTAAATTATTATTTTAGTAACATTAATATTAATAAAAAATATTTTATCAAAGTTCCTAATTAGAAATAGGGATGTTTGTTGTTTTATTAACACTACCCACAACTGCTGGATCGAAGGACCTCTAAGCAATTACCCCTCCCTATTGCTTTTTAAGCCATGCAGACAAATTAGACAGTATGTTTTTTCCTGAACAAGATTTCTTTTTTATATTATTATTGTACAAGTTTGATTAAAATGAAAACAAAACGTGAATAAAGCACAAATAAAGGTGTAAAAATAGAGTGTTAACAATCTTGATTTCTGGGAATCATTCAATATTTTGAAAATTCTAATAATTTAGAAAATGATTTTTTTTAAGCTTCCATCCTTTCCCAATGTTTGAAAATCAATTCCAATGTAATTTCTACACCTTGCACCCTGGGATTCCCACAAAACCCCCTCAGACCTGTTTATTATCTCCCTTCGTTTCTTTTATCATCTTGTCTTTCCCTGATAGTTAAACCACTTATTACATGTTTGTTTTGCTACATTTCTACTGTCATTCAGTTTTTAGACACTGAGATAATTTCTTGTTTATAGAATATACTATATTATGCTCATTTTTGTATCTTTATTTGCGCTTTATTCATGTTTTGTTCTAAGAAGCAGGAAGTGTACCATATCCTCTTTTAGATAAGTTTATTATAATTACAATAAAACTCTTTAAAAGGGCATACACTGTTCTAATCAAAACTTTCTGCATATACTATATATACTATATTATGCTCATTTTTGTATCTTTATTTGCGCTTTATTCATGTTTTGTTCTAAGAAGCAGGAAGTGTACCATATCCTCTTTTAGATAAGTTTATTATAATTACAATAAAACTCTTTAAAAGGGCATACACTGTTCTAATCAAAACTTTTTGCATATATAGGAGACACTGCAAACCGTGGATGGACGTATTGGAGAAATGTTGAAGTATCAAGATCATTCTCGAAAACAAATGACAAAAGATTGGTATTTAGTTGACAGCAACCATAGTTATGTGCAGAGTTGGTCTATTGCTCAGTGTTTTGTCATTTTCTTAACTTCTACTCTTCAAGTCTACTTTGTACGAAAACTTTTTGATGTGAAGAATGTCACACCAACATCAAAACCTAGAGCTTAATGTGTGTGTTTCTTAGCATTTATCAAATTTAATGATAGGTTATAAATAATAAGCGTTTCTTTTAATCATTTTGTAATGATTTTGTTGCATATTTTCACCTGCTTTATCAAGTTTTTTTGCCCCTATTTGTTAACAACACGATCATTCTAGATTTTGTTTTTGAAATTTTCATTTTTTTAAATGTTAAGGTAAAGTTAAAAAGATAAATCTTTCAGTTGCTATTCTCATAATTATTACATGAATTTGAATAATATATATACTGTATACAAAGAATTAGGAGGTATATAATGAAGGAATTGTATGAATATTATTCGATACAAGTAAAATTCTTAAATTTAAATATTGTATAAGTATATAAACATATATATATTTTACAAATTTAAGGCATAAAATTACTTTCAATATAACCTAGTTATAAAATGAGAACAAAGCTTAAGTAATTGTAACGGCAAATACTGTAAACCACGTAACATTAAATAGCTGGCATTATAATATTATAGTTCAGAAAGATATGTTTAAATGGCATACAGTTTTACACATTTTTATAATTATCAATTAAAATGAAAAAAAAAACTTTTTCATTAAGATAATGCTAAAATTCATAATAGCACAACAAAAAAAGCATTCATATTTAGTTAAAAAAATAAATAATAGAATTAAAAATAGAACGATAAGGTCTCAATAATGTAGTTTAACTGAAATAAAAATGTAAAAGCTTATTCACAGCTTACATTTATATATATATACACATATACAAAGTGAATAGGTTTTCATATTTCAATTGCTCATTCAAAATAAAATACTTCATAAGCATTTTTAAATTTTTCATGAAAAATTGATTACACATTTTATATTTTTAATGTAAAAATATTGTTCATTTGCTAATTTAACAATGATATTATGAGTGACATTAATGTTGATTTTAGTTAAACTATGCATATTTAAAGGTACATGAACTGTTTTATTACATTGTACACTTATTTAACAATGCTAGTCAAATTTACTTAAAAATGAAATATACTTATGACTGTAAAATTTTGTTTGGGAACTTATTTTTCAAGCAGTAAAATTGTATTTAAAACAGCATATTTTTCTTTTTTCATATCATGTCATATTTTTAATATTTTCTAAATTATTTTTGCTTCTTATAGGTAACATTATATATTTAACTTTAATGATTGTGGCTTATTTTTATTTATTAATTATTTCTTTTTGTGCATGAGTTAAAAAAATTCTGAAAAGTGTACCTGTTGTATTGTCTAATATAAAGATTCCATTTAGGTATCAAATAGCAAAAGAAATCTAAAATATTTACCATACTAAAATAATTAATTTTTGCAATTTATATTTTTTAAAAGTAGTGTTAAGATCAATTACTCATTACTAAGAAGAGCAGGTTATTTCCATTCCTCTCCTAAGCTATAACGGATGTTTTTAACAGACAAGCAATAATATGTTAAATTTTTTTGTATCTATTCATAAAGCTATTGTCTAAAATTTAACAATTATTTTTTTCCTTGAAAAACAGAACTTTTAAGTGAGATATGTTAAAAGAGAATAAATTGGACTCCAATTGAAATTCTGGAATATTATTATGATTTGTGACAGTCTTATTATTTTTGTTGCACACCAAAAACATAACTTTTTAAAATAAGTTACACTTTATAAGCATTTATATATATTTATTTAAAAAGAAAAAAAAAAACTGAAAGATTATTTTTTTTACTCAGTTGGGCTTATCTTCAAAAGATGAATATTTTTGAGGAAAATATGCTATTTTTCTATTGTCAGAGTCTTTGGTTATGTGAAGATATATTCAGATATAAATTGATAATATTTTATTCTAAGACATTTGGATTTTTATAATACAATGTTATTGTTTTAAATAATTATTGTACAATGCTTTTGCAACAATCAGAAATTTTACTTATGAAGTGAAAGTTTCTTATTCAAACATTCTACATTCCTCTTACAAGAGAGCTTAAACTTCTTGAACTTCCTTAAACCTTCATAAAATCGCACAATTTTTTTAGAAATTTTTTTTTATTCGAGTATTTGAACCCTACTATTGAATAGCAATAAATATATCTGTCTATAATTAGTATTCAGATTCTTTTTGTTAATAGAGACATTTGATAACAAAAAAGCATAGACTTTTGACTTGAACATTACATTTACAAATTAATTGCTGAGATAAAAAAAATACATCTTCAAATATCAAATCTAACTTTGCTTTAAAGCAGTCTTCCCAGCATGCAGCATCATTCATTCCAAAAATTATGCAAATGATACTCAGGAAGATATCAGAGTTCAACCTCAACTAACAGGAAGGAATTTAAATAAAGTGTGTTATAAAGTTTTATAAAATTGTTTCAAAATAAAATGATTTAAGACATAGAATGAATATTTGTGGCATGCTTACTATCGAAAGCATTTATTTTCACCAACTTCTTCTCTTACTATTGATTGTAGTAGATGATAGTTTGTTCAATTGTTAACATTTTAAAAATGTACAAAGTTTATAATTTCTTCTTATATTCAAACATTTTTATTTTCATAAAATAATAAAATTCAATGTAAATAATCTTTTTTAGGAAAAATTAAATGCTGATGATTATATAAAAAAAGTTGAATTGTGCTAATTCAAAACAGGAAAAAGACATATTTATACTTAGTATTGTTCAGTATTATTTGTGCTCAAAACTAATTCTAAGTACAACTGTCAAAAATATTTTTATACTTCTCATCATTCCGCACCCATTTAATGCAAACTAATGAAAATATACTTGCATTTGCTGTTTTGAGTGATATTTATATATAACCTGAGCATTAATTTTCTTTTTATTGTAAAAATAAAAACGTTTTTAGTGTTGTGATTTTATTTAGTTCTAGAACTCTATGGTTTATTTTCTTAAATATATACATGCTATTTGGAAAAATGGGATTAAGTATTTCTTGTTTCCTATCAGTTCAAAAATTTTCTCCTTTGTTAAACATATAATATCAGTTTCAATGTACAAAGTTTGCATTTAATTATATACTCTTATGAAAGCCACATTTCTTAGTTTTGGTAATTCATTTTTTAAAACTTAGCATATTTTGTATAAGTTGACTAAGACGAAGCTCAATTTCAAAATATAACAGTTGTTAGTTGCAACTTTTCCCCCCTGAAAAATATGTAAGGATCTTGGGAAAAATTACTTAAGTTTTTAATTTATTGTATCATTAAAAAGAGAATGTAAAATGTGTAAAAATTTCATATAATTAAAAACATAACACAATACTATTTACATAAACATCAAAGATATAATGAAGAAAATATGAAAAACATCAAACTTAATTACAGTTTCTTTGAACAGATAATTTTAAATTGTTCAGATTTATTAAATAATTGCTATAGTTTAAAAGAAAAGCATTAGTTTGAATACATTAATATAAAAAATGCAAAATTTTCTAAAAAATAGTTACTGTTTGAAATTGTGCAGATTTTATAGACAATTTAAGCATATCTTTTTTAAAATTTAACCATTACAAAATTAAACTTAAATAAATAATAATTTAAACTTAAATTAATACGACATAAAAAATGCAAAACTTCTTTTAATTGACTACTCAAAATTTATCATATTTATTAAACATAAAACAAGAGTTTCATGATGCGAAAAAAAACCCCAGTTCAGTTCAATTCTATACTCCTATGAAAGCACTATTTAGTTTCTTGGAAGTTAACATTTAAAAACTTCTAGCACATTTCCAAGCAACACTTTTGGTTAAATTAATTAGCGTGAATTTACGAGGCTTTGGTTGAAGTTTTTTACAAAACAGAAATTTTATTGAAGAAAATTATATAACTTTTCAGAAACTAGAAAAATGGCAAGGCATTCACTTATTGAGGTATATTATATTCACAAATGTAAAGTTAAGGTTACATTAGCAAATATTAAGATAATTACTGCTCTCGGACTATTTGAAGCAAGCATTTTTTTTAAGACCATTAACTCTAATGCTAGTGCATAAGAAAGCTTAAAAAAAAAATTGAAAATAATAAAATATTTTGCAACTTCCATCAAACTAACGCAACACTGCAAATTAATGTTGTCTCCAATTCCTTACATAGAAATAGTAGTGTCAAAATTTATTCAACAGATAAGTTTATGAAAAGCTATTTTTTGTAGAACCCTTTTCAAAATACTTTTTTATATTTTTAATTCCAAAATACTTTAAAAAAATTAAAGCAAGCAAATGCAACTTTTAATGATGCACATTTCAGCACACACACATATATGTTGACATTAAGAGACAACATCATACATAGAACAACATAAAACTTTAATGTGTTTAAATGTAATTTTATAACCCAACTAAAAAATGAATTTGATATTTTATAAAATACAGTAAAGTTACTTGGAAACGGTTTGGCAGGTAACTTTGATTTTGTTGGTAACTGTTAGCTGGTAACTTTGATTGTTGTACTTAATTTTATCAGCATACTTTTAGAAAAGATATTCATATGTAGATGTGTAACATGCACAATGTTTTCTTGCCATGGAAGTATGTACAATCCAGTTGTGCCTTATTTTTAAATTAAAAACTTTTATTTTTTACAAATATTTAGTTTTGTATAGTTCAAATAATTAATCATATAAAGATATCTTTAGCCATAGAGAGAAAAAGTTTTAGATCTATTCATAATTCAGGATATTACAGTACACTTTTAAAAATTCGAAACTGATTTATTATGTATATGAAAATGATTAATACAAAATTTTAGATTGTATTTACAATTTTACATGAAATACATTTACTTATATTTCATTAGAGTCCAGTTTATATCTAATCTGTTATATGCTCTAAGATGCCTTGATGGATTAATTTCTCACAATCTTTTCTCTGTAAGAAATGCTGAAAAAATTGTAACAGTATGATTAATTTTAACACATTTAAAAAAATAACATTTTTACTATTACTATTAATAAAGCTCGCCCATAAAATCTTTAAAAAAGGAAAAAAATTAATGTTTCCAATATTAAACAACAACAAAATTTCAATCAGTTTAAATTACACAAATAGTAAAATTTTTGATGTTTATTTTTGATTTAAAATTATTAAAATAAAAATATACCATAAAATATAAAAAAGAATAAAATAATTAATATATCTGCTTATGCTTATATATGCAATAAAAATAAGAAATAGCATTTTCCCCATTATCGTGTTAATCAAAATTTGTTTCATTTAACACAATAGTGCTATAAAAGCATAACAAAGAAAAGTGTTTTTGTTCAAGGAGATTTTTATAACTACTTATTTAAAAATATAAAGATTTTAAATACATAGGTCAGAGAAAACAGAGTGTAAAACAAATATATGAAATTCAGAACACAGAAAGAAATAATGTAAGGCATTTTACAATATGGTTAGTTAGGATGATTTCAGATATTTAAAAAATTAAAAAAGAAAGTTTAAGTTTATAAATATTTTACAACAAATATATGAGAAATTTTTAAATTTTATCAAGTAGAAAAAAAAATCTCCAACTATTCAACAAAATAAACTTTCCAACATATGTACTATTTTATATGCTTGGAGAAGACACAAGGAAAGTAATTCAATTATCAATCATTTTACAAGGTCCATGCTCTACTTTAAAAAAAAAAAATTCAAGGACTTTTTAAGACTAATCATAAAATTTTCAAGGACTTAAATTCAAGTAAAAGATAGACTAAAATTTAACATTTTAAACTAAAATGATATGAAAAAAATACTAAAATTAAGACTTCCATCCCTCTCTCTTTACTTCAAAAAGTAACCCTCGCATAAAAAAAAAAAAAAGCAAAGGTGCTCTGAATTTTACATAGGGCCTAGATATAAAGAAGTTAGATATACAACCTCTGAATAAGCAGATTCGAACAAGTCATGAAGAAAAAGAAACATTTTAAATGATCTGTACAATAAAAAACAAAGTACGCTTAAACTTATTTATAATAACAATTCCACAGTAAAGAAAAATAGAAAACACACTATTTAAAATTATTAAAAGATATTTATTTGTAAAAAACTCATGTCTCATACGATATGTAAAGAACATTAACAAATACACCAAATAATTGTTGAATATCTGTGATAAAATATGATGAAAAAAAGAATCAAATAAAGTCCCTGAAAATCAAATTTTAATAAAACAAATGTTAAAGTCGTAATAATATTAATATAAAATACATATCATAAAGAAAGAAAAGGTTATTTCCAAGATCATCTATATCATGGTAACAAGAACAAGTCAAGGATTCAGAATAAAACATTAAAAAAAAAAAAAAATTTTTTTTTTAGCAGAATTAAATTACCTTAAGAAAAGATAAATTAGTAATAATTTTCAGCTGAATTATCACAAATGTGAAATAAATAAGTACTAGATTTAAATATATACAAGACTCCTAAGCTATATGTAGTAAATACACAGTAAAATTTTTCCAAATCATTAATGAAACTTGAACAAAAATAATAAAATACATAAAAACTGCATAAAAGAAGTGATGAAAATTAAAGGCTTTGTTAACTTCTATTAGAAGCAAAAAAATAAAATAAACAATAATTAAAATTCAGTTTTAAGAACATTGCATAAACCTTTGAAATACACATTTTACCAAATAAAGCCTTAGAAAATCAAATTTTAATAAAACAAAATGTTAAAGATGTAACCAACTTTAAAAACACATATCATAAAGAAAAAAAAGGTTATTTTCAAGATCATCTATATCATGTTAACAAGAACAAGTCAAGGATGTTAGTAAATTTTAAGCTGATTTAACACAAATGTGAAGTAAATATATACAAGACTCCTAAGCTATATGCACTAAACACACAGTAAAAGTTTCCAAATCATAAATGAAACTTGAAAAAAATAATAAAACACATAAAAACTGGATAAAAGAAGAGATGAAAATTAAAGGCTTCGTTAACTTCTATTTGAAGCAAAAAAAATAAACGATAATTGAAATTCCATTATAAAAAAATTTCATCAATTTTTGAAATACATAATTTGAGTGACATAGAAATATAAAAAATTTCATTAACATGTGTTTATGAAAATATTTTAAAATTACATTTAAATTATTGAAGATATGACAATATACCAATTATTTATGAAAACTTTCAAATTTTTTTCCCCTCTTGGTTTCGGTCAATTCACTGATTTCATCGATGGTTTCAATTTCGGATTGCTTTTCTTTTACTGTCCTTCGGAAGCTATTCGCCTTTTTTACCAACAATATGTTTTCAGTTGTCTCAGGTTTTTCTAGCAAGCTGTCAGCTGATTTGCTGAGTTCAGTCACAGTCTTCTTCAGACAAATTTTTTTTGACTGCAGTTCTTGGAGCTCTTGATCGTTGTTGGGGTCTTTTTTTCCTTTCAAGCTCTCTCTCTTTTGCTTTAAGGTCAAGGTGATGACGGTATTTCTGTCTAGCACCTCTAGCAGCAATTTTCATCTCCTTAGTGATATCAATCCCCTTTGCCCCCCCCCACAGGATAATAACGCATCTTACACAAGCCTTTTAGCTATGTATGTCTTTTCTTTCAAATTATCAACTTCAACCTGACGCTTGATTGAAAATCCTCTCTCTACAGTAGCTTGCCCTTGGGAAAGAAGTAAAAGTTTCTTCACAACACTCCACACTTTGGAATACTCATGGACACACGTGTTTCTTCAGAAACTCATTCAGTCGTTGAGTTGTTTGGTTGAAGTCTCTAAACTCAACACTTACTCCAACAGAATTAAAAAATTCAAAGATTCCAAAAGAATAGAATCACATTCTGCATCATTGACTTTTATACACCCAGCCAATATTTTCAGAATGATAGCCATTTTCTTATATGATTTATCACTGCTGTGATGCATCCTCCTGGGGTCTAGGGATGCAAGGCATCGAACTAACTGATTAGATAGGGGTGACTTTTCTGCTATTTTTTTCACAATGGCAGTCATGTTGAAGGTCCAGCCCAGCTTTAGCAGTTATCTGCTTCTGTGCGAGCAGTTTCTTCAGTATATTTCCTGCAACAAATCCAATTGAAACTTTGCTGATGCTACCTTTATGATTATTAAAATCAAAATTAGCAAAGTCGCAGTGCTCTTTCATTGCACTGACAGATTCATTCCTTAAGACTTTGAAAGTATCCAATAAATTTAAAATCATTTTCCTCAAAACAGAAAAGGCAGCATCGGCCAATCCTTCTGATATAATGTTAAAAAGGGCTGAAGAATTCTAATTACTGACAGAAAAAAATTAAGTTTTACAGGAAGAAGTATGTCCTTGCATGAAGCAACTACAAGCAAATAAGATTTGCAGCTGGGTTTGTTAAACTTCCCCTTTTCAACAGAAGAAATGTATAGTTTTAAAACATCCAAAATATCTAAAGTTCTTTGTGCAGCTGGGTCATTCTCTAGCCATCTATGGCCACAAAATTTAAGAGGCATCAATTTACTTTCTGAGGTTTCTAAAAAGTCTTCTTTCCTTGCTGGAGCATCTTTAAATAGCCAATGAAGGCTTCTCAAAAAATCATCCAAATGCCATTGCGTCTCAACAAATCCTCTTTTAAAGCCGTTATTCACAACATGAAGACTACAACTACCTATATTTGGTATTTGACATCCGAATTGATTTTTTAAGTTCGTTTAAATTAAATCAAAGATCTTCCAATTTACATAAGGTCCATCCATAGAAACCCCCATTAAATTGGAAAAATCCAATTTGCTGATGGTGGTGAGAAGATGAGACACCGTGACATCAGCTGTAGAATGGCCTAAAAAACTTGAATCAATGTACTTAGTGACAACATTTTCATCACCCCAAAATCTGACCAAAACATCCAACTGCTTGGATTGCAGAGACATATTTAAGCTCTCATCGAACATTACCCAATAGTCACCTGAGAGTTAACAGCTCTCAAAAACTTGTGACTTAAAATATGGTGCTAAGCCAAAACACAAATAATACGAAGCTTTATTGGCCCCACAAGAAAAAGATCTGGCAATCACACTGTCGCTAAACATGTCTTTAAATAAATCGGCAATTGTTTGACATGAATCAAAAGAATAATTATTTTCAACGCACTTTAGCACCCATCTTATCTCAGCATGTGTACTATCAGTAGTGCCAAAATTCACAACAGCACTAGAAGAAGGCACTGCTTCTTGAGATATGCTACTTGTAGAGGAACTGGGCACTGGTTGCTCAATATTCAGTACCTGCTTGTGCTCAACAAAATTTTTAAGGCTTGATGCCTTGAGATTCTTCAAAAGATCTTTGTGCTTTTTACCTGTAAAAAAAAAAAAAAAAACTAATTTACTAAGCAAGAAAAGGAAGTTTTATTTCCATAATATAAATACTTATATTTAAACTTGAAGGCTAAGCAAAAAAAATTTTTGAAGCTAAAAGTGGCAGGTTACTAACAGAAAGTAATATTAACCTGTTGATCACTAACAATGGTTTATAAATTAAGTTATTTATTATAAGTGCTATAATATAAAAACTAAAATAATCCAAAAATAGCACGCACATTGTAGAAATTTACTATAACTATATAACTAATGGCATGATTTTGGCAATATTAATCAAGTTACATTGTGCACAGGCCACCTTTACATCTGAGACAACTTGGCATCCATCGTTCTAAAGTCGTGTAGGTTTCAAATACCTTGAGGAATTGAACCAAAAATTTCCATAATAGTTCTGTGCATCAACCAGTGAGTTATCACTCTTATACAACAAACATAATTTAAATTTAACTATAAGATTTTAAAATTAACAATTTAATTAAACTAGAAACATTTTCTTTAATAAAATTCTTCACAATATCCAAGATGAAGATTCAGTACATGTATGTAAGAAAAATTCAACATTTCGTTTCAATTATGTATCTTGTTTGAATGTTTAGTTTATATAAGTATTTAAACACATTTTATATAAATGTTGGTAAATTAAAAATAAATAAATATGTAGTTAAATTTTGTTTTAATCTTTATTTTGACAAAAATAGATAACATTAAAGAAAAAAAAACTATTAATTAATTTTTTTTTTTTAACTTTTCATTTAAGTTAGTAAAAAAAAAATTATGTTGATAATAAAAAGAGCTACTTCCATTTTTATAATAGTTAAATAATCAAATGATTAGGACCTTTTTTTGTTTTATTTACAATTATTGTAAGGTGATAAGTTTCCCGAAACATACACTTAATTTTAATAATAAAAAAACTCAAATCAATCAAAACATTCAAATAAAAAAACTCAACATAATATTCATTAAGTCGAAATTTTTATTGATTTTGTTTATGCACAAGTTTTTGATACTTAATATGTGCATAAATTAACAACAATCAAATATTAACCAGTGTTTTCATCGCAGAAAAAAAATGGGTGAGAATTTCTCACCCTTTCTCAAAAACAGGGTGAGATTTCAAAAAGTTAAGTGAGATTTCTAAAAATTAAAAAGCAAAAACACAAAGAGACATGAAAAAAATCATTTCTTTAATTATAATAAATTTTTAATATCTTCTAATCTTTAAAGTATTGAATATTTTTGCTGCATCATCATATGGAAAATGTTCTATATCTACTTTTTCATCAGCTATTCTCATTAGGTAACTCAAATACGTATTTGTTTCGTTTTGATCGTTTCTACCCACATTTGTTTCATTTTCATTTGTCCGTTTCGGAGTAGAAGATATTGCCTTTACAAGGTATTTGTCCACCTTGCATTAATGCGCAAAAAATTTGAACGTCTTACATGAAGAAACCTTACCTACAGTAAACACGTGGTTGCAGAGAAATGCGTTCTGAAAGAGGTTCGGACGAATGGTGTTCTGTAGTTCTTAAAGATTTTAACAATACTGGTTAACAGGGAAGCTAGATAATGGGGCAGATGTTGAAAAGAACGATGAAAGATCCAGGAAGAAAAGTGAAACGGATTTTATTCTAAATGGCGCAATGCGAAATTTTTTTCAAAATGCGAGAAATTCGCGAATTTTGAAATTGGTTTATAGAATGCGCGAATTTCTCGCGGTAATCATTTTTTAATGCGAGAAAAGAAAAAAATATGCGAGATTCTCGCGTTCTCGCGCTGTAGTGAAAACACTGTATTAACACACATTGAAAAGCGCTTAAAACAATCACTTTTCATTTTTAAACTTAAGCAAATTGCTTATATTTTAGAAGGAATAATGCAGTAAATTTAAAGTAATGCAATAATAATTTTGATTCAAATTACTCCAAAAACTAGTTTTGACAACAAAAAAAACTTTTAACAATGAGTTTTTTAATTTATTAATGTAACAAAATATAATAAAACGAAAAATAATTACCTTCATTGTGGGATCGCAGGGCTGATTCTCCCATTTTTGAGACATCAAATTCCTTTGAGCATAATCGGCAAGATGCTTTATACTTTCCATCGCCTTGCTTCAGTCAGTCACTATATTCTGGCTTATTTAACCACAAAACGTTAAAAACACATTTACCCATTATTTTATTTGAACTAATAAACAATAGCCTGAATGTACTACCGAGGAAAAATACGAACAACAAACCAACGTGTTAACACAGCGATATGAATTAATGCAGTAAAAATATATTGATATATAACTTATCCTCCTTGAGTTACCAGTCAAATCAGTCTTTGTTAACGATTGCGTTGGCAAGAGGGAAATCGTGACGTCAACAACTGATAAGAGCGAAGAGCATTACGTCATCATCGTCTGAAAGGTGGAAAAGTCATTCTTTTGTTCATACGCGCATGCGTGAAAAGTTCAACACATAAATGCCAGAAATAGGGCGATTTTTGCGAGTTTCTGATAATTTTCAAGTCCATTTCGAATATTTCAAGGACTTAGCATTATTTTCAAGTACTCTTTGGGGGCCCTTGAAAATCAAAATTAAATTCAAGTACTTCTTAAGGCTTTTTCAAGACCATGGGAACCTTGTTTTAATTAAAAAATAAACCAATTAAAATATATACTAATTAAAATATATACTATTGGTATATACCTATGTTACAGCAGTTAAAATCTTCATAACTGCTATGTAACTACACAATTACAGAGCAATATCAATTTGCAGATTAACAGACAAATGTTTATAAGTTACAAATAAATTTAATGCACCTTAAAAATTAACTTTTTTCATTAAGAAAAACTTTCAACGTGTTAATTTTAAACTCAATGCATCAATTTTAAATACATAAATAATAGATTAAGCAACAGGAAGTGGAACTTCTTAAGCAAGTAGGCTTAGATGCTCTCAGAAGTCTAAAAAAAAATATTTTTTAATTTACAAATACGAAAAAGACAAAAAATAAATTAACAATTAAAACATAAAATCAAAATGGAAAAGTGCCTAAAGCAGCTAAAACCAAATTTGCTTTATTTTAATTAAGATATTCAAAAAGACAATTGTCTTTTTGCTTTCAGAAGGTAACTCTTATTATGCCTATTTCACGTCAGTAAAGTATAAATGTGTGTTCATTGTTTGGCACAATAATGGACAAAAATAACACACCGAGTAAAGAATAAATAAGATATGCAAACAAAATAAGTTTCTAAATTTACCACTATATAAACTATATTTTAGTTTTAGAAAGTCAACTATATTTTAGCTTTAATGGGTATAAAAGACACCAACAAATCAAAATAATAAATCTTAGTTTCGAAATTTACCACTCCCTTATCTGCCGCTTTAGAAAAAGAAATGAAAAATAGCATTATTTAAGGTTCATTGTAACGAAGAAATTAATGATTAACAAAAAAAGAGAAAAATAAAAACACTGAAAACAATAATTTGTACAAGAGAAACTTACAGTACTGTTTTTTGTCAAAACAACAGTGTTTCCATCACTTGTTTCAAAATCACCATATTCACTCAGGCATCTAACCTAAGAATAATAAATAAAAACACTTATATTAATAAATAAAAATCAATATTTTTTTTTAGGGAATTAGTTTAAAATACAATATTTCTAAAGATACATATGATTCAAATAAACCTAAGCTCCCTTTCTTTTCTTTTACTTACTATTTCCAGTATCAGAGTGTCTCACTTTACTATGTCTCTAATGCTCTTGCAGTACTTCTTTTATTTCATTTTATGTTTCAAATTTCAATGACAGCAATTGTTGCAGAGTTATTTGCATTATCATTCACATTCTATCATGTTGTTATTCTATTTTAATATGACTAGTTTTTGAAAGTTAATTACTATGTCTAAAAAAATTTAAAACTTTTTGTTTTGAAACTGGGTGGGCTTTAAGCGGGTACCGGGGATTGAACCCATGGTTCTTCACATTGACAGTTCAGTGTCATAACCACTCATTTTTACTAAAAAATAGCATGAATAGGGGAATAATCTAACTTATTTTTACAAATTCTTATTTATTCTCCTTTTGAATGGCTTTTATTTGCTTGTTTTGTTATTTTATTTATTTATTATATTTATAATTTATTTATTTAATTATGCTAGGCAATTTTTGTCAGAATTTGAAGAATTGATATTGCTTTGCAGTGCAGGTAAGGGTTAAAAATGCATGCCAGATCATAAGTTTTACATGGATAGGGCAATATAATTTTTAAATTCTGTTCTTTATATTTTATTTTTTTAAAACATTCAGAAAATATGAAACACAATGATTGTATTTAAAAAAAAAAGCAAATATAAAAGCAGTTTTACTTGTATATATAGAGATTTAGGAGGTTGTAGATTCGTGAAAAGATCAACTCCAACACCACCAATGGATGACATGTAACTGGCTATATTTCGGTTGTATGAGGAAAACCAATTAACCTTAAAAAAATAATTTTTTTTTCAATAACTGAAAAAAAAATATTCTAGGTGGTAAAATAACATTTTAAATAAATCTTAGCTACAAAATCATAACATATTGGTTTAATATATCTTTTTTGTATTTTATTTAACTAAGTAAATCAAATCTAATTAATAATAAAACAAATTTAGTAAATAATAAACCAAATCTAGTAATTAATAAACCAAATCTAAAAGATTTTATTTATTCAATCTTTCTCACTTTTATTTCAAAAATTGAATTATGTTTATATATCTCTTCATATCACATAAAGACAATAATGTTAATGTTCCGGACATTCTGACAGGACAGAAAAATTTATATATTACCATTTACACAGACACACACAAAAAAAATATAACTATGCCTGCTATCAGTATAAAATTAATAAAGGTTATAATGGTAAATTATGCATTCTTAACTTAATGGTACTTACTTATTCCCTATTATATTAAATTTTTGACTATCATTCAAAAATTAAAACTTATAAGTATTCCAGGGTTCCCACTCTTTTAACAAAGCAAAAAATAAGGAATTTTAAAGACTTTTTTTTTGAAAAAGTTAAGGACTTGGTTGAAAATTTAATGACCCTAAAAATAGTATGATTGTTCATCATCGAATATACATATGCCATTAGTACCAGTGTCAATTATTTAACTTTCTTAAAAAATGAAAATCAATCAATAAAAAAAAAAAATAAATAAATAAACAATTTTATTATAATGTAAGTACTGATATAATTGTATCAATTAACAGTGTTTCCCAAAATAAGACCAGGCAAATGTTGGATACCAAAGTAGGATTTAAATTTTTTTTTTCCCAGATTGTTAAGGGTTAGCGACATCTATGAAACTAATCGGCATTCCATTTTTAAACATTTTAAGGAAATTGAATTGTAAAATTAAATTGCAGAAATTAGGATTCGGAATTCTTTTCATATATTAAAAAAAATCTCATATTCAGTTGTGAGCAATCTTGCTAAATATTCAGTTAGGCCAAAAAAAAAAAAAAATCTTTCTTTTCTATTAATAGAATGTTACATTTATAAGGGTATATACTAAAAGATTTAATACTAAAAAGTTGAATTACAGTTGCACATGAAAGTAGTTTCTTTAGCTATGTCATGTTTAATTAAGTCCTATTTCAAATAAATACAGGCCTCACTAATATCTAAGCACCTCAAATCATTCTACTATTTTTTAATTAGGCTTTATTTAATATTTTTTTGAATTCATTGCAATTAATATTTCAATGAAAATTTTTATAGAATAAAACTACAATTAGACCCGAGAAGAATTATAATTTTTAAGTCAATATGTTTTTTATATTAGTTCTCAGTGGAAGGGCCTAATATCATTTTTCAACGTTATCAATGCATTTCTATTGCCGGAAAATTGGTAAGGTTTCTTAATTAACAAATACTGATAAATTATTTATTTTTTCATCATTTATAGATATTTATTTGTAATATTTCTTAATCATCCTCTATTATTATTAAAATTATTCTCTATATCATTATGATTTGATATTCTATATTTATCCCAAATTAACAGTTTCAAACTGAAAGTGGTACAGTGCCCGCCGTTTATTAAAATCACTTTCGTTTTATGCTTTTTTCATTTTATTAAGCGGCTGATTTGATTAAGAGGCGATTCAACATTTGGAGAAAAAAAATCAAATTTTTTGTATTCTAAATGCACACACTTTAAAAGCTGAAATAATGACAACATTAATGTTTTATTTTAACTAATTTAATTATTTTAATAAAGTAAAACCCTACATAAGATTAAATTTACAAAATTTTTGCAAATAACCGATCAATGGTTGCTTGAGTTTCAGTATTTAAAATTAACTTTTCAACATCATTTGAGAGTTTATAGAAGTTTTTATAGTTTTCGATATTTCCTCCTCTTTGTTCTAAAGCTTGCCGCACTACATTAAGTGCTTTTCTGACTTCCATTGAAGATGGCACTGATGAGTTCATTTCATCTTCTGAGTCTGATTCCTCCATTTCTTGATTGAAAATAACTTTGCAATTTTTGATGTTTGTAACAATTTCAAAATCAGATTTTTCTCCTGATGTTTGCAGTTTATCGTCAATAGCTACGGAACATGCGCACAGTTTTTGGAAATCCATTCATGTTCTCTGTTAAGATAGATAACAAAAGAAACTTCTCTCCNCAAAAAAAAAAAAAAATACCTATAGCAACACATTTCTATTGCCAGAAAATTTTTAAGGTTTCTTAATTAACAAATACGGATAAATTATAAATTTTTTTATCATTTATAGATATTTACGCCATCCTCTATCATTATTAAAATTAATCTCTATTATCATTATGATTTGATATTTTATCTTTATCCAAAATTAACAGTTTAAAACTGAAAATGGCATTCTTTTATTATAAAGTAATCCGAAAATATCACCTTATCAGGTAATGTTTGTAAAAACATATTGAAAACGGTATGTAACTTAACCATTTTAAAATTATTACTAAACAGCAAATATTTTATATTTACTTTTATGATGAGCTTTACATAAAATTATTTCCAGCCAAAACTGTTATTAAGAATTAACTTTACATTATATTACTAAACAATCTAGAGTGAAATATGGATTAATTTTAAAGCAAACCAAAAATTGAATAGAATATTTAAAAAAATAAAGAAAGAATAAAAAAACTGTATATTAAGTAGCAATGTCAATTGAACAAAATAATTATTAAAATCTAAGTTTGAATTTTATTACATTAATTATAAAAAGTTTGGGATCTATAAATTAAGAAGATTAAAATTTTTATGTAATAATTTGCTTAGTTTCTGTTAGGGATTCTAGTTCAAATTTTTTTTTCTGAAACTCCTCATCTTAGGGTTTTACTTCGCTCCTATAAGCACATGCGTTACCAGTAGAACTGAATTTTTGAAATCTATCGATTTTGAAGGTCAATATGGGTCTTCTACCACAAAAAAAGCACACTCTCTTTCATGGGCAGTATCCCCCTTGTCCATGCTCTATGTTCTAGGCAAAAGGAAGAATATATTAATGAAAGGACATGCTTTCTCCTTGTAGCCCCCTCACACACATTTCTTCAAATCTCTCTAAAATACTCTACTCTTGAGGGATGGTCACATTCTAGGTGATAAATACCTTTTTGTTTTAAATATTTTTGTAAGACAGAAAAATTGCTCCTATCATCCATAGTGATGATGGAAATTTCAGCACTTAAACCTTGAACCAAAATTAAGTTTTTTTAAGGGCGCTTATTTTCCAAAATAAAAAAATTAAGCAGTGTTTAAGGACTCTGTAATTCCTTTATTATAAAGTAATAGCATGATACAACCTTATTATGAAATAAATTATAATAAAGAGGTTTAGTTTTCAATTTAGAGTTATTAAACAATAAATAAGTCTAATTTACTTCTATAATAAATTTTATGTAAAAATGTGTTTAGTTAATGTAGGCAATAAAAATAATGAATACAAAATAACTATTAGAAATACTGAATCATCATAAGTTATATAGATATTTTTTTGCAACATAGACTAATTTCTCGATAAAAAATGTTTCAACAAGTTTATAAGGTAACCAAAAATTAAATTAAATACAAGTTTAAAAATCAAGTTAGTGAGTAAACTTGCAATGGTAACTGAGCGAAATTTGAGGATTTAAGTTTATTTTAAGATATCATGATATGTGCAACTAAATCTGTCTTAATACAATATAAAATTTAGGGATCTTTTAATTTAAATAATTTTAACCAAACAGTCCAATCAAAAACTAGTATAGCAGTTAATAAAATTAATATATGAAATTTTTAGTGTGAATTTAAAGATAAATCAATAGCATATTTACATAGCTTAAAACATAAATAATGTCTAAGAAAGATTGGTTTTACAATATTTAAATGCATACAGATATAGAAAAAAAAAAAGGTTTGTATTTCTTTTCATAAGTCTACAAATGCATAAAAAATAGCACATCTTAAATCTTTACTTCTGATTCAGATAAGCAAGCTCGAACTTCAGGAGGTAAGATAGCACCAAAGCCCCATCTAATATCTCGAATCATTTGCAATCTATTATATCTGAAAATAGAAGTAGAAATAAATTATGACACTCTCAATAATTTTTGACCTAATAATTAGATTTTCAAATGCAATATTTTTGATTTGAAATACTCACAAAAGATATGTTAATTACATGCATAGAAAATAATAATGATAAAAAAAAAAAAACAATCCTTGGAGCAGTTTAAAATCATCACATATTTTTAAAAGTTACAGTACTTTGATAGGCATACAGTCTAATACGAATTTCTCTTTTTGCTCTTCACAAAATTTTATAATCATGAAAATTACATAATTTCACTTTCATTTTTTATTCTACAATATTCCCAATTTTTTTAATACTTCTTGATTATTATTTTTTTATTTGGCTGAAATAAAACTGACCAAATCACTAGGATTAGGTCAAAAATCCTTATGGTTTTTACAATATTATATCATGTAAATTTTAAGTAACTTATTTGAGTTATCCTCTTTGAAATAAGGGATGTGCTACATGCATCACATATCCAAGATGTTTTTCGGCCGTTTTCTCTAGTTATTGGTGTGGATTTCATAGAATCACATAGTATTTTAAAGTCTGACTTTTATTTAACATAATATTAAATAAAATGCATATGCAATCTTTAAACAAGCATTTGAGCTTGATTTGCAACATTTCCATTGTATGTAGCCGGAGCTTTTTAATCGTTTTCTCGTCAGCTATTGCTGTAGATCCAAAAACTTTAAAGTAAATTTTACTACAACATTTGAATTTCAAACTATATATTTTGATAATTGCATTTTGATGGGCTCAATTTGAAAAGATTTCAGCATAAATTCATATAGCTTTGTTGATTGCCAGCTTGCATAAAAATAACAAAACTTTCAATTTTTTTATGGCACAAAATTGGTAAATGTTAACATTTTTGTAACAGGCTATAGGAGCGCAGAATATGTCTAAATGCACAAACAAGTTTTGGGGGAAAATTCTGGCAGCCCTAAGGAGAATTCCTACAAAAGTTTTCATGGTTAAAAAACAATGTGTCGCTTTAAAAAATTTTTCACTGCAAAAAAATGGTTAATACACGGAATAGTTAATAAAAATCACAATATTTCAATGTAATATTATGGCCTAGAAATTAGCTTTGATTGGAGTAATCACTTTGTGTCCTTGTCTCACATTCATTTCAACATAAATCCATAACCATGACATTCCAGACAGAAATAATCTTTCATGTATGAAAAAAATTAGCATTAAAAAACTGCTCTTTCCTGACTATCATCAAATCTTGCTGCTAAATTAAAAATGTAAATCACTTAAATATTAAAATATGCCTTTCTTAAAGTTTATTTTAACACATTTCTAAATTCTATATGCCACCTTTTCAACTTACTATCAAAAAAGAAAACTGTTTTATTAAATATAACAGGAATAACTTAATTCGTCAATTTATTTATTTCTTTGAATTCCATAAATTTTTGCATAATTGCCATTCCATTCCAAATGAATTCCATAAGGGGGACCTTATATTTATTTTCATTAATCATTCTTTCAATAAAATTTTGATTTCTATTATTTTTAAGACAGATACTAATTTATTCAAGAATTGTATAAAAAATCAAATGAATGTTTTTCCTTCTTAATGAAAAAAAAGGTTATTTTATTTTATATTCTTTCTTTTTGTTATTTACTTATTTAAAAAAAAATATGTTTAGTTAAAATGTGAAGAACAGAGTCAACTTTTAACTAAAGTATAAAAGGTATGTTCGTACTATGTTTTAATAAAGCAAAATATAAAAAGGCATAAGTAATATTTATTGCTTTAAGTATAATTTAATATTTTGTAGTTTGTTTTATTGTAAAGTCAAAAAAATATTTGTAAAAATTAAAAGAACAAAAACAAACAGAATGAAGTATAATGATAGCAATTCTAAAAATTTTAAATAAATGTATCAAGGAATTTTAATGATATGAAGTTAAGAATAAAAATGAATATATACTTACAAATAAGCTAAAATGCACCGTTGATTCCTTAATAACACAGCATGTCTAAGTTGTACAGCTGCATGATACTGCATTTCACTTGTTATTGATGCATTTCTGAGAAAAATGAAAGATTTAAAACTGAATGATGCATACGACAATACTTACAAGACTTTATTATCACAAAAGAATGAAAATATTTAAGAAAATATTGTTTACAAAGAATTGTGTCAATGCAAAAAGTTAAAGAATAGTAGTGAGTGAACAATTTAATTTAGTTGTTACAATTTAAAATTAACTATCTTAATTCATATGAAGGTGAACAGATATGAAAAGAATACAATATGCTAAAAGAATCAAAATTTATTGATACATAAGTTCACTTTATTTCTTCCAATTTTTAATTCGAGTTTCATTGTAATGTAGAAAAGTAAAACACTCATGATATTGCCAGTTGTTGGCATGGAGGTTACGACTCTAAAAGTTTGAAATGAACAATATAATTAGTAGCGATGCAGTTAGAATGGAACATAACCGACTATACTTCCCAGAGAAGCTGATACGAGTCAATTTGCAGCCAAAAAAGTTACAAGCTGTCACACATAGAATTGCAGTCCAACAGCTCAGTGCAATAACTACTATGCTGTCACATTCATTATAAAATTCAACTTAACCCACTGATGGTTCCGCACGTAAAAAGTCGTATTTTAACCCGTAGTCTTCCCCGCATAGCAAAACTGATTTCTTTATGTTATTAGATAGGGATATAGTGTATCAGGGAGAAACATTGTTTTTATAATAAAGGTTTTACATTTGAATATTTTACTATATGAATGTTAGATTAAGTTGATTTTTTACAGTAACAATCTCTGCCTGACTGCGTTGAAGTCACAAACAAATTTGGATTTATAAATATAGTGCTACAGATATATTTCGTAAATTCTGCTACTAAGTAGGGATATAACGAATAGTGATTTAGCCGAATACTGAATATTCAGCCAAATCACATAATATTAATAATAAAAAAATAAAACTTCTTACGAAAGACAGCTAAGTAAGAAAAGAAAGTAAATATAGTGCTAACCCTGATTATAACCAAAGCAAATACAGTCTATTGGTTAAAAAAAACACAGTCTATCAGAAACAGGCTTTAAAAAGGCTGGGCTAATACAAAAGAATATGTTCAAAAATAAAGGAGGAAAAATAAAAATCTATCTGAATTCCGAAAAGAAAATTTTAAAGCCGAAAGCAGTCTTACAACTACTGCATTTTCAAAAAAAAGCGAGAAAAAAAATAATAAAATTAAACAATAATGTTCTTAAAAATTAACGTGCCATAGTAAAAAATTCAATAAAAACAAAGTTTTTTCTTATACTGAACATTGAAGTCTTAACACTGAAAATCTTAAATTAACTTTTTTGCATTGCCATACTTTAGGAAAAATTATGATAAAAGAATAAGGTTTATTTGAAACACACTTTGAAAAATGTTTCGGCATAATATGAACGTAAATAAATAGATAAGTTAATACAAAAAGTAAAAGAGAAACAGATACTCTTAAAATTTTTAGTTAAAGATTCTATTTCTAATATAGTTAAAATTGTGATTTTAGATTATTCTTTACTACATCTATTTAAATTCCCCCAAAAAACTTCCTTGAAAAATACTTTGCCAAATATTTGACTAAACCAATATTCAGCAAAATGGCTAAATAAATAAATGATACATTCCTAGTCATAAGTTAATAAAATGTTAACTGAATAAGAGTGTGGCAGAATATATAAGTAAATGCTCCCAAAATTGGAATTTAGGCAATTATTGAGTTAAAATATCAGTTATAATAATGAATTTGCCTTACCTTCTTTCTAAATACACTAGTTCATAAGATACTTAAACCAATTTAATATTTAAGGCATTTTAATGAGTAAAACAAACAACTACACATGAAATAAAGCATTATTACTTCATTATACATAGGGACACAAAATTTAAGCATAACAATTTTTTTAGCTATAAATACTAAGTATATAACTATTATTTATCAAAATTATTTTACATACACATCAATTTGATTTTCTTCATATAATGCCTTCATTTCTTCGAATACTTGTTTCATAACTTCATCCTAAAATAAATATGTATGTGAACAATTATAACAAATATAAAAACATGGTTCATTTTTTTTCTGTTTTCAAAGTTATTGTAACTTGTATTTTAAATAGGTTGTTAAAGGAAATGAAAACTAAGCTTCTAATTGCTTCAATCACTATTGATATTAGCGATTCATTTCGATCTTATTTTACTTTTGCTTGATGATAAAAATAATTAGACTATGTAGAGTATAAATGTTTTTAATAAAATAATTAGGGTATTTTTACTATAAAAACTACATTTAAAACACTTAAATTTTGAAGTTAAACTTTGCTAGTACCTTTCATTTTCCTGAAAGAAACAGTTTTACAGTTTAGATTTATAAATTCTGACGGAATTAACTGTGAAATATTTATGACATATTATATGGTAACAGTGAAATATTTTTAATCAAAATTGAGTTATTACTACAGTTAAATGAAAAGTAAATCTAAAGTTTAGTGTTTTGAAAGGTAAAATGTTGAAGTNAATTAACTGCTTTTTTTCACCATTAAATAAAATTTGCATTTCAAATCATAATCGCAAATGTCATTTACACACTTAAATACAAAATTCAAATTCAAATTGAAAGCGTTGCAACGCACGCAGGGTACAGCTAGTTATATAGTAACAGTGAAATATTTTTGATCAAAATTAAGTTATTACTACAATTAAATGAAAAGTAAATCTAAAGTTTAGTGTTTTAAAAGGTAAAATGTTGATGTTTAGAGAATAACCTGTATTGGGTTTAAATAATCACATCTTTGCAGTTGCTTAATTAGTTCAAGAGCCTTATTTCCAAGCATGGTGGTAAATTTTATTTGTTACCAAAAAACTTCTTAAGTTTAAGGCATAAATTAAAGTTTAACATATGTTTAAAAAAAAGTTAAAAGGCAAACAAATCTTGTAAACGAACACTTTTAGCTGCAGACGAATTATTTTTACCGCGTTATTTTTTTTAATTCGATTACAATTAAAAAATGAAAAATAATAAAATTTAAATTTCTGAGAAATTATGCTCATAACAGTTAGAAAATAGTAAAAAATAAATCATATTTTTGTTCTGAAAATTAGGATAAATTGAAGAACTAATAAGAATTAAAATATTTAAGAGCTAAATAAACTGAAATGAAGATATAAAAGTCATGTGATGTAAATAAACAATGCAATGCCGTGATACCCTAATACTGATCAAAATCAAAGTAAATTGTGTTTTGACTAAATTTCGTTATCTTAAATTAGAAATAGGACACATGAAATGTAAATAGTTCGAAAAGTGAAGGATACAAATAAATTTCAATGTTAGCATGGATTATATAGCCGTCACGAAAAATAAAATTGACATTAATGAAGTTTTTAAAACACTATCTCATCCATCCTGCGGTGGAACTGCTTGCTTTATTGGGACAACTAGAGATGATTTTAATGGTAAAAAAGTAATTGAACTGCAATATGAAGCATACGAGTCAATGGCTGTTAAGGAATTAGAAAAAATTAGTAGATCTATGAAGCAAAAATGGCCTATTTTTAACGTTGTTCTTATTCATCGTATAGGATGTGTGCCTATTTGTGAAACAAGTGTGGTTGTTGCTGCTAGTGCTGTTCATCGAAAGGAAGCCTTAGATGCAGTCTCTTATGGTATTGATACAATAAAGTCTGAGGTTCCCATCTGGAAAAAGGAAAAATACTGTGATGGGACATCTGATTGGAAAGTAAACTGTGAATGTAAATCTGTGACTAATTAATCTGAATATATCCTTAACAACTTCTTTTCCTGTTAAATAGCATCATTATATATCTCAGAGAAATTATATATTTTTTTTTATCAGGATCGAGGCAAAATACTCTGATTAAAAGAAAAAAATTGACTGCAAAACAGTGACTGACACCTATTCAGTGTCTTTTCTTATTTTGTAACATAATGAAATATTTTGCTGAGAATTATATATTTTCTCTCAGGTAAGAAGAAAAATATTCTGATGGAACAACTGAGTATAAATTAAATTGTGAATCTACGGATAAATAATTTGAAAATATTTTTGACAACAGCATTTTTTCTTGTTATCTAAAATAGATATATATATATTCAAGCTTAGTAAAGAGTTCCTAAAATGACTTGTCTTCTTCAAAACTGTATTGCAATATTTATAGTGGTAAATTGAATAATATATTTGTCTGAATATATTTAATTGTATTGTTGATGAATCTGTTTTGTAATTGATGGAACAAATAAATAAAAAAAATTTGTAGTTATCACATATTCTTTTAAACATAAACTGTTTTGACTTAGTTTAGTTCAAAACGAACATAAAGATTTTCATTTAAATGGCACAAAGTAAAAGGTAACTGATAAAATTTTTTTGTGTATTTCTTATTCTAGTCATTACAAATTAGAAAATTTGTAAACTTTATTGTTTATTTTACTATAATTTTTGAAGTAATCAAACATTTATCTTGTAAAATAGTGACAGATATAATTTATTACAGGCTAATCAATAGTATTTCAAAATAAAATTTATGTGTATACTATGCAGTACTAATTAGCAAAATTCCTTTTACAGAAAGTGATTTTATAATCAAAAACAGTCATTCATTGTTAAAAGCTAGTCTGTTTAAAGTTTAATATTAAAGTATCTTCGTATTAACTTAACCTTCTGATGGTCTCACATAGAAAAAACAACACTTTGATTTGTATTTTTTTGCTTAGAAAAAAACAGTTTTTTCATGATATTAAAGAGATTAATGGTGTCTATCAGAGAGAAATTCTTCTGGATTTGCTGACTTTCGAAATTGTCAGAGGTTAATATGCTATGTAATTTTTACTCATATATTTTTTAAATAAAATTTCATTAGAGCAGCTTAATAAACTGAAAAGACTTAAACTCCATGACCACTAAAAGAGAAATTTGACCAATGACATTTTTATGTAGACATTACTTTTCATTTGAATAGATTGTTTAATTTTTAACCGACAATTTATTTCAGATTTTGTTGCATACTAGAGGATTATAAATAATTTTGATAGAATGTTTCACCAACATCTGTCACTGAGGATTGTTGTTGCCTAAGCCTTGTTTTATTTAGTCTGGGATTATTGGATCACACATAAATTTAGATACTGTATGTAGTGTTAGTTATAGTACTTTTCAAAACTAGTGTAGGGTAACTCAACATAAGTTGACTAACACAGATTTAATTTGCTGTTTTATCTATACACATGAATTCAGAAAATCAGTGGCTCTCAAAGCAACATTGAAAAAGAAAAAAAAAAGTTTTGAATAATTATTATTCTAATTATTATTTTTTTTTTGCATGACATGATGAAAATACCTTCACTTACTCCTGATTGTAGTACAATATATCTTGTTCTGTTAGTTAATTATAATTATTTTAAAAGAAATGTATTGCAATAATGGTACAACTTTCTTTCCTCAAAACATCACTGTTTTATAAGAAAAAAATCAAAAATAAATTGAGTTTTTATCAATTAAAAGGTTTATACTTAAAAAAAGACTGTTTCTGATCATTTGAATGATTAATAATTATTTGCCTTTTTGAAAGTAGTCTATTTTTTAAGGTTATATATATTGAGATAAAATTATTATTTTAAATTATAGGATACAAATTATTATTATAATTGATGAGATAAAATTATTATAAATTATATTTATAATTATAGTTCAATGTTCATTGAACTAAATTACTATTAAGCACACATATATACAAATTATTTTTGTTTAATATCACTGAGTTTATAATAAAGTTTTGTAAATAAATTAATGTTATGTAATTAACATACACCTATTATTTATCATTATCGAAATGTTAAAGATGCATATACTAATAATTATAATAGTATTTATAAGATAAATTAGTATGATTAGATTATTACTATATAAATTCTTTTATAATTGCAGGAAGGAACTAATGAAATTGTTTTGCACACTCCAAATATATATTTATGACTTTCTTAAAAAAAAACATGAAAAAAACTATTTATTTATTATATTTGTCAAAAAATTTTTTTTAATTTTTGATTGAATATATGATTACCCTTTCAATTAACAAGTAGTATCTGCACATTTTGATAAAAAAACCGTATGAAAAAGGTTAATATCTGGTAACGTATTTTTAAAAATAACTTTTGACTGCTCTACCACAAATTGTACGTTTTTAACCATAAGCTTTCTTATCTATTTATAAAGGGATTCACCTGTTCAATGATTAGATATTTTTCTTCCTTTTTATATCCTCACTTACCCATTCTTCTTTCATTTGCTGTAACAAATATCGTACAACATCACTTGAAAAAAATTAGCATTACGAATCACTTCATTTGGAGCAAAACTGAATAAAAAATGAATAATCCTCACAGTAGCGAAAAATATTAAATTGTGGTCATTTTTAATAATAACCGATGTTCTCTAAAGTCTACATTACAGATTTATAATTCTAAACTGATGTAAGGTTATAAACCAAATAAAAAACGCATCAAAGTTATGACTTTTGAACCTACAATCTCTGAAATTTGTTTCACAATTTTCATATTATTCTATTGTAATTTTCATAATATATTTAACTGGAATTAATGCTTATTTTTTATTGGTTATTATGAAAACACATAAATATAAAAAACTTAACTCTAATTTCAAATATTTCTAAAATTTTAATTTTTGTTACATATCTTAACCTTTGAATTTTATTTAGAGATTATTTCTCTATTTTTATAAAATCTATCTATGCATATAATATTAATAATAATAAATAAGTTAGTGTTTTTGTCTGTCTGTGGGACACTGAGACCTGTGAGGAAACACTTTAGAGAAATAGAATTAAACGTGAAGATCGATATTGACTTTCCATGTAACAGTTCGTTGGAAAGCAACATGGAAGACTGATTTTCAAAGTTTTGATTTTTCAAAAGCGAATTTCGATTTTACGTGAAAAGCAAATTTCGTCCCACTGTGCGATATCAGAATAAAATGTGACATTTGGTAACTTTTTAATTATTTTTGAAACGTAATGCTTAGTTAACTTAGACGTTTTTTTCTTTTATTATGTATCCTATAAGAATAATGAGTCATATTTTGCCTTATTTATAACTGGACACAAGTTTTGTGGCCCCTTTCTCTAAATACAAGAAGTTTTATTTTTATCTTTCGTAATATTTTTAAAAACCGTTTATTCAAGTTGTTTTTATAGATACAAAACGGAATTTTGAGGAGTTTCCTAATAAAAAATTATTTGAATATATAATTTTTTTTTTCGTACGAAAGTTTGACCGGGCTATCAACATTTCCAGGCCCATGAAAAATAATTCCTGACCTCTTTCCTTGAAATATGGCCTTAAATTGTAATTTTTTGTTTGTTTTTTGAATAAAAAATAAATAAAACAAAACAAAATGTTTTTTATAACAAGAAAAAGTTGAATGTCTTGTGCAAGGCATTGCTTTAACTTTTGAAACTCAGATAGATAGATTCTAAAAGATAACTCAGTTATTTTTATTTCATTTTTTTTTCTTAAAAATTTATCTAAGGAAAGAAAACAATTGGTTTTTGGCTGAACGCAATCCCCTGTTTGTTTTACATACGTTTATTTATGCCCTCTAATAAATCGCAAAGATCTCATTTTTGAAAGGTAAGCTCATGTGAGCTGTCCTTAAATTTCAATGTCATACCTTGATGTAGTTATGAAGAATGCCTTGTTTCGTATGTTGAGAAAAAGAGGGAGAATATTTATTGTGAGAAATATTAATTTCTCATTAATTCAATAAAAATAATTAACTACTGGAAACGTGTTATTCAAAGGAATTTTGAGCAAGATTTGGAAAAAGAAACTAATTTGAATTGTTTGAATTACACTTAATCAACATGGGCGCAGATTTTAAATTGGAAGAAGTAAATACGATAAAAAGTAAGTTTAAAACTGTTAAATATTTTTTTGGGGTTTCAGTTTTGTTCACATTTCTTATTTGATGCGCTATTTGTTTAATTTATTGTTTTTATTTTTTAAGAACTATCTTAATCATGTTTTAGAAATCTGAGTGGAGAGACAAAATATCTAGGTTTTCGAATTTGGTAGGTAATTATGGTGCTTTTCTTTTCATTACGTAAATACGGAAAGTATTTTACTGTTTTATACACATTTCTGATTTCATACTTGAAATGTCTTATTCTTTATTTTTTTTAAGGACCGTCTCAATCCTTTATTTGAAATTTGACAGGAGAGATAAACTGATATCTAAGTATTAAAGTTTTATAAGCAATTATGGTGACTTTATAAATGAATAAAGTATTTCATAGCTTAGTTCACATTCCTGATTTCTCATTTGAACTGTTGTTCTTTTTATTTTTTAAAACCGTCTCAATCCTCTTTCTGAAATTCGATGAGAGAGACAAAATGATATTCAGGCATTTGAACTTTTTAAGCAATTCTTGTGCCTTTTTTAATGATATAAATGAAAAAAGTATTTCATAGCTTTGTTCACATTACTGATTTCTCATTTGAACTGTTGTTCTTTTTATTTTTTAAACCCGTCTCAATCCTCTTTCTGAAATTTGATGAGAGAGACAAAATGATATTTAGGCATTTGAACTTTTTAAGCAATTCTTGTGCCTTTTTTAATGATATAAATGAAAAAAGTATTTCATAGCTTTGTTCACATTCCTGATTTCTCATTTGAAGTGTTTTTTTTTAAAAACCCGTCTCAGTCCACTTTCTGAAATTTGACAAGAGAGACAAAATGATATCTAGGCATTTAAATTTTTTAAGCAATTATGGTGCCATTTTTAATTATATGAAGGAAGAAAGTATTTCATAGCTTTGTTCACATTCCTGATTTCTTATTTGAAGTGTTGTTTTTTTATTTTTTAAACCCGTCTTAATCCGCTTTCTGAAATTTGATAAGAGAAACAAAATGATATCTAAGCATTTAAATTTTTTAAGCAGTTATGGTGCCTTTTTTTAATTATATAAATTAAGAAAGTATTTCATAGCTTTGTTCACATTCCTGATTTCTCATTTTAAGAGTTGTTTTTTATACTTTTTAAACCCGTCTCAATCCACTTTCTGACATTTGACACGAAAGACAAAATGATGCCTAGGCATTTGAACTTTTTAAGCAATTATGGTGCCTTTTTTTAGTTGCATAAATGAAGGAAGTATTTTGTATTGAGATGGTTTTGACGATAACCTATTTATATTGATTAGTTGATATTGAAATGTTGAAATCAAAATCCTTTACCGTAATTGTGATGGTTCAAAAAATAATTTTATTTAGTTCGAAGTTTTGCAACTTCACTTATTCATCATGGATATAGATGGGTCGTTCGGAAGAAGTAAATGCTATAAAAACAAGTATTATACTTATATATATATATATATATATATAGAATATTTGTTCCGATCACGATTTTGAAAGCACATTTCATTTCAGAAGGAAGTATTTTTGATTAAACAGATTTTGATATTGATTGGTTCTTACAAAATAGTAGAAAAAATGGCGCTTGTAGGAAAAAGGGCGCTACCTGGAGGGAAAAAAATAAAGACAGAGTTAACAGATGGCAATTTAATATAATTAAAAATTAATTAGTTTCATCGCTAAGCAATAATTGTATAATATTTTAGCATTTCCTGGTCGAGTAATTTCTTGTTTTAGTGATGAAAATTGTCTGCCCAGACCATGTTATTTCGAGTCACTTTATTACTTTCTTCCATTTACTTTTTCAAGTCTTAGGTTAATGTCAACGAGCCCACGCTTTGATTTAGAATTTGATTAGCGCTGCAATGACAAATTTCAGCCACATTTATGCTAATCGATACTTGGAAATTTCTACAAAATCGCGCGTATTTGCCCTCAAAGCCATGGTGGCCATTTGCCCGTTTTGCTATGCCATACCTGGCCCTATACTGTATACTTCATGAATAAATAAGAAATTCACTTTGTTTGATTTAAAAACTATGTTTTTGATCGAAGTTTGCCCGAATTTCGGGTACCCTGTATTTATATACATATATATATTTTACTTATTTTCATCAATCAATATTATGTTTAACTGAAATTGTTACATTTTAGAAGCATCAAAAAGCAGAGGACTACCGAAGCGGTTCATAGTTACTATTTTAGCTTTTTTTGGTTTATTTAATGCTGCCTGCATGAAGGTGTGTGTTAGCGTAGCTATAGTTGCTATGGTGGATCACACTGAAGTTCAATTTTCCAATGGGACCAATAGTACAGCCGAATGTCCTGTTTTAGTTGACCAGGTGAAAACTGAGCAAAAAGCATATGAGGTAAACTATACCATTAAGTTCGGTCTGTCTGTCTTAACTATAATAAAGAATTGATTTATGTGAGCTTTATTAAAAAATATGTGATTTCATGTAAAAAAAGATGAAGTTAAAAAAATACGATGGACAAACTAAATCTTATTGAAACATATATACATTAAAACCATATTAGATGTACATTAAAATCATATTAGATGTAACAATAATACATATTAGTTTTGAGAAAAACTTTTTCCTAGTTGGAAGTTTGTAAAAACAAATGCATCAGAATAAGTGATTTAAGAAAAAAGAATTAGTGTTTAAAACATTTAGTAAATAAATTAATAAAGTCTTTGGTTTACTCAGCAGAATGTTAATTTTGTCCTTCTTCAGTTTTTTATTTATCATTATTATTATGAAGCAAAATTGTTCATCGAGTAAAATTTCAGCCATTGCTACTTTAAAACATTTTTTTTCAATTATTATTTTTAGGGCAAACGCTATGATTGGGATTCCATACAGCAAGGATTTATTCTAAGTGCATTTTTCTATGGCTACTTCTGTGCTATGTTACCTGGGGGTTATATGGCAGATAGATTAGGTCCAGTGAAAGTTTTTGGTTGCTGCATTTTTTCCACATCTCTCTTCACTTTACTGAGTCCATTCGTAGTTCAATGGGGATCGGTGCCATTTATTCTTCTTCGATTCTTAGCAGGATTTGGCGAGGTGACATATTTAAAATTTTATTGCAATATTAGTTTCTGATTTAACTTGCAAAATATTGTTATTAAATATTCTTTTAAGAAATTGATGCTTGTAATCATGAAATAGCTTATTTAAGAAAACTATTCAGTATGATGCAATCGATGATATGAGGAGTTCTAATTCATTTTGTCTTTAGGTGTTTTTTTTTGTTCTTGCTGGTGTTAATTTGTTTTCTTTACATGTCTTTCTGACGACTTATACATGTTTAAGCGAATTGAAAATTTGTTGCATACAATTATAAAAATCGTTTGTTCAAAGATTCCCTGCAAAAAATAATCTTTATTTAAAATTTATTATTTTTGTTTTTTTATTTAATAATAATCGAAAAAATTGAATTGTCAGGTATACAATTTTTTTGCTTTATTTTGAAGAATATTATTTTACGTAGCAAAATTGGTCGAACAGTTCCGGAGAAATCGAATTTTAAATGTTCGACTTTTTTGATCAGATAACAAACAAAGCAATTTTTTTTCTTTAAAAAAGTTTTACTTTGTCTTAACAGAGTTTGGTTCTTGTCTACATTAATTATTTTTTCAAATGCAAGTTTTTCTGAGTTCAAAAATTGCTTTCTGGCACATGCCTGAATAAACTTGAAATGGTCTCAAACAAAGAAAATAGTACTCGTTGTTACAAGTATAAATTGCGCATACTAATTGCAGAAATTAAGGAGTTGCAAATATTTACCACACTCCAAAGTATATCTTCGCTTATAGATGAAATATAAATTACAATTCTAGGAGTTTAAGTTTATAAATGAGGCTGTATAATAATAGCAAATTAAGATCATTTATTTTAATTGTACTGTATCATCTAGGACACTTGATTTTTCGATTGAATCTTCTTATGGAAGATTTTTTTCTATTTTAGAACAATGAAATAATATATATTTTTTGCTTGTTTCTGTATAATTTTATCGATAAAAAATTAGAAGTACCAAGGAATATAATTTTATTTAGTACAAGAAAATTTAAAAGTGTTTCTTATTGTTTAAGTCGACGCAATTTAATACTAATGGACAAAATTGTGCACAAAAGCAATTGTATTCAGTACAAAAAATTTAGGAATATTTTTTTTTACCATTTCACAAAGGAAAAAAAAATCATATTAAAATATTAATATTTGTATTAATAATTGTCAAATTAAATAACTTTATTTTAAAACATGATTACGTTATTTCAACTTTATTTAAATAAATGTGTACACTTCCAAATAAATAATTAATCTTGATAACTCTAAACTATATTTTATTAAAAAAAGTACTATGTTAGTTAATACACATAAATTGATTAATTTAGTGTCTACGCTTTAACTCTACTAACAGTATTAATTGCAAGATTAAATTAATGGTAATAATTTTGTTTATTAAATTATATCATGAATAATATTAGTTTTTATTCACTTTCGTTACTAAATTTGTAGAAAGTCCTTTAATTAAATTTCCTATCTTTTATTTTAAAAAAAATAATAGAAAAATTTATTGGGCTTGGTAAGCAGGGCTTTTTTTTTTCTTCCTATCACTTCAAACAGTGGATCTAACCTTTACAAGGCGATGATCATTTCGGCGGCTCACAAAAGCAAGCAAGCGAGCCAGAAAAAAAAGAGTCTTTAAGAAAGAATGCTATAAAAATAATTAGTAATAGATAGAGGTAATATCGTAAATAGAGTTCTATCGATATCAATATGCCCTGATCTATAAAAATCAAGTGCGCCTAACTTTTTCAAGAACGGGGAAGAGTTTTCCCTGCATGCAATGTATAATGGTCGAGAAACATATTTACAGGGAAGTAAAACAGGTTAATTGATTTGTTTGAATTTCTAAATCGAATAATATTATGTGTCGTATATTAGATTTTATTAAAAAAAATGTACTTATTTATGAGTTGTAGTTTTTTGTTATTAGTTTTCTTTATTTTGTTCGCTAGACGTTTTAATGCATATTTAATTCACATAAAAAAATAACGTATGTGAAATAACTAGGAAAAAAACGCAGAAACGGGTCGGTGTAAGCTGAAATAAGAATTGAAATAAAAAAGAAACACATCAACTTTTATGATTTTTAGGGGGCCACTTATCCATCTGTTCTTGCAATTATAAGTCGATGGTCACCAAAACTTGAGCGCAGCCGGATAACATCCATAATTTTGACTGGTGGATCTATTGGAATGGTGTTTTCGTTCTCGGTAGCTGGACTACTAAGTGCATCGAACTTTTTAGGCGGATGGCCATCTGTTTTCTATGTTTTCGGTAGGTTTCACTTTGATTTTACTACATGTGGACATAGTTTGCGTTTGTCATCATCACAATATAAAATTTTAAAACCATAAAATGAGCATAACATTGCCGTTTTTTCACAATTCTACGTACCTTATTATAATACACACATCCATGTTTTTTTTTTTAAATATTAATTTTGATAACTATATTCAAAGGAAAAAGACATAAATTTTGTGATGATTAAAATGTAAATATTGCATCAACTTTTATTAGAGGTCCTAAAAATGACCGACGTGATGAAAAAATAATCCGAAAAAAGAGTAACAATGTACGGTTTACAGTGTTTTATTTTGGAAACCAGCTAATTTATTGATAACAAATTTAAAAGTTAGTAATGAAGTTTATCAAAAGATGGCGCTGCTGAATATCTGAAACTTTTTCTGCAAGCGACTCCTACTAAAACTTTTCTATAGGCGTGGGTTAATTTTGTTTTAAGACTGCGTTTCGTTGCTACAGCAAATTGTGGTTATTTTGAAGTCATCGTTTTATAGTTGTTTTCTGTAAGCGCCATCTCCTAACAAAATTTTTAGTTAGAGGATAAATACATGTTTTCTTAACCAGAACGCGGTAAATCGTATACTTCTATCGCATTTTCTTTTTTCTTTAATTGATTTTTTAATTTATAATTCATTTTTGGGACCTTAAGAGCATGTTAATTGAAAAACGAAAAGAATTACCTGCTACAAGTGCGGTTTTGTGTAAAAAACTCATTAGATATTTGGTATTTTCTACAGAAATATTTTTTAATACCAATAGAAAAACTTGTAGTAGCTAATTATATATATTATAATTATAGATAGAAATCCCAAACATTTCTTTTGGTAAATTTTTTTAAGAAACTATTTTTTTAATTGAGTGTGAGAATATTTTTTTATAGTAAATTACATAAAAATAGTTAACATTAAGGACATATAACTTATATGACCGGATTTCTGACTAAACTAATCTGACCATACTTTTATACATTTATGAACTTATTAAACTAACTTTGAAAATTCGATGCAAAAAACTGGTTTCCTAAGCAATAGTTAGTCAATCATACATCATTTGATATTTATTAAACAGTCGATTATTTTACGTCGGTTGTTGGACATCTATATACACAGTGATGACAACTTACTCCGGACAGCGGTGTTGTTCTTCTTCATTTACGTCGCACTAGAGCTGCACAATGGGCTATTGGCGACGGTCTGGGAAACATCCCTGAGGATGATCCGAAGACATGCCATCACAATTTTGATCCTCTGCGGAGGGGGTGGCACCCCCGCTTCGGTAGCCCGACGACCTGCACGCGAAGTCGAGCACTTTACGGTAGAACAGTTTAACGAGGACCAATACCGCACACCCTCGGTCCCTACGCAGGCTGATCCAAGTGGTCACCCACCCGCACACTGACCGCAGCCAGTGATGCTTGACTTCGGTAATCTGCTGGGAACCGTGTCTTAACGATCAGTCCACTGCTGGACACTCCGGACAGCGAATACATATTTTCAAGTGGTAGTTTATTAATTGGGATTCTCGGTTTAGTAAATTCAATTTAGTAGATTTTTATCCACAACTATTTCTAAACAATTCGTTAGCTTATATAATTCACCACTTTTTTCAGATGTGTCATGCTATACCTTTTCGTCATGCTATATCTACCATGCTATACCTAGCAAAATCTGTCTAATATTTACAAATTTAGTTTGTAGTTATTTACCATTTGTCCAGACGGGCAAGCCATGTAAAATTAGCGTGGCATTCAACGTGTTAACGTATCTCATTTATCAAATGATAAGATTAGATGTACCATTTTTGTTCTAGGTACCATCGGCTGTGCGTGGTACTTTTTGTGGGTTATTTTCATCTATGAATCTCCAAACGTTCACCCAACCATAACTGAAGAAGAGATTGAGAAATTCAAAGACGTATCTTCCGCTAAAGACAAAGGAGTATTAAGTTACTTTCAATTTTAATAATTTGTTTTTGTTGCTAGAAGCTTAAAATACAACGGTGCTCAACTGTTTCAGATTAACTGCCTTTAAAAAATAAACTTTAAAATATATAATTATTTCTTTCCCCTTTCTTAATTTCGAATTTGGATTTCTGCAAAATCATTTATTCTTTGAATAAACGGCTGTCATATTTGTGTATACGTAAAAGGATTTTATTTCTTTTATAACCAGCATTGAACAGATCACCCAATTCTGAGTTTAAAATTATTAATGTTCAACTCCATAGTCTTGTAATTTCAAACGCAATTGAGAAGATAAGGGAACTTCTAGATCAAGCATTGAGAAAAATTAGTCTACATGAAGGGATTTTCAATGGAACTAACCCGCATTTGCGTTACATTGATAAAAAAAAATCCCCCATAAAACCATCCTCGCTTAGCTCGACAGCAAGGGGTCTCCAACACATAACCCGTTAATCACAATGGATATCTTATGTCGGCACTGTGGTCTATGCGAACCGGGTGCAGAATTCATTTCAACCAGCCATCTGTGAGATTCGAACCTGGGTCACATCATTGGGAGGCGAGTGCTCTATCCCCTGAGCCTCTTTGTAAGAGGATTGATACAGTTAAATCAACTTTAAGAGAAAAAATAATAAGTGATAAATGGGAAATCAACATTAATCCTCTCTTGCTAAAGGTTTTTCGTTTACTCGAATGGAGTCTATTGTGGAGTTTTATATAAACTGTTCCATATAGTACCACACTGCTTTTTATAAAAATAATTTGCAGGCTCTAATATTTTTCTATTTAATGACGATAAATATTTTCTGGTGAATCAATACTTGATCCATAATTTTGTTTAAAGCATATATTAATTTACAATAACCATATGAAGTAAACAAGAACTAGACTTCGCTCAGTAAAGTGAATTTCATCGAACCCTACTTTTATTTTCTATCCATATTTCTTCAAAATATTTTTTATGATAGTTGACATTCTTAATGTATGTTAATCATCGTATTTTTTATTATTTATTTAGAGAAAAATCATTAAGCATAGCAGGGAAAAAATGGCAAAGTAAAATAGACAGAAAATAAAAAAAAATTAAAAACACCTTAAGAAGTGGGGTCTATTATGAACCCCGAGTAGTAAGCAATAATACTCGTTGGGAAAGAGTTACTTGTGATTAATTCAATTTTTTCTCAAACCAATTGCTAAATGAATTTGTCGACTAATTTATTTCATTCACTTGTTACACTTTGGTACAAAAAGAAACACAACACATACATTTTTATTATTATTATTTTTAGAATGAAATAGTGTCCTTTAATTTTTTATTGTAAAATATCATCGCAACGTCATAAGGGATGATTGCAAAAAAGTGAGCTCCCAGAATAACTTTTGATCTAATGATCGGATTTTTACGTACTCCTAATGGTTTGAAGGTTTAGCCTTAAATAAGCTAGTTAAATAATGCAGACGATATTTTAAAATACAGAATAAGACACAAAAATGCATTTCCTCTGTTTAAACCTTTTTTTTCCGGATTCTTGGCCCTTAAAATACAGGGGTTAACCACAGCCCAGAAAATATAGCCCCAATAGTTTAGGTACCAGAGAAGAAATTTTCTTTTTATTAGAAGAAATTAATTTTCGATTGTTAATTTCTTTATTTGCGTATTTATTCATTTAAAAGAAGTCGTATTTGTAAAATTTTATTTCTCCCGAACAAACCAACTGATTAATTTGAAATTTTGGATTTCAAATGTTGATTAAAATGAAAGAATTTTAATACCTTAAAATTTAAAAAAAAAGTAGCTTATAATTTAAACTGTTTTGGTTTAAAAACTTTATCACCTGTATTGGAATAAATAATAAAAAACATTTAATAATTTTAAATAATTATTTTTGACATGAAATTATCTTTGAAAAAGCACGTTTTATAATTAAGCAAAAGTGTTTTTTCATTTGCCTTATTAGTTTTGAAGGTATAGGGGAAGTTAACATTAGGGGACCGAAAGTTTCGATTGCTCACCTGCCTGAACTATAAAAACCCTAATTTTCCAGACTGTGGCTACCCCTCTATTATAATGATCAAGAATACGAATCCATCGAAAAGAAATTATGCTTATTCAGAGAAAGTAAGTTTTTGTGTCGGATTTCCTAACTCAAAATATCTTCTATGTTAATTAATCAGCACATTTATGGTTAGACCTGAGGTTTTAGTTTAGGCTCTCGACTCATTGAGCTGTATTACGTGAAAAACCGATCACCTGATTATTATATCGAAAATTATACAGGTTTTCACCTAGCACTTTATTGCTCGTCGTATATTTGACAGAAATTTTGATACTGCTATACGTAATAAAATAAACTCAAATGTGAACTATATTATTGATGGAATTATTCAGACAGTGAAAAATATGATGAATATTGAAATTTAAAAACAGTGAAAAGAGAAGACATTGTATGAAATGGAAACATGTTAAATACACGCAATTTTTTAGACATTCCAAATAAAATTTCTCATTTTGCTGTTGAATTTTATTACATTAGTTGTTTGTCACTTTTTCAGAAACAGAATGTACCATGGAAAAGTATTTTAACTTCATTACCTGTTTGGGCATTGATGTTCGCCTGCATTGGAAATAATTTTGGATATATTATGCTGATGACTCAAATTCCAACATACCTCAATTCAATTCTTCATTTCAATATTAAAGCGGTGATTTAATCTTGGTTATTTTTATTTATTTATTATTATTTGGTGATTTATTTTTAAAAGAATTAATTATTTAGTAGTCATCGACTGAATATTTTTTTAAAAAAATCTTTTACTTCCAATAATAAAAAATTACTCATATGATTTATAAAAAAATATGTTGATATCAGCTCTTAAATTTTGCTCAACCTACCAAGCATTTTCGAAGAAAAACATTTTCTTTTTTTGCAAATTATACAGTATGCATAATTATATAGTAATTTGTTTTACAAATGTAATAATTTGTGGACAATCTATAAAAATATCTATGAAATGCGTGAAATTTGTGAAATAATCTCGTCTCTTATTATTAAAAAAACAATTAAAAGTGAGAAAAAATCACCAGAGTTTTTAAAGCAAACGATTCGATAAATGAAATCGTTTTTTAATAAATAATCTTTTAAAAACTTTTTTAAGCAGAATAAGGTATACTAATATGAGGCAACAATTATTTTACAGAAACTGTTTGTTTTCCAAAATTAGAAATTTAATTTTAAAATATTTGTTATTATATCTTACAGACATTGCCTTAGTGTTTTTTCCGGCACATTTTTTTCCGAAATAAATAAATTTTTGAGCAAACTATTCGATAAATAATGTCATTTTCTAATTATTGCCTTTTCAAATTTGGCTTTTCGAAGAAAACGGAAATCGCTTGAAAGTTGTGTAAAATTAGAAATTTAATTTTAATATATTTGTTATTACTTGACATGCTTTCTCTGAAATTTTTTTCATTCTAAGTAAAAAAACTTTTGAGAGTAATTGCGATTGTAGAGTAAATTAACAACTATTCTACAGAAATTCTCTGTATTCGCGATCGCAACGCTCGAGTACGCCNAATAAGGTATACTAATATGATGCAACAATTATTTTACAGAAACTGTTTGTTTTCCAAAATTAGAAATTTAATTTTAAAATATTTGTTATTATCTTACAGACATTACCTGAGTGTTCTCTCAGGCACATTTTCTTCCGAAATAAATAAATTTTTGAGCGAACTATTCGATAAAAAATGACATTTTCTAATTATTGTCATTTTCAAATTTGGCTTTCTGGAGTATGGAAATTGCTTGAAAGTTGTGCAAAATTAGAAATTTAATTTTAATATATTTGTTATTACTTGACATGTTTTCTCTGAAACCTTTTTCAAACTTTTTTCATTCTAAGTAAATAAACTTTTGAGCAAGCTATTCGATAAATGAAAATCGTTTTTTAATCATTATCATTTTGAAACTTTTTTTTCAGAATAAAATAAGACAGACATTTTAGAATAAGTTAACAATTATTCTACAGAAATTCTTTGTAGGGCAGAGTCGGGTAGCCCCGCCCAGAGGGTACTCACGCCCACAGTGAATTTTACATGTATAGAATATTTTTTCAAGTCCATTATGGGCCATCGGACATTAATTGTTGTATTAAAAAAAGATTATTTTCAAAGTTTCAAGTATTTATGCAGCTGTTAACATGGCAAACAATAGTTTTGAAAATATGTTGAATACAGTAGTTATGAAATTAAGAAAAATTGGTTGAATGTTTCGATTAAACTTCATTTTAATATCAAAAAAATAATTTTTTCTATACGCACAGCATTAAAGTATGTAGTCTTAAGTTAAATTTGCACGAAGAAAGAAGTTTATATGTGAAAAATTGTTCGAGTAATTACAAATTTACAAAAAAATTGGATTTTGGGTAGCCTCGCTCACATGAATGTCGGGTACCACCACCCAATTTTATTTCGCGGATAAATGTACGGTTTCAAAGATTATTATTTTATTGCTTCAAATTTGAATGTTACATGCATTTTTAACAACAAATATTGTTGTTATTAAATGATTGTTATTAAATGATAGAATTCACTAAAAGTATATAAATATGTAATAAATAAAATAATTTTGTGATAAAAATGATAAATGAGGTTTATCTATTGTCAATACATTGGTCACTTTCATTTACACCTGAAAAAACAGTCAAAAAACATAATTTTTGTAACTGGGCGGGGCTACCCGACACATTTTAAAAAGAGCTGAAAAACATGTTTTCTTAAATTTCTATTTTTTTAAGTTAAACTATTCTCTTTTTTGTTTATTCTTTTTGTATTATTTAATTAAATGGTAAAGCAATAGAAACATACAAAAATATTGATTATTACTCAATATTATACAGAAATATAAGCAATACTCCTTAAGTGGGCAGGGCTACCCGACTCTCCCCTATATTGTTTAAAATTTAGAATCTAATTTTAGCCAATTCTTTATGGAAAATTTTCATGCATAGCTTTTCTATTATAATTCCACTTTATCAATTAGAATACAGCATTCATAAGATCAAAATTTCTCAACTAAAGTTTTATTGAAAACTTTAAATAAGAATTAATATTTTGACTAGATAAATAAGTTTGGATGCTTTAATTAGAGGAATCTTTTATTTCAGAGTGGTGCATTGTCTGCTTTACCTTATGTATCACAGACTGTGGGGGCATGGATAGCCTCTTTTGTTGCTGATAAACTTCGTTCAACGGGAAAACTAAGGATAACTTTAATTCGAAAAGTTTTTAGCTCAATAGGTAAGAGAATCCCTTTTCCCATTTCGATCAATGCCTTGCTTTTCATTTACGTTGCCAAAATAACATAAATAAATTAAAAAGGTAGGAAACAACGTATAAAGCATAAATAATAAAATCATCAGTTACGATATATAACCGTTTTGACGCAACACTTGAGTGGTTACTTTATTATGATCCCATGAGACAAAAGAGAAGATACTAAATTCATTGCTTCAATGCAAGCTAGTGGCGGTGATACAAAGGTTTGATGAATGTTTTTTTTTTTGACATGCTTTGGGAACTTCTTCGTTTTTTTATGATATTTTAATTCAGATATTATGCTTAACTATCATTGGTGCATTCTGTACTACGGAACATTTTGTAATCCAAGTACATTTTCTTATGCGGAACATTCTGTAATGCAAGTACATTCAGTACTGCAAAAGATTTTTTCCAATTATTTTTAGCGTTTGTTATTTAACAGGATGGCAATGCGTTATGTAATACTATTGGCAATGTAAAGGAACATGATGGAGATTTCAATGTGTTGTGTTGGGCCACACAATTCTCACATATCGTTACTATTGAGCATGTGTGGGAAGAACTTGAATGAGTTACGTTACAAATGTAATCTGTGTATGGAAAGAACTCTCCTCGCCATTCGTCTGGAGCAGTGGCGGTGACTATGGTTTCAATGTTTCAAGTAGGGGTGTTAGGTCAAACAAGTTTTGACTTGGGTTGGCGAAGAAATGGGAATCAGGGAAGAGAGAAGCTCTCCTCTTTGAATTGCGCTATTTCCTTGTTTCCATAGCAGCAGACGGCCTTAGACTTTGAGCCGAGGGCAGTTCCTGTGATGTTGTGGCTTACCCTCCAATGCCTGACGAAGTCAGAAAAAGTCCATCGGACCATTGACCCTAAGAAAATCGAGGACCAGAAGGGGGGATAAGTATATGCCCTCTCTGGAAAGTCTCAAACAGTCCAGGAGTTCATCTTAGAGAGACTATGGAACCTCAAGGATTCACCAGTTGCACTGTATTGGAAAATATTATTTTATCAAACATAGTTCCTGCCTCTAGTTGCCTATCAAGATCTAGTAGAGTACAGGCCAACGAGAATCAAGACGGTATTAAAGAAATTGATCGGACGGGATATTCATAGTGCCAAATTGTTGTTCAACTACCATTTTATTTGTGCTAATTTGTTTACTTTTGTTATTTTTGTTTTTAATATCCCTGAATGTGTTCACCATGATTATCTTACTTAAGCTTAAAAAAGTAGAGATTCTTGAATGTGATTTTTGAAACGAAAGTTGATTGAAATTTAAGATAGTATTTGCAGTAACCGGAATGTTTTTACATTCCTTTCGTCTGAATGGAAGAAGAAAAAAATTATTTAACTTTCGCAAAATATGAAGATACACAAATGTTTCTTCGTCATTTTTTATTCGTAGTTGTACTTCATAAAATGATTGCACTAACCTTTCGTTCCTATAAAAAAAAGAAATAGAAAATGTATAAAAAATTGCATTCAGCCACGGGACGAAAACTTAAAATCATTTCACGATATGCAATTATTATGTAATATCGATATGATTTTAAAAAATAGTGCGTGGAGTCCCTCCGCGTGGAAGAAGTTAAACTTTGCAACCTGCGACGTTAGTTGTAGAAGAATCAGCAGTCGTAGAAGGATCACTAGTTCTATTCAAGGACTCTTTTTCCTGCTCCGCTCGTTTCCGTGCTCTGCAGTCACGGTAATACTGTGCATTTTTCCCTCTTGGACCTCTTGAACCAGTGNACAAAATATTACCCAAAAGAAATATCTCTTCTCAGAAAAAAACTCTCTTTCTCAACAACACAAAAAAGAACATCACTTCTCGTGTGTGTCCCTCAAGCAACATCATTTCAGCTTTACCTCTCGAGGAATTGATGCTTTTAGCTCAGTTGTCACACACTGTTACGTTACACCCTGAATGTTCACCATGATTATTTTACTTAAATTAAAAAAAAATAGAGATCCCTGTATGTGATTTTTGGAATGAAAGTTGATTGAAATTTAAGATAGTATTTGCAGTAACCGGAATGTTTTTACATTTCTTTTGTCTGAATGGAAGAAAAAATTTTTTATTTAACTTTCGGAAAATATGAAGATACACAAATGTTTCTTCGTCATTTTTTATTCGTTGTTGTACTTCATAAAATGATTGCACTAACCTTTCGTTCCTATAAAAAAAAGAAATAATAAATGTACAAAAAATTGCATTTAGCCACGGGACGAAAACTTAAAATCATTTCACGATATTCGATTATTATGTAATATCGATATGATTTTAAAAATGTCTAATTATGTATGCAACAAATTAAAGTACATTAAAAAATATCACCGAACTGCATTTTCGAAACATGTCGACTGCATTTTTAGTTTTTATGAAGTGTTGGAAATTTTTATTAATCAATTGAAATTCGAAGAGGTTAGCCCTTTTGTACTTGTATTGTTCATGATTTTATATGCTTCATCTGATACTTAATTAATATTTTTATTCATAAAAGATCTACTCCTAAAAATTTTGAATTATACTTTTATTATTTTTAAGCTGGATATGGGTCTGCCATATGCATCTTAACTATTGCATTTTCTGGATGTCACTCTTACCTCATCGTATTTTTGCTGACATTTGGAAACTTCTTAAATGGTTCCAAGTTTTCAGGATTTGTTGCTGCTTCAGTAGATATGACGCCGAATTTTGTGGGTATGTATCACCTTTCGTTATTTCCAACACCATTGTACATTTAGTCTCATTTTATATTACATGAAATAATGTGATAATTGCAAGTAGAGTTTATTTTAACTGCATTTATAGTTTAATCATTTCTTTGTATTTAAAGTTCAGAGTAGTAAGATTGCTAAACTCTAAAATAATGGTTGGGTTTATTACAATAGGTATAATTTATGGTTTGACGAGTGGGACAGGAAATATTGCGGGCATCATTGGACCGACGATGTTTGGAGCAATCATTGCTAATGGGGTAATGTTTTTCATTTATTTACTTATTTTTATGGTTAAAATCGGTGTTTAATTTTTCCTTAAAAAATATTTAATGTGTCGATGTAATATTGTATGCAAAATCAAAATACAAGATTATTTAATGAAATAAAATCACATAAAATTCACCATCACAATTTTCCCCTTTGAGATTCCGACATAGCACCAAGCATTGTATTTATATTTCAGAAATATATTTTTAATATCTTGAAAACCTTCATGTCCTTTTATGTTTAAGAAATATTTGTGTAGGGTAATAGGGTAAATATAAATTCTTTGTCGTAGATGAAACAATTTAGAGATTTTTTACAGTTTTTTTTTAAACATAAATTAATGGATTTGGTTATAATTCATGTCGCAAAGCTGCATTCATAAAAAATTTCAAACAGTAACAGAGCTTTGTTATATTTTGTAATCCTTTGTATAGTAAAATATAAGTCAAAGAAATAGAATAACAGCATCAGTGATGTAACTGTAACATGTAATATCAACAATATAATGCAATAACAGCAATTTAGCAACAATGCAATCACAGCAATTTGACTGTATTGATCTGTGGTGACTCAGAAGATAGAGCACTCGCTTTCCAATGAGGTAAATTGGGTTCGAATCCCAGAAATGACAGGTTGATACGAATTCCACACCCGGCCATGGAACTGGAAAAAAATATCCTCAGTGGTAGACGGATCATGGGATAAAGCCCCCTTGCCGACAGACTGACCATGTGAGATTTTCGTGGTTTTCCTCACCATGTAACGAAAATGTGGGTTAGTCCCTACAATAAGTCCTCCACGAAAGAGAAATTTCTCCCTATACTTGATCCAGGCATTCTCTTGTCTTCTGGTTTAAGTTCAAAATTACAAGACTACGGAGTTACACATCGATAGCCGCAAACCTTAATTTTGGTCGGCTGCTCAACGATGATCATGAACTTAAAAAATATAACTGTACTGTTTTTGCTCGTACATTATATGGCCAAGTTTCACAAATCATTTTAACATTGCAATCCTCCTTTAAGAAACCACGAGTTTACAGCAATTCGGCACATTAATTTTCATAAAAGGACATAGAAAGAAATCATGAGTTTTAAATAATTTTTTATAAAACTACTTTGAATTATCATTATACTACTTGCCTTTGGGGACCATCTTGGTCACCTCTAAAAATTATCTTGTACAACATATATTTTATAACCATCGTTGAACAGCCGACCCAATTTCGCGTTTACGACTACCGATGCTCAACTCCGTAGACTTGTAATTCTGAACGCATTCCAGAAGACAAGGAAACTTCTGGATCAAGTATTGGGAGAATTTTGCCTTCGTGGAGGATATTTTTGATGGAACTAACCCGCATTTGCGTTACATGGAGAGGAAAACCACGAAGACCTCACACAGTTATTCTTACAGTAAAGGGACTCTAACACATGATACTTCTACCACTGAGGATATTTTACTTCATCACTGTGGTCGGTACAAGCCGGATGCGAAATTCCATCGTTGGGATTCGAACCCGGTTCACTTCATTGGAAGGTGAATGCTCCATCCCCCCGAGCCACCACGTCTCCTTGCACTACAACATATAAGTTTTTAATTGTAACCAAGCCTTGCTTTAAATCCAAATTTTTTTCATTCTCTAGATTTTGCCTGCTACGTTGCTTGCGCGGAAGTACTTTATTTTCAATTTTAACTTTTTTCAAGAGATGTCTGCGATACAAGTTCTTTATGTATTTAATTTTTGTAATAATTTAAAATCAGTTCAGTAGCCATTGATTAACGCCAACTACCGTAAGTATGAGTTCGGGGCATTTCAGCATAGCAGGCAACAGAAGTATTAAAATTATTTCCATCTTTTTCGTGAGATAAGATAGAGAACTCACCTCAATGTTGCCTTACGTGCTGTACTCCTTCCTCACGCATTTCTGGAACCCTCGATTCTTTTGAAATTAATTCTGCTTTGAAGTGAAAAGACTCTGAATTACATTCTATTCCATATTGTTCTATTCCATATTGTTGTTGAATTCATGGCGTCTTTGTAGATAATATTCATTTTGCTGTGTCAATTCCTTAACGTTCTTTTGTTTATAAAATACCTCTATTAATTGATTATTACAGTTTATGTTATTCAAAATTCTAACTATGTTGATATTGTAAAATTTATTTAACATATACTTAATTTCTAAATAGAAAAAAAAGTAAAGTTAAATAAATTACGAGTTACCCGCATTATTTATATATATGTATATGATTTACATTCTGTTAGCATACAATATTACCACGATGTGCGGAATTCTAATTTATGCGAATGTTTTTTAACCTAAGATCTCAAAATCCCTTTCTTTCGTGCTCCCGGAAAATATTTCAGGAAAGCGAGAAGTGAATTTGTCTAAATAAGTTTTTCTCTATTGCGATGTAAAACACTCCGAATAAAAGTAAGGTAAAATGTACTGGCACCCTGAATGCAGCATCCGATAAAATCTATTTTACAGTAAAATTTTACGTTACAATTTTACACTAACATCTACTTAATTGCAGTGATTCAATGATTTTACCGCAAATATTACTGTAAAAATTTTGGTATATCAAATTTTTTGCTGAAATTTAAATTTTATGGGATTATATATATTATTATAATTTAATTATATATTATTAAAATTTTACGGTAAAAATAAATTTTGCGGTGCATCTGGAATTTTTTTGTAACTTATCGGAATAGCCAATACGGAGAAAATTCAGATTTTTCGTTCTATTGAAAATTCATTCTTTCGAGGGTAACGAGGATATAATATAATTTCATAACGGAATGTTATTCTTGGCCATAGATGGCGCCACTGGAAAACAAGAACACTCGCACCCCTCTGCCTTACGTGAGAGAGAGAGGGACAGAGATAAAGAAATGTTTCATACAACGCTAGTTATGGTGACCATCTTAGCACAACCCACTGAAAATTGCTTCGAGACCCACAATATGCGAAGCTTCTTTGTCTAAGGGATATTTCAAAGAGCGAATTTTATTTCTTAAACAACACAAGAAGAAAATAGAAAACAAATATTATCAACGAGTTTATGTAAATAGCTATTTGATTGAATTGAAGTTGAAGTGAGTATAATTCTGAAAATTTTAATTTACAGGCTACCATAGCAAATTGGAGTAAAGTTTTTATGACTATTTCTGGAATATATTTTTTCACCACAACTGTTTTCGCTGTGTTTGGCTCAGCTGAGTTACAGCACTGGAACAAGACAGAGCCCGTTTCGCCAAAAGAAGAAAAGAGTTGATGAATGTATTATTCCTATGATGTTCTGGAAAATTAAAATCATGGGACAAACTTACGCATCATATGGATTAAGAAGTGTATAGGAACCCATGACCGGAAATGTTATCATACGCTGCTAGGGGTGCTTTTCTGTTATGAACATTTTATATGTGCACCTCGGAACAGATGCTTTTTTCCATCTACATTATCTTCGTTTTATGTTTTTTATTAGTAATTGCCGAAAATTGCATTAAAATAGGCTGAGAAAAACACTGTAAAATATTCCGGAATTCCAGAATCAGGAAAAATCATGGTAAGAGGTATTGGCACCCTGAGTGCAGTATCCAAAAAATCCATTTTACAGTAATTTTTACAGTAATATGTATTTAATTGCAGTGATTTTAAAAAATATACTATAAAAATAACGTTATATCAGATTTATGCTTCGCAAATTTTCACGGTGAAAAGCACTGACAGTCTGATTGCGGGTACTTTTACCGTAATTTGATTCTGAATTTTTTTACAGTGTATCCGTTTTATCGTTAGTTTACGATCTGGTGAACTTATCTAGTTAATATCTAAATCATTAAATTACGATAAAAAAGATTAATACTGAATCAATTTAAATACGATTTTTGACAATAATTATTAGAAAATATTGAAATTAAGTCAATTTAGAAAAATAAAAGATCTTTTTCAAAGACAGACGTAGAAACAGTTTATAATTGGAAAGTGCCATTAGCTGCGTGCGATAATCTTACTGGGCATGGGTTCCCATACAATTCTTAATTTTCGATATGTGCCCTACCTCTCCTCCAAGTTAACTCCATGATTTTAGATTCACCTTTTATATACTAGGCCTCCCCAAAATGAACAGAGATTTAAAAATTAAAAAAGAAAAAAGACAATGTAGAAACATACGGTTTGCTGTGTTCTGTGTAGAATGAGATATTATATAAGTTCCAAGTTCCAAAATTAGTTACAGAGCTCGTCGACATATCATGCTGAGTACTGAGGAAAACCATAAAAGAATGATAAACTAGCACAAAAAAAAACAACTTCAAAACTATAAAGCAAAATAATCATCATTTGCAGAAACAACACGATGCAGTCTGAGGGGCAAAATTTACAGACGCTCGTGCAAGTTCATCACTTGTTATGATCTGATATACCCCAGAAAATATTGTTTTATTGTTCTTCTCATTCAGCAGCTCCATCTACTGACGGACTTTGCGACTAGTTTTTAAATTTAGTTATAATAAAAATTTGTTTCCTAAGCAGATTACAGCTTATAGTGCAATTTTATCTCCTTTGGTTTGAAATTTAATATTGCTGGTCATTTTTGGGAAGCTTGATACAAACCTGCTAAAACGTAGATAAACTTTTTATCCCTAAGCAGCTCCATCAGTTGACGGTGTTTGAAATTAATTTTAAGCTTGGTTAAAACGAATTTTTTTGTTCCCTAAATAGATAATAGCTTACGGTGAGTTTCATCTCCTTTCCTTATCCTGCAATTAATATTTCAAATCGACTGTCATTTTTTAGTCCTTTGTTAAAGCGTTAATATTTTTGTTAAAAGAGTAAAGTGCTTTGTTAAAAAGTGTTTTGTAAAAGTGTTTTGTTAAAAAGTGTTTTGTAAAAGTGATTTGTTGAAGCTCTGTTAAAAGTGTAAATAAACTTTAATAAACCATTTCCGTGTGCCTTGAGATGTATTCAGATTGTATTTTGAATTATAAAGGGTGTAGAATTATAAGATGCAAACACAGAGGTAAAATATACAATTAGCCTTTACATTTTAAATTGCTTATTTAAATCTTCCAAAATATTTCGTCACAGTTCATATATTTTGTAAATAATAGTTTAAATGTATATATTTTATCAAGTATCCGTTTTGCGGACATAGAAGCGGAATACATGCTTTGTGAAGGGTGTTTGCACACTTGGAAAGCTGTAATTGGTAAGACGTATTTCCATTTCAGGAAATATTTACAATCTTTTTGTTAAAAATTATACATTTTTTATTCATAGTAACCTACATCTTGGTGTTTCTTTCATAAAAAAGCATATTTTTTACTGAGAAAATACGAACATATAAAAATTTTGTTAACATTACTGTTAAAGTAAATTTTTATTTTGCTATGGTATAACAGCAAATCTATTTAAATGCACTTACAGTGCACTTTTATTACACTTTCAGAACATCAGAATAAAAGCTTTATTTATAATCTAAAAAATTTCTGATTTTTAAATATTACAAGAAATTTATAGTTTTAAAAAAATGCAATATTTTCTTTATATTTAAGAGCCCTAAGTACAATAAATTCAAGTAAAATTATAAAAAAGTGCGATAAAACTATTTAGTCAACTAGGTTTGATGAAATAATGTTTCACGCTAAAATATATCGCTCAAGCATTTATGTACTAGAAAACAAATGTGGTCAAATCACCTGTGTACCTGGTAAAATTTGCCATATTTCTGGCTGACACCAAAGAGCTTGAAAATTTTTACAGAAGAGCCTTGGTAATAAATTTGGTAAAATTCGCTAAAAAGATAATTTTATGATGTGTCATAAAATTTGGTAAATGTAGTAAAATTTGATAATTTTATTATCATACCTTAGAGCATGGTATAAAAACTATATATTCGGTTAAATTTACTTTTGAATTTTTTTTTCTTCTATTAAATATGTGGTAATAAGAACTATAATCATACTTGCAGGTTAAACATTAAAATAGGAACGGATAAATTACTAAATTAGTGGTTTTAACAACGTGTATTTTAGTTTTAACCAGAATTATGTATTTTTTTTAACCAGAAATGTCATTAGCATACAGTACGCTAATTTTACCAGAATTTTTTTCTCCGTTTGCATGTACAAATACAGTTTTAAAGAGAATCTATCAAACATTTTTAGAAAAGGAAGGAAAAGGAGGGAAAAAAAGCGAAAAATCCAAGTCGATATTTTTGCGAGTAAATAATCATCAAAGAACAGAAGATAACTTAATTCGATTTTTGATCATTCAAATATTTTTAATCGTTCTTCATGTAAAAACATTTCAAACATTTATTTTATTTTAAAATCGAAACATAGTGCGTGTATTGTGCAGTTTTTTTTTTAAATTCAAGATATATGATTTCGAAAACTAAAAGCAACAGAAAACCAGGAAGAATAGCGTATGACCACACATGTAAAATTATTGATGCAGACGGCTGGCAAGGGGAGGAGACATGACAGTTGCAAATCAATCGCCGAATCAAATAGCACGTTTCTAACAGTTCTAATCAATTGTTTTCATCGCTTTTTACCCCGCTTCCGACAACAAAAGAAAAAGCTTTATATGCTTACGGAGACATCATCCACTAATTTTTTTTTGTTGACGTGTCGAGCACCATGGCAACGTATGTAACACATCAAATTAAATCCTGAACCCCTCTCTCTCTCTTTTAAAACTGCGAAAAAGATTCCAAACGTTTGCGAACGTAACCGAAGAGAACTAACTGAAGCAGGGTTTTGCTGCCAACTCTCACGCGAACTGAATTTAGAAACTTTTTCTCCTTAAAAATCCATTGGGTAATTCTACAAGTTGGAAAAGTAAAAATTTCATTTGCTCCTTCTGCAAATGAAAACGATGTGCCGTGTGGTTTAAATCGTTCTTAAAAGGTGAGATTTTTTTTATTTTTTATTTAAAGCTTTGAAAGTTTTTTTTAATTTAAATATATTTTTTATAACGCTTTTTTATGTAGAAAGTAATTTTATTCGAATGCTTCACAAGTTGGAACCTTCTGGAAAGTTTAAAGAATAAATGTAGTATTTTTTCTTCTAAAGTGTAAAATGCAATTAAATTATAAAATTTTTAGAAAAGAATTCCTTAATGCTTTTTTATATTTAGAAATAAATTTTCGCGTTTTTAAGTTGTTTAAATAAAATTCATGTTTTTAAGTAATCATTTACTGGTAAACGTGGTTATGAGTAGGGAAATATCGCAAGTTTAATTTGATTTATTTTTTTAAATAAAGCGCAGATTTATGGTCAAAGACAATGTAATTTCATCTAAAGTATTTACTTCCATTATTATCATTTTCCTAGTATAATTTTTCGAACACATTTCATCAGGTAAATATTTTGCAATCGTTCAATCAAGAGTTTCAACTGTGTAAATGTTGGCATGCGTCACACGAAAAAAAATCAATGAAAGTGTGTCTATACCGACTTTTGATACCAGAGTTACCTTGTCTTCTGAGTAGAGTTTGAAATTGCAAGTATATGAGCTTTAGCGTCACTGTCTCAAATCCATTACTTGGACAATACTGTATATTGGAGCTGATAAAATAAAATTATTGCCCTTCAAGGGAAAGATTTTATTTCCTGGTGTTAATTAATCTATAATACTTTACTTTATTTCTAGTAAATTTTTTGTTTAGATAAGAACAGAAGTTCTCATTTTTTTAGTGTGTAAGGCAAAACGGATAATTTCCTCTCAAAACGCATGCTTATCATAATAATTAACATCGAAATTTCCTTGTCTTCTGAGTATGGTTCAAAATTACGAACATACGGAATGGATCTCTATTGCCCCAAATCAGCTACTGTAAAACTGTTACCGATAAAACTGCTTATCGGTGATGATAAAAAATAATTCATATTATTTATCAAAAGTCTAATCTTTTATTTTTCATGATAATTTGTAAAACGCGACTTTACTTTGCTTGAGACAAAAATTCTGTATTTCTAGAAACGAAAGTCTTAAAAGAAAAGTAATGTTTACGTAAAAGAAAAAGCGAAAGTAGTTTCTGTAGTTTTAAGGCAATAAAATGTTGTTAATCACTTAAGTTGTTGGAGCGGATTCTTTCTCTTTTACAGCTTCCAGTTTTGTTATTGTTTTCTTCACTTGATTTTTGTTTAGTTATATAATTTGAAAGTAAAGTTGATTAAATGATCTGTAAACAATGGTTTTGATTAATTTTTTTAAATTAAGAATGATATAAAACTTATACTTCTTGAATTAAATTTTGTTTTGCATGTTGGTATGAATAAAAAAACATAGTAATTTAACACGGAATAGAGACAAAGTAGTTAAAAGAACCAACAAAATGTTAAGATTGTTTTAACTATTTTAACTTGAGCATTAAAAGTTGTTATTGTGCACTATTAATTTAAAAGAATTATTGATTTTAAGAGTAAGTTTAATTATTTGCTTAAATTATAAAAATAAAAATGTATTTTAAATATTATTAAAATTATTATTACTATTTTTAACAGAAAACAACCAACAATTTTTTTACCTGTTTCTTGTTTTGTTCTCTTATTCCATGTGACCCCGTGGGACAATACAATAGAACCCATTTTGAACCAGTCAAAAAATTCATTAATTGCATAGACCAAATGAAAAAACACAACTAAATGCTGAAACTTGATCCTAAAATGTATTCGTTTTATTAAATAAATTAGTTTTTAAATTAATTTAGTCTAAAATTTTTAAGTTTTACTTTAAAGTTGTAATAAATTTTCATTCATCGTTTTAATGTTATTAAAGTGCTGTAGTACACCAGCTCTGAAATGTTGTTACACGGAACCCTAGGGTTCCGCCAAAGAGTTAAAAGGGTTCCACGAGTTAGCACAATCAATAATCCATTCTCTACTTATTATTTTGGTTGCCTTTATATATATATATATAAATAAATATATATANATAAATTACTAATTCGCTGGAGTCCGCGAATTAACGGTCTTGAGATTCGAGGAATTCCGAGAACTAGCGATCAAATGCCTGGATAATATTTTACATAATTGTGGTTTTCAAAATAAACTGAAAAAATTGCCAATAACATTAAAATGAATAATTCTTTTACAAAGTAATGCGTTTCCCTAATAATCATTTTAAAAGTTTTTAACACTTCTTTTTAAAGCAATATAAAAACAAATTTTTAGCTAGACTAGATTGCGAGGTCAACTGTTAAACATAAAACCTAATTTAAGATTATTAATAAATAAAACGATGAAAAAATTTCATTCATTTTATTAAATATAAAAAAAGTTTAAAAGTCAAAATAAACTAGTCTTTTAATGGCTATAACGTACACAATCTCATAATTATATAAAGAATTTAAGAAAAATTTAAAATAAATATTTTTTCACTAAACTACTTTTTTTATCTGGGAAAATAATCTTTTTCGAAACCATTCTTTTTTTAAATTTTGAATTCTAGCTTCTTTTTTTTTTTTTTTTTCTTTTCTTAAAAAAAAAGTTTTTTTCTGGAGCTTTATTATTATTGCATTTAGGTTATTATTTTACATATTTACATGATTCAATCAACAAATAATGCCAATTGTTTAATATTTGTTAAGAGTCACGCAAACTTGTGCACTGTAAAAAATTTCGGATCAAATTACGTTAAAAAGTTTCGTCACTCAGCACTCACGGTGCCAATACTTTTTATCTTGAAATCCATTTTTACCGGAACATGTTACTGAACAAAAAATTCTGATATACCGTAATTTTTACACTTATAATTACTGTAAAAGCACTGAATCACTCTAATTAAATATTACCATAAAAAGTACTGTATAATATTTTGCGGTAAAAATGGACTTAAATTTACCTATTAAATGGTAAAAATGGATAAAATGAATTTTACGGTTGATGCACCCAAAGTACTATTTCAAGTACCGGCGGTACTTTAAATCATAATTTGAATCGAAATTTTTTACAGTGTTATTTATCTACAAAAATCTCTCGATGGTTAGTTCAAAAGATCTTTAAGCATATAGGAGAAAAGGAGGAAAATTAAACTCATTATTATAATTTATGTTATATTCATTGAATAAAGTTATATAATAATAAAGAGTATTTAATTATTATAATTATTGCGGAAAGGAAATTTGAAGTAAAGTTATAAATGAAATAGTTGAAAAATGCTACTTCAAAGTGTAGACTAAAGCTGTTCGTTAAAGGTTTGTCTTTGAATTACATCAAAATCGAAAATGTCTTCCTAATGATATAAGAAATTAAAAGCCGACTGTTTAATACTTGAAATCTAACGAAGTATTCTGCAGTTCATTAATGTGATACATGAAATATAATGACAAAACAAAGCAATTTGAAAGAAGAACACACACCTAAAAACGTCGATGGCATACATTGTTTCTTTCGGTTCTTATATTCCAAAATCAATAGTTAAGCCTATTTTTACTAGTTAGCACTAAACTCAAAAATTTTACCCAAAAAGTTATTTTTAATAATCAAATAAGCAGTTCAATGTAGGCAGTGAAATTTCAATTTATTTTATTCTGTTCCAGATATTTTACTGATAGTTCAAGAAATATTTAATGAAGTTAAGTCAGCACGCAAGAAGAATTTAATTTCCTTAGTGTCGATCAATTTTTCTAGATTCGACCTAGATTTCAATCTTACAGCTAAAACTTATTCATAATTCTTTAAGGTGAGAAAAAGAGTAATTTTATTTCTTGCAAATGCTATTGCTTATAGTTTTTTTTAAAATTTTTTTTTAGTATTTTGGTATTGCATTAAGAAAGTTTGAACTCAGTATTTTCACATTTGTTTTTAAATCTGTAATTTCACGTCCCTTTTTGTTGAAGACTTTAAATAAAATTTAAGCATTTATTACGATGTTTACGTTAGTAGATTGAAGATTAATTAACAAACTTTTTTCTGGTGTATAGATTGTAATAAATGATTAAAATCAGGATGAATAAAATAGGCATTTACATTTTAATACTTCTAAAAGAAACTATGGATTGCGTGCTGAACTACATAAATGAAACTCAGGTAAAATGATGTCATCAATTTAATAGATGTAGTTTTTTATTATTAATGGAGATGATTTGTGTATTTAGCTATAAAAAATGTAACGAATGTGTTATGTAGGTCAAATATAGGTTCCCAAATTCTTCCCACATTAACAGTCAAACTATTCCATTTACGGGATTAATTAAAGTCGAAAGTAGAAATTTCACAATAAGAACAGAGAATCATATCTTTATAATAAAGTAATAATTTAGAATACTAAAGTAATAATTTAGAGTACTAATTTAGAATACTTTTTAAAACGATAGACAGAATTAAATGGTAAATTTTATTCCAAATATAACTCAGCTTTACACTTCTCGCTTGAACGATTAAGAATCTGAGTTTTAAACTAGAGGGGGATTTTTAGGATCTAAAATATTTTTTATTTACTTCTTTATTTATTTTTTTCATATTTTAAATAATTTCTTTGAGTTATCATGATATGAAGAATAATTCTATCAAGTCAGCTGTCATTTATGTCGCTTGCAACTATAGCTATATTATACAATAACCTGTAGCTGTGTTATAAAATTGTATTAGTTACTAAGTATGAAAGTTTGATCTAAAATAAAGCTAAAAACACGGATTTAAGGCTTAAAACTTCCCAGCTACATTGATTCTAAAAAGGCTTTTTCAAAAATGCTTAAAAAAAATATCGTTTGCATAGTGTCGATTACAAAAATTGATTACATTTATGATCTCTCTGGCACTATCTATTGGCAACACTATAGTTATTGTTCATTTTGTGAGGTTGTCTTAAGTTATAATTTAAATAGTGTTGATTATATATAGCTTAATTAGATATAGCTTAAGTATTTAATTAGATCCATTTTGTATTTTTATAGTAATGAAAACTGAGTTACGAAGTAATTATTTAGATTTATTTTTTAATTCTTTTTAATATGACTGTAGAAAGACTGTTGACGTTTTTTAAGATTTTCTCATAATCAAAGATTGAATTAAAGTCTGCAGCATTACAGATCAACGCTTTGTCAAAAAAGCTTCGATGGAATTAGTTATGTTGTAGAGCCTGATACGTGTAGGGTGTGAAATTAGTTTTATAGTAAGGCCTGTTACATAGGGTACTGCGATGACTTAGAGGATAGAGTTTTCGCCTTCTAATGAAGTGAACCGGGTTCGAATCCCAACGATGGCTGGTCGATACGAATTTCGCTCCTGGCTCGCACCGACCTCAGTGCTGAAGCAAAATATCCTCAGTGGTAGACGCATCATGTGCTAGAGTCCCTTAACTGTAAGAATTACTGTGGGAGGCTTTCGTGGTTTTCCTCTCCGTGTAACGCAAATGCGGGTTAGTTCTATTAAAAAAAATCCTTTACGAAGGCAAATTTCTTCCAATATTTGATCTAGGAGTTCCTTTGTCTTCTGGATTGGGTTAAAAATTACAAGTCTACTTAGTTGAACATTAGTAGTCGTAAACCCAAAAATTGGTCGGCTGTTCAACAACGGTTATAAAATAGGGTGCATAGGGCGTAAAATTAGTTTTAATAGTATAGTAAGATGCAATTTCGGTATTTTTAGTTTAAATATATTTTTAAGCTAAGAAATTCATGAATGTAGTAAGTTTTAATTAAAAAGTGTTTTTCTCGGATTTCCATATAATTTTTTTTTCTAAAACAACTTTCAAATAAAGTTTAAAGTAAACTATGTTTAACTATTTAGAATTTCATCACAGTTTAAATGTGCGTAATGCAGCGTTATATGAGAATGGTTTTATATTTGGATTACACGCCTGTTACATAAGGTGTGAAATTAGTTGAACAAGTTCTAATACATACGACTAAGCATGAACGTTTATTATTCATTCTTGGCAATGGAAAGGAAATACATGCCAGCACGAACTAAATCTTCGTTCCATTCTGTTGTCCGAAAGTAAAAAGGCTGTAAAATTGGAAAGTAGATGGAACGGGGAACGCTGACGAGCAACAAAAGGATCTTGGGAGTGGTGGAAATGAGAGTAATTTCCAGAAGAGATTACTTTTTCGCAAACTTGCAATTAAACAGAGTCTTAGAGTAATAATAGCGGTAGTCCATTGTACCATAAAGAACCCCGCTCATTTATGTTGTCTCTCATTGATGTTTAAATTAATGAATGAAAACATATACAGTTGGAACCGTGAATTTTAAAGTTCAGCTTTTTTTTTTAATCGCATACAACTTTGAGTACATCATATTAATGGTATCTAATGATACAAAATAAAGAAGAGTAATTGATTGAATAGCCGAGTGATGAAAGCTCTAAATGAGATTTTAGTGAATTGGCCTTAAAGCTTATAACCTACACTTTTTTTGTTACTTGAATAAATCTTTGCAATTTTGAAAATAAAACATAAGTTTACAGTGTGCCAACTAGAAAACGGACCACCCTGAATAACTTTCGATCTAATGATCGGATTTTCACTTTCTAGGATTGAATCTTAAAGGTTTGATAAGGTGATTTCAAATAATTAGTACAGACGGTTGTTAATCAGTCAGGCACAAAAACGTACTTTCTCTTAATAAAGATACCTTTTTTAGGCGGATTAAAATTTCTGACCCCCAAAATCTAGGAAATAGCCACAATTTAGGAAATATGGCCCCCATAATTTGATTAGGAAAGCCTTCCAAAGTTTGGACTCCTTAATATTGATTTTATTCCTTGCGTATTTCGACATATTTCGAGAATTTTTTAAGTGAATTCAAAAATTTTACCCAACAATTATTAAATTCGCTCTAATAATTTAAATAAATAGTTAATTTCACTCAAAATATAACTTACAGTAAATATTTATGATTTTTTTACCATTTTATTTGAAAATGATCAAAAAAATTTGGAATTGTAAAGTTTAAAATTTTTTACATCATTTTAAGGAATGTAATTTTACATGGCAAAATACAGAATTAGAGAGAAATATGTCGATTAGTTCCTGAGAAGTTATATTTCAAAAATACGACTTCTTTAAAACTCGATTCCTCAAGAACTATTCGACCCATTTCGCATAAATTTCGTATTTTTCTAAGCAGAAACTACATTCTACATTCTGCATTAAAATGATAACTAGACTAATGGGACTCTGTTTCCCAGATTGCTGCTACCCCCTATATTTTGGATGTCACAAATCTGAATCTGTTGAGAAAAAAACTATGTTAATACAGAAAAAATTCATTTTTGTGTCTGATTTCGTAACTTAAAATATCGTCTACTCAAAATGATTAGCATATTATACCCTTACACCATTAATATTGAGTTCCAGAACGTGAAGATCCGATCAATAGATAAAAAAGTTATTCGGGTGGTCTGTTTATTTTTTTTCCACACTGTTCCTTGAATTGGAGGACGAGATATTTGATGATTTTTTTGTTCAGTTGTGCCTTTTACGTAAGGTTGAACTAATTACTTTTTAATAGAAAAAAGATGTATTTCTGATAACTGCAGTTGGAAAAATAAGAACGAAACAGCCCGAACAGCCAGCTCTATGTACTATATTGCACATTGCATGGTACGATGTGCATATTTAATATACTTTATATCAGGGAATCAAATTTAAAATTTAAAGGTACTTGCCAAACTAAAACTTTACTCTTTACTACTTTTACGAAAAATAACAAAACTTTTAAAATGTTAACATTTATAGTATAAAAAACTTCATGAAGCGAAAACCATAAAAGGACAAAGAAAAACATATTTTTTTTGCAAAATAATAATAATAATAATAATTATAATATTAATTTAAAATAAAGTTTCCGTAAGGTTTCAATAATTCCATAATTCCATAATCATCGACATGTCATTAAAAACCGTTTAAAAAAAGAGAAAAATATGAGAAATGTTTCCATACTTTTACAACTTCATGTTTGTATAAAACTGCGTTTCGGCACTAAAATATCATTTGCCAGTGTCAAAATATGTTAGAGGGTCCCTTTATAGAAATTCTGACGAAATCATTCAAGCGAATTTTGAGCCCCGCTGTCACGCAGGTTTGTCGAATTTGCATCCTGATTTTTTTGCATGTAAATGCTAACTTTAAATGTTAACTCTTAAATGGGAATGGTCTTTGTTTTGAAACATAACATTTAACAAGACCAAACTTACTTACTCACCAGCTCAAAATATTTGGTCGCTAATAGCGAGCCCGAAAGTGGACATTTCTCCCCTTGTGTTAAATAGTAAGTGCTGATTTGACACAGCAATATGCTTTCTTTTAAATCAGCAGTAAGTGATATCAATAAATTTTATTTTACTTCATTGTTTCAATAATTTTATTTTTTAAAGTATCTTTTTTTATTTAAAAATAAAACATGGAATGTTTGAGGAAATGAAGATTGTGCACCGGCTTTTATTTCTTGTCTGCAATCTCCGCCCCCCCCCCTCAATTGGTAAAATTTATAATTCCTAACTCTATTTAGAACTGTTTATGACAGCTTTCGCATTCTTAATTTACACACCCAAAAAAGATGCTTTTTAAAATGGTAAACGAATGCTTTATGATAAATACACTCAGAACCTGTATTAATTCAGAAAACACACCTCAGTGTTCGAGGGAACTGGAATCTATGAAATTTCAAAACTTAATAAAATAAATAGATGTTGTAGAAGAAAGTATCTTGGACAGCATGTATCTCGGACCAATGTAAATATTTGTACCACGTAGTTGAGGAATTTTGTATTCAGTATATAAAGTAGCAGGCATATACCAAGGAACTGTTTTTTTCTTAAATCTTTTATACATTATCTACTATATATCTATTATTTTAAATGCATTCTTTTTGCACTCAGGACCGATCCTAGGTATGAGTAAAAGATGCTTGTAATCGCCCATTAGAATAAATATATTTCTCCGTGGACTTTTCCACATGCAGCTTGCAAAAGTTACGTTCTCAGCAATTTCATAAATTTTTTAAATATTCCTATTGTAAAGCAATTACTAGGTATTATGTTTATGATTTATTTGAATTAATTTATCTAAATGCATGATTTATTTCAGCATGATTAAATTTTTAATTTAAGTTAATTTTTTATTGCACAAATATCTAACTTTAGTCAGTTAACAAGTCTAAAAAAAAAGACCCCCAAGGGAGTGTTATCTAAGGTGTAACATCTATTTGTTAAAGGTGCTACGTGTGATGGTCCATGGTAGAACATCATATTGTATTTTTCCTTTCTTTACTTTTTTTCTTCTTCTTCTACGAAACAGCAGAATTCATTTAAAAAATTCATTTTAACATTCTAAAGTATAATGCATTTCCAACTTAATTTAAGTGATTTGATTTATTGCATTCTGAATAAACATTAAAATTAACCCAAACTGCAGCGCTCTTCCCTACAATTAACTAAGGTATGACCTTGTGAGAAAATTCAAATTTTTTTTTAATGTATAGTTTAAAAGCACATTATCGTGAACTTTAAGAATCCCGTGGGGTCATGCCTCAGAGGTAGACCCCCTACTAGATGGCTCAACGACATCGAAAATGACCTGAAAATCCTGAAGATTAGAAATTGGAAGCGAGTTGACGTGGATAGCAGGCGCTGGCGTTTGTCAGCTGTATAGGCAGCCAAGGCCAGCAAGGGGCTGTTGCGCAGACAAAGAAGAAAAAGATTTAAAATATTTTTACACTAAGCTTTTCAACTTCTAATACTTTTTTAAAACCTATTTTTGTTCGTGCCTGTTTTAAACCAAAGTAAATAAAAAAAATGGCTTTTGTTATTACGAATATGCTCATCATTATTTTCCTTAACATTTCTTCAGGAACATGAACATAAAAGACCAGTATAATGTTTTTAAATCTTTTATTATCTGGGTTTTCTTTAAAAAGTTTTCAAGTCATGGTTTTTGACTACTTTCAAAAAATGAATTTTTGTTTGTCATTATTTTTTATTTTTTGGTTTGAAAATGGAGGAAGGAGAACTAAAATCTCATTGTGATACAATGGACACTTGAGAATTTTTTCATTTAATCTCGGTTGGTTTTTGCGTTTACTGATGAGTTTATGTATCATTAACGCTAAAGGTAAGAATTGATGGAGAAACCACTTGTTAACATTCCTAAGAGCAGGATCCCAATCCATTATTTTTGTTTATTTTTTTTTTAAATAATAGTTCCAAAAGTCACTTCTTTCTTGAAATCATGTATAATAACTTTTTTAGCTATTGCATTATAACTAGCCTGATAACTAATAAAAAAAACAGCAGAATTCTTTTCAAATATTTAAACTATAAGCTTGGTGTTTTCTAGCTTATTGATGTCCTTAATAGAAAGAAAATGAGTATATTTCACGTTCTTTAATATTCAATTATACTTATTCGTTTTGTCAGATAAACTCAATGATCAAAGTGAACATGGTAGTATAGGCAGACTACGTCACCAAATTAGTATTCTTAAATTTATCTGAAGCTGCGTGTTTATTTTGTATATAGCATGAACTATAATCACGAACGATAATACCCAAGGACAATCCTCACCAACATCATCACGGAGCTTTTCTTGAAGTTTCTGTACACCATCAACTCCAAATTACGATCTGTGGATGAATGAATAGAGTATGATTAGGTTCTCCCTGTAAATCGGGCTGCAATATGTGTAGCTGAAGACCATTCTTGACCATAGATGGCGCCACTGAAAATCAGGAAAAGCACCCTCTGCTTTAAAAATTCGCTTTATCAGGCTTGCTGAATGGCAAGTGGCATAAGTAACAGCAGCAATAAACTTCTTTTCAGAATAATTTGCCGAAAGAATAGTTTTTAATTTTCTTTTTCAGATATTAACCCTGGGAGAAATATATTTGAAAAATTTCACTTTTCTTTAGTTTATGTTATTTCACGTCGTATTTAGTCAACTATTGGTTACTAATGTAAATCTTCAAAAAATCAGTAAAAGTGATAGCTAGAAGATAAAAGTAGCTATTTAGTATTCACTAATATTTTTACAGCTCTCCAATTTCCTTTGATGAGTTTAAATACATTTAGAGGATTATAATAATGGCGCATTATATATACTTATAACCTTCCGAATTATTGTCATTTAATAAGGGGATATACTTTCATAGAAACAATACTAACAACCAGTTAATAATGTAAATATGCAGTATATTAGTGAAATTGATAGGTAGAAGATTTTGGTACCCACTAATAGTTCTTAAGTTTCTTTTGATAAGCTTGAAAAAATTTAAAGGTTTTATAACAAAGACGTATCAGTTTTAATCAACATTTTGACTCATTATTTTATAATAAAGCTGTGATAAAAGATATATTATTGCATTGTAAAATTTAAATAAAAGAAAGGTAATAATCTATCTCCGTTGAATCACCATAAGGATGAAGTATTAAATGAAGCAATAACTGTTTAACCACGGAATGTCATTACCTGCTCTCATGATGTTAGTACGTACCTATGTTTTCCTGTATTCTACATCGTTATCATTTCCAGCAAATAGCTTTTCTTGAACGAAGATTGTAATGACCATTATGCATTAGTAAGATTTGCAGAAAGACACGAGATTTGTATGTACTTTTATTTCTCGAAAATGAGGAAGTGCTTTATGTGAGGGATTTAAGTAAATGTAAAAGACTTTTTTTTCTTTTTATCAAAATCAATATTTGGATGAAAAGTATGTTGTTGTTGTTTTGCTCATGCACTGTTTTAAACTACCAAACAATAAAATAAACAATATAGTGTATAATATATTAAAAAATAATATATTTCGCAAAAAAAAATCATCGGACAAAAACCTCATATAACTTGCCTCCGACTTTGACTGGCTATATAGATAAATAAATGGATAGATATAGATAAATAAATAAATAATTATTTAATTAATTAGTAATACATGTTATTAAATAAATAAATACATAAATAAATAATACATGCTTATAAATAAATGAAATAACATTCATGCTAATGATAATAAGAATAAATAAAATAACACACATAACATACATAATAACATACATAATAAATAAATAAATAAAATACATACATTGCAAATTTTCAAAAGTACTATATCGGTAAAAGTACTGTAAAAGTACTATACTTTAAAAAATATTGAAGAACTTATCGGTCCTGTAAAAAACTTAATGTGATTGTAACTTTTTTAAAGTTTTTTTTTATTGAATTTGAGTAATACTTAAAATTGAAAGACTACTAATGACTGCAAAGCAGGAACAAACAATTAATTGTTCTTCAATTCAAGGTTAAAAATAATACTTTAGATGTATTCACGTGTCTATCTTAGAGTTCGTTTGACCTTAGTTTCAAACCAAAATCGACAATAGTTTCAACAAACTTGAATATCTCATTGTTTGCATTCTTATTTTGTCTCATTTTTGTTTTACTTATGTATAATGATTTTTTTTAATAAATATGTCAAATTTTTATAACGTAAATATTTTTTTTTATTTCAAAAATATTTATTTTTAGAGTTCTCTTTTTCTCCGGGCACATAATGGGTTGTGCAGCTTCAAAAGCAGTACCACCACCTCCAAGTTCAACAGAAACAGGTAAAAAAAAGATTCTATGACATTTTCTTTTGCATTATGCATTAATGATGCTTTGTTGTTTGCATATCCGCTTCGGTTAAAAATGTACTTAGCTTATTTTTTTAATGCATACCTAATGTATTAAACGCGAGTTAAATATGATCACTTATATTAATGACCACTAAAATAGTACTAGTATTATTATTAAAATGTATTTTACAGAATTTCAAATACAAGTCATTTTTAATAGATGGAAAACTAGTAAAACAGAGGGGGGGGGAAAATAGGGCACATGAATTAGTTTAGATTCACCATGAGAAAAAAGTATGGTCAAAATTACCAACATATGGTAAAATGTACCCCATTTCTGGCTCTTTGGGAACACCAAAAAGCCCCATAGTTTGTACCGAAGAGCTTTGGTAAAATAAACAATAAAATATGATTTCATAATATGTGATAAAATTCGGTAAACATGGTAACTTTCAGTAAATGTGGTAACGTCACAGAACTTTAGATCAAGCTATAAAAACCATATATTGGCTAAAATTTAATTTTCATTTTTGTAATTTTCACTAAATGTGTGGTAACAAGAAATATAATTTTGAAAACCAGAGTTTCCGGTAAACCGTTGCTATATGAACGAAAAAAATATCAAATGAATGGTTTAAATATCAAATAGTTTGCTTTTATTACCACAATTATGTTTTAATTTATTTATTCATTTTTTGCCAGAAGCGTCATTAAAATATAACTCGGTAGTTTTTCCAGAATTTCTCCGTTCACGTAAGTGACTATGTCAATCATAATATTGTGAAAGCTTTGCAATTTTCGAGCAGTCTTTAAGTACATCAAATTTTGAAATTTATTCTCGCTTTACTGAAGACTCTCTTAGTAGCTTATAACAAACATAGGAAGTCTGTGATATAACAGGAAAATTTCTGCGATAGATCAGTTGCTTTGCATTTATGTGAAAAAATAATCAAAGTAGGAAATCAAGGAATTTTATAACACTCTTCTCAGATGCCCACAACGGGATGAATTTAATAAAATTTTCACCTATTAGTGGATTATATGACAAAAGAAACAATGAAAAATGAAAATTATGAAAAAAACGACAACCGAAGCTGACGTCTTCAGGGGGTACCAGTTCCGGAAGCCATAAATGCAAAACCTTTTCTACGACAGGTGTCTAAATTGCTCTCTCTGTACCCCAAAGGTTTTACCTAAGTCCAGGAAGAGAATACAATACAAAATATAAAATACATAAAGCAAATACAGAAGTATAAAGTCAAGACTAATACATAAGAATAAAATGCACAAGAACTTACTTGAAACATAAATCCCATAACCAAATTACACTACAGATTGCCAAACAACAACTAAATTGAAATAAACGAAAAAAGAACGCCCCCTAATTTGATGCGCAGAAGGGAGAAAAAAAGAAAGATAAAAAGAGCGAGAAAGTAGTGACATCATTAATAGAAATGCTTAACCGGGGCAACTCGTTCAAGACTTGATCTTGCCCTATTAAAAGAAGAAAATGAAACTAATAATAATTCTAAATTATTTTCTTAATTTTAAAATCAATATTACAAAAATTAAAAGAAAACCATTATTTTCTAAATTTTTCAAAAAATTACTTGTTGCCTCTTGAAAACTTTCAACATTATTACAAATTTTATTAATTCTAAACAATTGAGAAAAACAATTAAAGTTTTGAAAATTTTGCTGCACAAATTAGTATCAAAATTACAGAAAGAAATAACTTTAAATTTGAAAGCCTTTCCTTTATCATAAACACCAAGTTTAATTTGTTTCGGATGTCGTATTTTTTCATAATTTTTATTTTTTCCTTTTTCATTGCTTCTTTTGTTTCAATTCCTTTTGGATTTTCAGTAGTATAGCGCTTTTTTCCACTGGAAATTTTGTTTCTAATTGCTTTACTTATTTTGAATTCTTTTCTTAATGTGGATTATATGACATAATTTTCTTTCAATATTACACAGTGCTCTCTTGTAAGATAGTAAGATTGAAGAAATTGTTTCCGTTTATTCTATCACGCGAGAGAACCTTTTAACAGTACTTAAGGGAAATTTCTTGCAGGGTAAGTTAATTGCTTAGCAGCTATGAAAAAAAAAAAAAAAACTAGACGTAGATGAGAAAATCAAGGCACTTTATCAATCTTATTTATGGAGAGGAATTACAGTTATTTGAATTATTTTGCAAAATTTTTCCAAAATGCATAAGAGTACCTTGTAAGTATGCTTGTTAATTTGTAATAAAGACTTCAAATATCATTTAATAAAGGTGTTTTAAAAGACTTTCTTAAAAATTTTGCTGAAGTGCCTCGTAATTGCTACTAATGTAAAAGGCTGTTAAAAGAAACTGTTGCTTATTTTTTCTTCCACTAAATTTGATTGGAGTTATAAAAAAACAATTTAATTAAAATTAAATTGCAAGATATGAAGTAATATATGATGCGCTTTCTATGAAAATAGTTTTTATACAAGGCTCAGCTTTAAAGTTACAACTGTTTCAATATTAAATACAAGGTTTTATTGCAAATTTTATTTCCGTTATTCAAATTCAAAAGTTAAAGCTCTTACTTCAGCAGTTCAAACAGATAACAACTGAAAAAACTTGATTTTGCTATAAAATAAGTAGCCTAGTATTGGCATGAACGTGAACTACATATGAATATTTTTGTTTTGATTAACGAATAAAAACAAAAATACGTCCAAGTAAATGTCTTTATATTCGTCATAGGAGAACCTTTGTCCCCTTTGTCAGAAAGAAACTCAAGTTTTTTTCCCTTAGTTTTCTTGACCAAATGACCCTTGGGTGTATTCGTCTTCTTACGTGACATAAGCATCGGGTTGCCCATGGCGACTACAAGTTTCCTCTTTCTATAAGCAACGAAATAAAAACATTGAAGTGTTACCGAGAATCTATTATGACCTAATCTATTCACCGACCTTCTGGGTAAATTCCAATAACTGGCCATGACAGCGTTTTTACTTTTATACCATGGCGATGTCATTTACTTCGTCGCCAAGTTATGCTTGTTCAGAATCAATTTCAAGGGAATTATGTCGTCGGTGAGATGTTAAGCAAACACTGAACTTTCTTTATAAAAGTTAAGGAACGATTAATTATATTTTGATTGTCGCATGATTTAAAAAGTTTTTGGAGGGGCACCGTGACTTTAACAAGTTAATTCAGAGAGGAGAAGTAACTTATATAAAATTATTAAAAAATAATGTCACCATCATTATTCAAAACTAATTGTTTTTGTATATAATTAATTAAATTCGGTATACAAATTTTCATTGCCATAAAGCGTCTTATGCGTACAATGTTTGAACGAAATTAGAGTACACGGTGACAGTAATTCTAAAAATTTTATATTTGCTACAAAAGTTGAAAAAAAAACTTCCATCTGCTAAATATCTGCAAGATGATTATGTTTTTAATATTCTTAGCTTAAGAATATTAAAAATATAGTAAGTATATTTTAAATATACTTAATATATTTTATATACTTAATATATATATAAGTTTTTTTAAAATTAAGTATAATTATTGCATTTAAACTTATGATGATTCCTGATTTATTTTCTCCCTTATTTGTGTAAAACGTTTGGTGGGTGTTCTTGATATTTCTTATTACTGAGGAAAGCATCCATATACCCCCATTCCCCGAATCAGTGGTACCCATACTAAGAATGATAAGAAACTATTAAAATACTCCTGAAATATTATATTTTCAAAACTAAAGTTTAGAAAAAAGATACACGAGAAAAAAATCACGGAGGACTTTTTGATGGACCTAATCCGCATTTGCGTTACATGGAGATGAAGACCACAAGAACCTCCCACTGTTAGCCTGACGTCAAGGGAACTCTAGCCCATGATCTGTCTACCACTGAGGATATTTCACGTCAGTGCAAGCTGGATGTGGAGTTCGTATCAACCAGTCATCACTGGGATTCGAACCCGGTCACTTCATTGGAAGACGAACGCTCTATCGTCTGAGCATCGCGGCTCTTTTACGCTCAAATTTGTAGTGAAGAGGAATATATATGTTAGTGGGATTATAGTATTTAATTTTGACATTTTAAAATTCATTTTTATTGATTCTTAGAATTAGCACCCCTTTTCCCATATTTCAAAGAAAAATTGAGGAAATATGGTTCTTTTTTTGAATTTGCGAGTATGGAATCTGCTGAAATTAAAGACATACCTTGTGAAATATGTTAAATATTTGTTTCGCTTTATCAACGCGCGGACGGGAAACTGAGCAATAACGACCGTCAAAATTTACTGCAATTTAAGTGCAAGGTTAACTTGAAACATCTTATGGTGTAAGTTAAACCATCTTAAGCTTGGTTATTCGCTATGTTTCAGCTTGAATAGAAACATAGCTCAATTTAAAATTTGATTAAGTTGCAAGAAATTTGCACCTAATTACAGTTCAACATCTTTGATCACGCAGCTCCTCTTCTACATATGCCCCTGAAGAAACATCTATCGAAATGTTTGCTAAGTAAAAAACAAAGTCACAAGAATGTCTCCACGCTAGTCTAACTCTCTAGCTCTCAATATTACCTGGGTGGAATCTTCAGCAGCTAGCATCCAATAATCTATTAGCGGCCTCTAATTTATAGTTTTTTTTTAAAAGTATAACAATAAATTTTTTGTAGAAATTTCCTTAGTATTTAACATTTTGTAACAATTGCCCTTGGTGCAAACAATTTGCCATCACCAGATCTGGTTGCTGGTATATCGATGCAGGTAAGCAAAACATACGCTATTACCCCAAAACGTAAAAAGTAAGGAAAATAAGAAGCATGATGCGCACTCAGAGAAGATAACAAGTCGCGCCAACAGTGAAGGAAGTTATCTAAAGATAATGTGTGTATCTGGACTTTGATGAACAGAAGTGGAGTAACTGTATGCTTCTATTTAAATTGTATCAATAATGAAGGAGGTTTTCTAAACATAATGTGTGTATCTGGACT